CAACATAGTACCGTAGCCATTGAAATAGTTGTATCAGGAGCTCATAAAAGAAAGCAAATGCAACAAAAGTCACAGGTTCAGTGGTTCTCGTGACTTACTGAATCTGATATCTGGATAACAAAATCTCGATAAATATAAATCTTTTATTTTAAATACTTTCTATCAGGACCACAGGAATGCAATAACGTACAAAAGGAAAGAATTCGAGAGTAGGTATGCGATAAACTGAGTGATACCTCCTAACGTTCTCCTGATACAATCCTTTCTTGAAAAATTCTAATTATAATGCCAACAATATCAAGATCCACCATTCATCAAAATTTCGGGGGAAGTAAAATCAAATAAATCAAATCGAACTCATTTATTGCACCGACATTTTCGCGTTATTACAATCTCGCCTTTCGGCCAAACTTGGTCGAGAGTTTCTTGCAATTCTGAAGCTCCACGCTGTACTTCTTCTTCGCCTCATCGAAGGCCTCCTTCGCCTCCTTGAAATCTTGCCGCGCCTTGTCGCATTCGGCCGCCGCCTCGCCGAGGTCCGCTTCGTCGTCGGCGAAAATCTCGCGCGCGGCGAGAAGTAGTAGACTAAGGACGAACGCGTTGATCTTCATCTTGTGCCGACTTCTCGCTCTGACCTCGTTTATTATACCTACAGGTCGGCTTGTGCTGGTATTCACTCAAAAATGGCCAAATTAGGTACCTAATTATTTAATCATCAGGCGACCACCGTCATCGCTTTAGGAAGGTAGTGAGGCGTGGATTGTCAATAACAATTTTGGACAATTACCGCCGCCGCTCGTGGGCCGTCAATAATTTGTATAGGTAATCGTGACCTTGTTTCGTTCAATTCCGCCATTCACATGTAGATAGAGACATTTAGCGTCTTTGTGTCATTTTTTGCCAATTATTGCTCTTCTGAGCAAAAAATGAAAGGCACGCAAGCTTAATTTAGGAGTAGCTGGGAAATAATTGTTCACATATTTGTCTGATTCTTAGGATTTCAAGTTCAAGACGCTTTAACTAATTTTCAACTCAAAAATTTTTGCAAGTTCTGAAACGAATTTCAAATATGTTCCTAAACTTGAAAAATGGGCAACGGATAAAGATCCCGCTTTTCCCAAATTAATTACATTTAAAAAAAAACAAAAAAAACATCCAAAAGAGCAGGGGACAAACATCCCATCATTCCCAATTAGCCCCGTTTAAAAAAATTAAAAGGGCAGGGGGCAACATTTAACTTCAACTTAACCTGAGCAAACGGGACGGGGACGCACCGATGGCAGGATAACATGAAAACATCAAGTTTTATTATGGCTCGGAGGGAGCAAAAAAATCTAGGAAATGTGGGACGGTTTCACTATGACTTAACTATAGATCTAGAGACATGGAAGGAGGCACTTTAATACACATTGATTTTTTACAACGAGATTCAGTACAATTTTGGGGCCTCTGGACTGCTCGCAGAACCATTGGTGCCCTTTTCCATAGCCCGCTTCAGTTTTACACCCTCCCTCACTTTATTGAACGCTTCCATAGTTCTGTTACGAGCCGGAGTTGCGTTTTCGGTTTGGTTTTCAGAACTGCCGCCAGCGCCATCTTCTGTTGTTGCTTCTTGGGCTCCGCGCTAGGTTAAGATGTAAAAAAAAATGCGCCCCACTCACTTACTTACCTCACAAATGGCGCCCAAGACGAGGATAGAGAAGAGTATTACGCCTATCTTCATCTCGTTCGAGGTTTCGCGGGCTTGTGGCCGTTGCAGCGTTTCAGGTTGTTTTAAAAAGGCTTGCGTAATGATTGTATAGCTCATGGAGCAATTACTCTCTCTTTGTGTCACAATTCCTCATTGTTTGAGCGAGCTGTTGTGTTACAAGATGTTACAGTCGTTCTAGAATTCTTTTGGGACTATAGCAATGAAATTAGCAACTTATTCATTCCTCCTTTTTCTCTTGCCCACGGCCCCACGCCTTTTCCTTCACTCACGTTCGCATAAGAACAAATACCAGAGTGAGTGGACAGCTCCTACCTCATAGATGAGGAGGAAGGCCAAGAGAACTTCACTTATTCTTTATGTTGTAGGTGGCCCTTTCAGTTTTCGTAATGGACGCCATTAAAAAAAAACCATTGGTGCTATTCAGATCAATTGGTACTACTGAAAAGTAGCATAATAGTACCAGTTACACAACCTAAATTCGCTGTATGAATACATTATTACTCTCGTTTATATTATGATCTAACAATTTGTTATGGGAAATCCCTACTATTTCTGTGACCCTGGTACTATAATGTTTAGCATCCAAAATTAATTGTAGTCAACAGAGGGTGGGGGTCAAAATTATTCTTTCTGCCATTTTTTGTGAGGCAATGACTTTTTAAGGAAATTTTGTATCAGGGTAACATTCGGTGGCCCTCCCGTACAAATATGAGTTTTTCCGGGGGGTATTCCGTACGCACCAGATACCTTGGTGATATTTTTCCTCTCACTCTCTCTTAAAAAATTTGCTGTGACTAGCACAGATACCACCTGCGGCCTTGGGACTGAACACTTTCTTTCAGGGAGAACGTTTCACTGAGGGGGGGGGGGGGGATTCCAATACTCCCCCGGAAAAAAAGAAAGGTTTAATGTTCTTTTTCCTACATTAGATCCTCGTCCACAGACCGCACGATGCTACATTGTTCTCCAAAACCATTAGTTCCCGTACCACCCACACTATGATTTTTGGAAAGGGAGCTTTATGGCTGAACGCTTTGAGGGTGAACGTAGCTCGGGGGGTTTGAAATACCCTCCAGGGAAAAAAGGAAAGGCTTAACGTTCCATTTTCTACAGTTATCATGAGATTCTTTTGCCCTAGGGGGCATTCCATACTCCCCAGACCCCCTCCCCCGGTGCTACATTGTTCCTTAAAACGTTTAGTGCCCAAACTACTTACAATTTTTGGAATGGGAGCCTTAGGGCTGAACGTTTTGAGGGAGAACGTAGCACTGAGGGGTATGGAATACCCCCCCGGTTAAAAGGGAAAGGGTTAACATTCCTTTTTCTACAACTATCATGAGATTCTTGTGCCCTAGGGTGATTTTATTTTATTATTATCCCTCTCTTGTTTTGGGCCCTCAACAGGCATGCGCCCAATTACAGAGTGACCCGCATAATGCTATTTGGAGGTGCCTCTGCAGAAGGTCTTAAGTTGGTCTATACTACTCCGGTATTTACCTTACGAATTAGGAAAACTGCAGGAAAACCTAATTCGGAGTAGCCGGTAGAATGCTCGGAACTGGTCTAAGGTAATTTCCACCTCCGCCACAGATGAAAAATTCACTTCAAACCAGGTTCGAACACCCGACCTCCGGATTTATAACCTAATGCTCTACCACAACCACTGAGCCATAAATCCGATATTCCATACTCCCCAGCCCCCCTCCCCCGGTGCTACATTTTTCCTTAAAACGTTTAGTGCCCAAACTACTTACAATTTTTGGAATGGGAGCCTTAGGGCTGAACGTTTTGAGGGAGAACGTAGCACTGAGGGGTATGGAACCCCCCCCCCCCCAGGTAAAAGGGAAAGGGTTAACATTCCTTTTTCTACAACTATCACGAGATTTTTGTGCCCTGGGAGGGTATTTCATACTCCCCCAGACCCCCGGTGTTCCCAAAAATCATTAGTTCCCATCCACTTACACTATGATGTTTGGAAAGGGAACTTTCCTTTTCCTACAGCAGTTATCATGAGATCCCCTCGGTGCTACTTTTCCATCCAAAAAGTTTAGAGCCCCCCCCCCCCCAAACGTATTGTTGGAAATCGCAGCACTGGGGTTTTCTAGGCGGTATGAAATACACCGTAGATCGTTTGGTGATGTATTTTTGAAAGTGACATACTACTATAGTAGGTCTATTATCCACTTCCCTTTTGCTCCTTGTGGGTCTCATTGACATATTTTCATTAAAATTACTGCATCAGGGTTACAGGAATAGCAGGACCATTTTTTTTAATACCTAACGTATCCTCCGAACTTGTATGGGGGAAATTCTTCGTTCTCTTCGACGAATTATTGCTTTCGAAGCGGAAGATGTAACACTTTCCACTTGCAGTATCAGGATCATATAAGCGGGTGCAGGTGTAACGCAGGAATGATTGTTACTAAATCTAAATTCACTGTCATATCAGGCTCGCAGATATTAAATTGAACCTTTTAGCGCATTTATACGTTCTACTAACGTCATGTATCAGGGCCACAGAAATGTAGAAACAAAGTGTTAGCTTCCCATTTCTCACCTTCTCACGGGCAAATAATTTACTATTAAGTAGGATAGCTTTCTCCTGTAGATGTAAAGGGGAAACAATTTATTCACAGTCAGCGTCATTATTGTATCAAGATCGCAGAAATGAGAGGGAAGATTTGGTTATATCCGAAGCCCACCAGCACGCACCAGATGGGTAATACTGCAATGAGAGCGAGGGCTGAACGTTTGGAACCCTTTAGACCCCCCCCCCCCCCGGAACGTTTTGGTGGAGAACGTAGCACCGAGGAGTATTTGTTTAACGTTCACTTTTCTACGACTATCATAAGCTTTTCGTTAGCTGGGAGATCCCCCACCCAATTCCCCCCGATCTACAATATTCCCCAACTATTAGGGTTAGGGAATACTGTAATGAGCGCCAGGGCTGAACTTTTGAATAGGTATCCCAAACCCTCCCGAACGTTCCTGAGATATTCATAGGGGTCAAGTCTCTGGAAACGTCTTCAAGAATAGTGAAAAAAGAGCTCTTAAATGTCTTCAGCGCATCTACCAGCTTTCAAATGTCTTCAAAATTTGAGCGTTCCACCCTTGGATCCTTCCGTCTTAAAATGTAGGGCTATAAGCCTTCACTACACGTCAAAGTAGTTTTTGAAGTGATTAAGCGAGTTCGCTGTGCTTTATGTAACGCATGGCGTGTGCGTAAACCAAATCTATACACAAAACAGAAACACTTTTCGAAAAAACTACCTTTCCATTCACATTTAATGACCATCATTACAAAAGCGACCTTCGTGTAGCTGTCGTTTTCGGTATATAATGCGAAAGCGGCCGTTCCAAAATTCAGAAACAAGTTCAACATGAAATTCTACGCATTCGCTCTTCTTATGGCATTCCTCGTCATCTTCGAGGTAAGGGTAGCTTTTTTAAGTCAACTTGCTAGCTTTTGTTCTGTCGTAGGTGTCCGCCCAAGAAACCGACTCTGCAGGTAGCGAGGGTGGTGATGAGAGCTCTGGCAAGGGCAAAAGTGAAGGAAAGGGAAATGGTAGGGTAAAGAACGAGGCAAAGAGAGAGGGCAGAGGAAATAGCGAAGGGAAACGCAAGGACAAAGGAAATGGAGGTTCGGAGGGTGAACAATAAACTTAAACTTGTCTATACAACGTTGACCCATAGAATAAACGATTTGCATTGATCTTTACTTTTTCTTCTACGTGTTAAGTGCCCTTCAAAGGGAGCTAAATAGAAAATACCAGTTTTTTCAAAATGCTGCACAACACCAGGCTTTTGAGTGCCATATATATAAAAAAAAAACTAGTAAAGTGGTACTACTTCCGCTCTGGAATCAGAAAAATCCTCGGAAAAATCATAATACGCAATAAGGTTGTTTCCTATTTTGACCTTGACCTTAGCTATAGCACTAAGGTCCCATTAGGTTGTATCAGGAGGAAACTGTAAAGAGGGAAAAATTTAGAGACATTCACATTTTGGCACACAATGCTTTCCCTTTCCCTAAGAAAAGGCACTTCTGAGGGATCACAAAAATGACAGAACGAACCATTTTGACCGCCACTCTGTGTAGATGTACCGTGCTCTTTGGATACCAAATTTTTGCTAAAAACCATACAATCAGGATCACAGAAATAATTAGTAGCGCACTTTCTTATAGTAAATTATGACTCAAGGAGTAACAATCTATTGATACAGCGAATTTTGGTTGTGTAACTGGTACCATTATTCGGAATAGTACCAATTGACCTGAAAAGCACAAACACATTTTTTAAACGGTAACAATTCTTTTTTAATGACGGCCATTACAAGCGCGACCTTTATGAAAACTGAAAAAGTCGCTTACAACATAAAAGAATTGAATGACAAAAGGGTAACTGCCAACGGACGAAATTTAGACAACAGCAACGTGAAGTTCTACGCATTCGTTCTCTCTCTTGGTATGGACCCCCCCCCCAGGAAAAAAACAAAGATTGAACGATCCTACAACCATCATAAGATTTTCGCATACTCCCAGACCCCCCGGTACTACGTTCGTGCTCCTATAATCAGCATAAGATTTTCGTACACAGGGGGGGGGGGGATTCCACACTCCCCAGACCCCCGGTACTATATTCTTTCTCGAAAAGTTTCAACAGGAGCTTGTGGGGTAGGAAATTCCCTTTAAGTGAGGAGGATTAAGTAAAAACTGTAATGAAAGTTTCAAGGGGTGGACATTTTGAGGGAGAACGTAGTACCGGAGGGTCTGGGGGGTATGGAATACCCCCCAGGAAAAAAAGACAGATTTAACGTTCCTGTCCCTACAACCAGCATAATATTTTCGTTCACTGGGGGGTATTCCAGACCCCCCGGTACTACATTACTTCTCGAAAACTCTCAACAGGAACTTGTGGGGTAGGGAATTCCCTTTAGGTGAGGAGGATTAAGTAAAAACTGTAACGAAAGTTTCTAGGGGTGGACATTTTGAGGGAGAAAGTAGTACTGGGGGGTATGGAATACCCCCCAGGAAAAAAAGACAGATTTAACGTTCTTGTCCCTACAACCGCCATACGATTTTCGTTCACTGGGGGGGGGGGGTATTCCAGACCCCCCGGTACTACATTATTTCTCGAAAAGTTTCAACAGGAGCTTGTGGGGTAGGGAATTCCCTTTAAGTGAGGAGGATTAAGTAAAAACTGTAATGAAAGTTTCAAGGGGTGGACATTTTGAGGGAGAACGTAGTACCGGGGGGGTCTGGGGGGCATGGAATACCCCCCAGGAAAAAAAGACAGATTTAACGTTCTTGCTGCTACAACCGGCATACTATTTTCGTTCACTGGGGGGTATTCCATACGCCCCAGACTCCCCGGTACTACATTCTCTCTTCAAATGTCCACCCCTAGAAACTTTCATTACAGTTTTACTTAATCCTTCTCACCTAAAGGGAATTCCCTACCCCACAAGCTCCTGTTTTCCTGCTTTCCATACCCGGCCCAGGCCCCCCGGTACTACATACTTTCTCGAAAAGTTTCAACAGAAGCTTGTGGCGTAGGGGACACCCTGTCAGTGAGGTGGATTAAGTAAAAACTGTAATGAATGTTTCTAGGGGTGGACATTTTGAGGGAGGACGTAGTACCGGGGGGTATGGAAAACCCCCCAGAAAAAAAGAAAGATTTAACTTTCTTGCTGCAAAACCAGCATAAGATTTTTGTACACTGGGGGATATTCCAGACACCCCAGTACTTCATTGTTTCTCGAAAAGTTTACACCAGGAGCTGGTGGTATACGGAGTACCCTTTAGGGTAGCAAGTTTAGGTAATCCTTTAAGAACATTTAGAACTGATCATTTTGAGTGAGAACGTAGTACAAGGGGATTTTGGAGGGATGGAATAGCCCCCATGGTAGAAAAGATTTAACGTTCCTTTTCCTACAACCAACAGAAGATTTTCGCGCATTTGGTGGTTTGTCTTTGTTCGAGCTCCATGTACAAAATGAGTGCTTGAGGGTAACAAGAGGGTGGTTGAACGACAGAGGATGTGAGGTAAGCCTCTTTCGAATTCCCAAACTTTACAGCTTCCGTATTCCTTTCTTCTCCTTTCTGATTTGATTCCTTAGAGTTCCTGGCTCTTTGATTCATCCTCAAAGCATATACCCATGATCCAAAGATCTCCGGTTATCCATCTGCCCCATCCATAGTCTTCTTATATTCTTTAACTCTTCTTTAACTGTAACTCCTTCGGTTGTTGTGGTTTCTTATATTCTCTCCTTGTCTAAGTAATCTAAGTGAAGATTATGTAATCATTTCATTTGGGACAGTCCGAATCTGTACACAAAGCACAATTTTGCCTCTTTGGAAAAAAATGTGCTATTCATTTTTAATGTCTGTCATTGTAACCGCGACCTTGTTACGATATACCTACAATGCGAAATGTACGTATGCAGAATATTTTGGTATTCCCCTGAAGCTGTCTAATATTATGCCTTAGATTTAGTGGTCAGGTCTTGCTTATCTTGGACATTACCTAACTAAAAGAAAGCGAAATGAGTGAATCCTTTATTTAGCAATTCGTGTAGGTGTCTTTCCGAAACAGTACTGTGAAATAGTAATGGAAGCAGAGAGAGACAGCAAGAGAGCGCTTTTGTTCCCTAGTCCTTTATAAATTCGTGAGATCCATTTAAAGTTAGTCTCCAGAGCTTCACTACGCCATGAAGTTAGCCTTCTTACTTATTCCCTTCCTGGTCGTCTTCGTCCTTTACGAGGTAAGTTTCTGACCGAATTATTCATCACTAAGTCTGTTCTTATCTAGGGCAAGGCCGACGGCACCGATGGATCGGACAATTCCGAAGGCGCCTCTGAGGATCGTAATGTTACGAAGGAAGGGGTTGATATAATGGTACGAGTTATAAAGTGGGCCATGGAAAGACACGCTAATGCTACCAACACAAGCAGCTCAGATTCGCAATAATTAGATTTAGCTATGAGTATTTTAAAATAAACGTTAGAGCAGAATTGTCTCAAACTTTTTGAGGCACTTTTACCTTCAAAAAATCTAAATTGAGTGTACCTCTCCTTTTATTAATAAAATAAAATAGCATGTAATCGCATTTACTGCTGCTCGTCTCTTTCTTTGCGTTCGCCCTCTTGCCCTTTGCCCCGAGAACCCTTAGCGTTTTTCTGGGCCTTCTGGGAGCTCACCAAAGTTCTCCTTCGCCCGTCTCAGCCCCTCCTCAGTCTATTTAATCGCTTCTTCGCCAGTTGCATTCTTCAACAGCATGCCTTATGTAATTCAATTACTATTTTTCCAAAATTTAATGAAGCAATTATGCAAATTTTTGCTTTTTATAAACAGTAAACGCGAGTTGTGTAACGCAAATCATCAAGCCATTAGCTTTTGAATTGCTTTCTTTTACAGTAATTTGGAGCAATTCTCGAAAAAAGTTGTCATTCTCGTTTAGCTCGACCTTCATCCTCTTGCTATATAACCCAACGGTCGGCCACCCAAATTCAGACAAGTACACAACATGAAGTTCTACGCGTTTGCTCTTCTCTTAGCCTTCCTCGTCATCTACGAGGTAAGTAGTGTCGCTGGTTAATTCAGATTGCTACAGTTGTTGAGCAGGTATCCGGCCAGAGTACCGAGAGTAGTGACAGCGATGGGGATAACGCCGGTAAAGCAAAGGGAGAAATGAAGAGAGGTGCTAAAGCGAAAGGCGGAAACGGTTGCGGGAAAGGGAGGGACGGAGCCCCAACCACAGGAAGTCCAGAGGCCAGTACTACCGAATAAGTTTGTGTGTAACTGACCGTATCTTAATAAATGATCTACAGAGCATGTAATTCTGTATATTTTCGTTAAACCCGTCGGTGAAGTTCAATACAATTTAGTTTGGTGAGGGCGGTCATTGACCATTATCACTTTACTGACACAATTAGAGGCGCAACATGCAATAATTGTAAACAAATTTAATTAACTTGCGTGATCAGGAGGCCAGAATCTGTGATCCTCATCACCATAAAGCATTTGTCAAGAGTCTATCGCTTGACTATTGCTGACAATGCTTCTTGACCGTGGCTGGTGGTAATCCTTTTGTCATCAAACCCGCTGGGTGCAGTTTGACATTCGTGTGCTTCAGTTCTGCGGAGGGTGCGTCTGGCTCAGCATTGGCTATTGCTGATTGGTTATCTTCAAACAGGAGGTATGTCAAGCAGTCAATCAATTCCCGGTATCTTCAATCATTCGTAAAAGAGAGAAAATATCGCTTACCGTTCCATGCCGTTGGTCTCATGGCACTAGGTATGAGACCGAGGAAGGGTGTTTCTAAAACTGTAATTTCCCTGGGCTCCATAGTTCACATATCAGATACTGGTTCATCCACCCCGTCGGAGTAAGCTGTTCCACCTTGGGCTTGGTTTTTTTTTAATGAGATTCGCTCCTCTAGGTTCGGTCACTTAAGTCAAGACCCGTCACATCCTCAGGTCCACGCGACTTCTGACCTTCTGATGCATGGTTTCCCGTCATGGCTGATCTCAAGTAGATCAGTACCAGGACGGCGCCGTTTCACCTCGTGCAAGTCCTTGGGCACCGACACGACAGCCGAACGAGGTAGTTGCATTGGCTGTCTCTAACAGCTTTGCCTGTGAGCATCCCTATATTAAGGTCACATAAAATTCTGTCTATCAGAAGAATATAATTTGGGAGGAGGTGTTTCTGCTCCTAATACACGAACTGTGAGTTAGAAAACTTTTGTAAAATTTATCTAGCTACCAGGAGAACATGTGGACAAGGAGATATTTCCTGAATATCACTTAACAAATTCTCAGGATAACATGATGGGCGATAATTCTCTTTTCATCATCCAAAACTTGTATCAAGAGCATATAATGAGCGAGGTGGTGTGTTACGTGTTCTGAACGAATGGGAAGGTAGTTTTTTCGAAAAGTGCGTCTATACAGACTTGGATTATGCACGAACAAACAAATTAACTACATAACGTGCACGTTTGTTATTTAGGGAAAACGTTTCAACAGCTTTCTTTAACGTAAAAAAGGCTTTGAGACTCGAACGGAAAATCTAGAGGGCTCAAATACTCGCAGGAGTCGAGTTCTCTTGAAGTTTTTTGGAAACATTTGAACGGAGGCTCAGAAGAATATGGAATACCCCCAGGTAAACAATGATTCGGTTACCTTTTCCCAAACATTATCGTGAGAGTGCTAATGGAAATAGAGAAAGAAATATCGAGGTCGATACGCAAATTCTCCTGGTTTTTTTCTTTACTTGATTTCCATGTCCTTCCTTCCTCTAGATTGAATGGAATCGAGACCCTCAAATCTCCCTTCTCCCACTCCTTCGAAAGGTTGTGCATATTCTTTTGATACTGGATTTGTAAGAGCATTCAGTGGAATGGAAGATTGTCCTTTTTGTCATCTTAATGGCTATAGAGCATTGTTTTCCTAGTGGATTCGGGGTGTCTGAAGGCGAAATGTCGTGGGTTTGGATTAGAGCTATTAGATTACAACTGTGGAATCGGCATAAGGTCATTTCAGCATCGTGGAAACTGCAACGTATTTGCGAATGATTTATTGCCCTGGTTTCTTGTTTGGTTCGTAGGGCGGGAATTAAGCAAACGAATTAACGATTACAGATGGCCATCTGCGTTAATAAGAAACCATTTTGTAGGACTTCTTTAATCAATAGGCAATAGAGGGGATTAGTTATAATGAAAATTTTTTATAGATTCGTGATTAAGCACACAAGGAAGCCAGTGCGTGATCCTTTAATCAATTCGCGTTTGCCCATAAGTGCGACCAGTTAGTATCCAATTAAAAGTTGTGATTATTTCGCATCTGAACTACGGAAAGTTTAGTATGAAGCGCTAAGTCGAGAGTAAACTATCATCGCACAAATTGGGATCGTTTTCCGTCAAGGGCAGATTAATTTAACGCTTTGAGTTGTTTTACGCTACCAAAAATTCAGCTGTATCGCCGTTTGTGAACAAAAGGGGATCAACCTTGACTGTTGGAATACGGAGATCCGAAATTAGAGAAAGCGGAGATCACGCATCTGATGTATATCGCACTCAAAAAGCCTGGTATTTTCTATTTAGCCCTTTTTAAGGGCACTTCACACAGTAATGGCCCAAAACACAGAGAAGAAAAAATGTAAATCAAAGCAAATCGTTTATTCTATGGTTAAACATTGTATTCACAAGTTGAAGCCTATTGTTCATCTCCCGAACCTCCACTGCCTTGGCCTTTCCCTTCGCTCTTTCCTCTACCGTTTCCTTTTCCTTCGCTTTTTCCTCTACCGTTTCCCTTTCCCGCACTTTTGCCCCTACCACCAGAGCTATCATCACCGCTATCACCTTGAGAGTCGGCGTCTTGGGCGGAGACCTGCAAAAGCTATTAGCAAGTTGATTTAAACAAAGCAACCACTTACCTCGTAGATGACGAGGAATGCCATAAGAAGAGCGAATGCGTAGAACTTCATGTTGAACTTGTGTCTGAATTTTGAAACGTCGCTCTCGATTTATATACTGTACTGTAATGATGATCCTTTTCAATCTGAAGGTTGATACCATTAAACACGAATGGCTTGTTTTTTTTTGCGGAAATCGTACATTTCCGGTTACTGATTCAATCGAAATTTACTTAAAAAACGTTCATCTGCCATTAAAAGAAACTGCCATAGAAATCGCGTGGACTGTTTTTTTTTGCAAATTGAGCAGTCACCTCAAAAACGAATTAATTGATGAAAATGGGAGCCATGGATCTAATTAATCAGACTGGTCGCCAAGTAGCACAGATTCTAAGGGAATCTCAAGGGAATTCCACTTCTGATTAAACCTTTTGTGGCCCCCAGGTCAACTCGAAATTATTCTCAAAATTCAACTGCTTTGAAACCCCATAGCATGTGCCCTATGTTGTTTTCTTCCTCTCCACAGATTCTACATTTTCTTTCTTCGTCTTTTCTCCACTTCTCCTTTCCCCTCTCCTCATTTTCGCATCTGAACCACGCCATTATCTTAATATTCTTTCTTTGGTTCCATAAGTATTTCGGCAACCACGCCCTCATTAGCTCCTATTAAAATTTAAGCTATTATTTCACTTTTGCACACTTTATTATTTGTAACGTCATATTGTCCTGTAATTGGAATGTTTGTTTTTCTGTTGGGCAATAAAGGGAAATTTAATTTAATTTAATTTAATTTAGTTCCTTGTACCTACTGCTTCCTTGTGAACCACCTATAAGGTTTCTGAGGGCGAAACGCAATATGTGGGAAAGAGGGGCACTGGGCACTCCACACCTTCAGAGTTTCCCGTCCCTTTCCTCAGGTGTTCAAGCTTTCATCATCAAAGGTTCTTTAAAAGAAACTTCCAGTCTCAAAGTGGAAAACCTTCGAAAAGGTCTTAAAGAGCTTTCCTACATACCTTTCAACATTCTTGCAGGGACCCTACTTTCAGTGATTTGGTTTTTGGGCGTCGACAAGTGATACCGTGATCTTGATAGGTGGTAAAGTTTCTTCAAAAGCAGGAGTTAGGTGTCTTCAGAGCCTCCGTTCAAATGTTTTCAAAAAACTTCAACTCGACTCCTGCGAGTATTTGAGCCCTCTAGATTTTCCGTCTCAAAGCCTTTAGGACTACAAACCTTCACGTCAAAGAAATCATTTAAGTGATTTCCCAAAATACACATTATGTAACGCATAAAGTTAATTTGTTTTTTCGTGCATAATCCAAATCTATACAGACACACTTTTCGAAAAAACTACCTTCCTATTCATATTTAATGACCATCATTACAAACGCGACCTTTATTTAGTTGTCGTTTTCGGTATATAATGCGAAAGCGGCGTTCCAAAATTCAGACACAAGTTCAACATGAAATTCTACGCATTCGCTCTTCTTATGGCATTCCTCGTCATCTTCGAGGTAAGGGTAGCTTTTTTAAGTCAATTTGCTAGCTTTTGTTCTGTCGTAGGTGTCCGCCCAAGAAACTGACTCTGCAGGTAGCGAGGGTGGTGATGAGAGCTCTGGTGGTAGGGGTAAAAGTGCGGGAAAGGGAAACGGTAGAGGAAAAAGCGAAGGAAAAGGAAACGGTAGAGGAAAGAGCGAAGGGAAAGGCCAAGGCAGTGGAGGTTCGGGAGATGAACAATAAGCTTCAACTTGTGAATACAATGTTTAACCATAGAATAAACGATTTGCTTTGATCTACATTTTTTCTTCTCTGTGTTTTGGGCCATTACTGTGTGAAGTGCCCTTAAAAAGGGCTAAATAGAAAATACCAGGCTTTTTGAGTGCGATATACATCAGAAGCCGGATCTCCGCTTTCTCTAATTTCGGATCTCCGTATTCCAACAGTCAAGGTTGATCTCCTTTTGTTCACTAACGGCGATACAGTTGAATTTTTGGTAGCGAAAAATAACTCAACGCGTTTAATTAATCTGCCCTTGACGGAAAACGACCTCAATTTGTGCGATGAAAGAGACGAAAACCACACTAATTTTCTGTAAGGATCACGCTCTGGTTTTCCTGGGTGCTTAACCACGAATTCATACAAATCTTTCCCATAACTAATCCCCTCTATTGCTTACTGATTAAAGAAGGCCTACAAAATGGTTTTTTTATTAACGCAGACGGCCATATGTAATCGTTAATTCGTTTTTTCCAAATCTACGACATTTCGTCTTCAGACACCCCGAATCCATTAAGAAAACAATGCTCTATAGCCTTTAAGATTAGGCAAAAAGGACAATCTTCCATTCCAGCGAATGCTCTTACAAATCCAGTATCAAATCTCCGGACGTCGAAAAGAATGCGTACAAGCTTTCTGAAGGAGTGGGAGAAGGGAGATTTGAGGGTCTCGATCGTTTAAGACATTCATTCAATCGACCTCGATATTTGTTTCTCTATTTCTATTAGCACTTTCATAATAATCTTTGGGAAAAGGTAATCGAATCATCGTTAAATTGGGAGATATTCCATACCCCCTGGGCCCCAGGTACTACGTTTTCTGTCATACTTCTTTGTAAAATAGGATGTGGTAATTTTCCCAACCTATCCATTTTAAGAGTTCTGAGGGCTAAACACCTTAAGGGGTAGGGCGTAGCACCGGGGGGTCTGGGGGGTATGGAATACCCCCCAGTCACACAGCACTGCCCTCAACAAAGAAGGGCACGATATTTCCTTCTCTATTTCCATTAGCACTCTCATGATAATCTTTGGGAAAAGGTAATCTAATCGCCGTTTACATTGGGGGGGGGGGGGGTATTCTACACCCCCCAGGCCCCCCGGTACTACGTTTTCTGTTATATTTCTTTGTAAAAGAGGATGTGGTAATTTTCCCAACCTATCCATTTTAAGAGTTCTGAGGGCTAAACACCTTAAGGGGTATGGCGTAGCACCGGGGGGTCTGGGGGGTAAGGAATACCCCCCCAGCCACACAGCACTGGGCACAACAAAGAATGATTTGATATTTCCTTCTCTATTTACCACTATCACGATAATGTTTGGAAAAAGGTAACCGAATCATTGTTTACTGGGGGTTATTCCATACCCCTCAGATCCCCCGGTGCCCATCTTTCCCACATTATTGCGTTTCGCCCTCAGAACTCTTATAGATGGTTCACAAGGAAGCAGTAGGTACAAGGAACTAAGGAGCTAATGAGGGCGTGGTTGCCGAAATACTTATGGAACCAGAGAAAGAATATTAAGATAATGGCGTCGTTCAGATGCGAAAATGAGGAGAGGGGAAAGGAGAAGTGGCGAAAAGACGAAGAAAGAAAATGTAGAATCTGTGGAGAGGAAGAAAACAACATAGGGCACATGCTATGGGGTTTCAAAGCAGTTGAATTTTGAGAATAATTTTCGAGTTGACCTGGGGGTCACAAAAGGTTTAATCAGAAATGGAATTCCCTTGAGATTCCCTTGGAATTTGTGCTACTTGGCGACCAGTCTGATTAATTAGATCCATGGCTCCCATTTTCATCAATTAATTTGTTTTTGAGGTGACTGCTCAATTTGCAAAAAAAACAGTCCACGCGATTTCTATGGCAGTTTCTTTTAATGACAGATGAACGTTTTTTAAGTAAATTTCGATTGAATCAGTAACCGGAAATGTACGATTTCCGCAAAAAAACAAGCCATTCATGTAACCATAGAATAAACGATTTGCTTTGATTTACATTTTTTCTTCTCTGTGTTTTGGGTCATTACTGTGTGAAGTGCCCTTAAAAAGGGCTAAATAGAAAATACCAGGCTTTTTGAGTGCGATATACATCAGAAGCCTGATCTCCGCTTTCTCTAATTTCGGATTTCCGTATTCCAACAGTCAAGGTTGATCCCCCTTTGTTCACTAAGGGCGATACAGTTGAATTTTTGGTAGCGAAATATATCTCAACGCGTTTAATTAATCTGCCCTTGTCGGAAAACCATCTCAATTTGTGCGATGAAAGTTTATTCAGCGACGAAATTCCTTGATAGTTCTCCACTTAGTGCTTCATACTAAACTTTCCGTAGTTCAGATGCGAAATAATCACAACTTTTAATTTGATACTAACTGGTCGCACTTATGGGCAAACGCGAATTGATCAAAGGATCACGCACTGGTTTCCCTTTGTGCTTAATCACGAATCCATAAAAAATTTTACTATAACTCATCCCCTCTATTGCCTATTGATTAAAGAAGTCCTACAAAATGGTTTCTTATTTACGCAGACGGCCATCTGTAATCGTTAATTCGTTTGCTTAATTCCCGCCCTACGAACCAAACAAGAAACCAGGGCAATAAATCATTCGCAGATACATTGCAGTTTCCACGATGACCTTATGCCGATTCGGTAGTTGTAATCAAATGGCCCTAATCCAAATCCACGACATTTCGTCTTCAGCACACCGAATCCATTAAGAAAACAATGCTCTATAGCCATTAAGATAGGCAAAAAGGACAATCTCCCATTCCACAGAATACTCGCTTATTTATTCTTACAAATCCAATATCAAATCTTCGGACTTCGAAAAGAATGCAGGCAAGCTTTCTGAAGAAGTGGGAGGGGAGAGATTTGAGGGTCTCGACCGTTTAAGACATTCAGTTAATCGAACAGATCAGTGGAATTATGTTCTTATTTATACTAAGAAGTGTAGAACCCTCCACATGGTGATCAAGTGAAGAAAAAACCCAGGAGAATTTCCGTAACAACTGTGGAGGTGCGAAGATCACGCCCCCCCCCCCCCCGATGTTACGTTCTATAGTCTATTCACAAAAGCCCCGTGTAAGTGGCATGTGCACTAAACGTTTGAGGAACTCCCCAGGAAAGTTAACTCTTTCCTTTTCTCCTTTGGGGGTATGGAATACCCCCCAGCCACATAGCACTGCCCTCGACAAAGAAGGGCACGATATTTCCCTCTCTATTTCTATTAGCACTCTCATGATCATCTTCGGGAAAAGGTAATCAGATCATCGTTTACACTGGGGGGTATGCCATACCCCCCCAGACCCTCCGATACTACGTTTTCTGTCGTAGTTCTTTGTTAAAGAGGATGTGGCAATCTTCACACCTTAGCCACCAAGAGGTCTCAGGACTAAACACTTTATGGGGGGAGCGTAGCACCGGGGGTCTGGGGGGTATGGAATACCTCCCAGCCACATAGCACTGCCCTCGACAAAGAAGGGCACGATATTTTCCTCTCTATTTCTATTAGCACTCTCATGATAATCTTTGGGAAAAAGCCGGGTTTCGAAATTGCGAAAGGAAAAGAAAATTAAAAATTGTTGCAACGTTTCTATTTACAAAGACATCAGTGCGCTCGTTTAGTACCTTCCATTAACGGGGTAGGTCTGCAATTGACGCCAGACCATCTGAAGGCCGCGGTTGTAGCGCTCCAAGAGGTTATCGACCGAAGATCTCCGCGCGTTCGCCAAGTCTTCAAACTGTCTCAAAACCGTCTCCAAATTTTCGCAGACCTCGCTCTTCAACTGCTCCAAATCCATTCTCGGCGCGCGCTTGAGAACGTTGTCGAACGCCAGCTTCAGATTGCGGATATTATCGGCGACTTGATCGACGCGGATCTCGCGAGAGATCTCGTCGAGGACGTTGGCGAGCTGACGAATTTGGCTTACGATTGTGAGCTTGGCGATGGGCTTGCGCTCGAGGACGTCGGTGATCTTCCTGGTTAACTTCGCGATCTCTTCGACGACGCGTTTCGGTTCGGGCGTCTCCCAGCTTCTCTGACCGAAGCTGTCCTTATTGGTTGGGCGGTACCATGGCTTGTTGGTCATCTGGCGGTAGCTGTCGGACCTTGTGGGATACCAGCTGGTGGGCTTGTTGTCCATTCCCTTGTATAGTTCCCATTCCGGTCGGTAAAGCTCGTCGGTTTCGGGCATTTTGATGGTGCTGGCGGTTTTGTGGGTTTGTCCGTTGAGAATCTCCCCGAAGCTCTTATCGTCGACGTGGACGATCACGTTGGCAATTTGCACGAACATGTTCTGCACTCCGCTGAGGAAGTCGTGCAGGGTGACGCGGACGAAGGTTGGCATGTCGGGGCGGTATTGGGCACCGCGAACGGTTTTGGCGGGCACCCACATGAGCTGCTCGATGAGAATCGCCGAGCGTTCCATGCTCGATGCCAACTTGAGGACGTTTCCGTTGAGGTCGTCCATCACCTTTTGCTCGGTCATCTCTTGGAGGTCGAGTTGGACCTTTTTCAGTTCACTCGCTATTTCCGTGAAGAGGTCGTTGTCTTGCACAACGGCGGCGGCCTGGTAACGGTTGATGATGTTGAGGATGAGTTGGGCCATCTCGTGGGATTCGACCACGATTACCTTGGCGAGCAGCTTGTGATCGCTGGGGATGGTCTGCAGGAATTTGCACAGCTCGATGATGGCGGTGTCGATTTGCATGGCGACCAGTTGGTAGTTCTCGCTCTGTTGGCTCATTCTTGAGATGTTCTGGATTTGGATGTGAACGTTCTTGAGCGTCCTGAGGTAATGTATAAGAACGCGACGGACGGCGTCCTTATTGGTCGTTTGGACTAGGACCAACTTCTGGAGATCTGCCCCGATACCTTGGATCAGTTTGTTGAAGTGGAGCTTCAGGTCGTTGATGGTGAGGGTGGTCATTGAGCTGGCCGTTTGCTCGAGTACCGCCAGGGAAAGCTTGAGTGCGGTCTGGATTTCTTTGATTTCTTGGTGGTTTTCGTGGGCGAATTCCTTGTCAACTTTGTGGATGAGGGTCTTCAATTTGCGCGCGAATTTGTAAATTTGGACACCCAGGGCTTGTTTAATAGGCGTGGTGCTCCCGACGATTGTCTCGAGGGATGGCATGATGTTGTTGGTGATCATCGCGACGCGATCACTGAGCTCGTTGATTTTGCTAGCGCCGTCGGTCTCGTGGTGGGTGTAGTGCAGCTGAATGTACATATTGCGCAGGGTGGTCAACATGTTGGACAAGACACCGTGGAGTATACCGGTGTGGGTGCCGACGTGAGTTTCGCGTACCTGCTCAGCGCTAATCGCCACTAATCTGTGCATTCCTTGGATGAACTCATTGAGTGACATTTCGAACTTGGCCCAGAACTCTTTGACATCCTTAACGTCGACACTTTGAAGGAGCAGGGATGTCTTGCCGAACACGTCGGCGATCTTCTCGATTTCCACGTTGTGCTCGCCGTTACTCTTCATCTTGTGATGAATTGAGTTCAAGGTGTTCTCGATGGCTTGCAGATATTCCCCAAGCTGAATGGTCAAGATTTGCTCAAGGTCACCCTCTGACTTAACCGCTTGAAGTTGGCCAAAGAGCGACTTGGGGATCTGCTCGATCTCGTTCAAGATTTTCATTGGGGATTGTCCGCTGGCGACCACTTGGAAATTGTGCATCATCTGAATGTGGAAATTTTGCAAGCTCAACAGTAACTCCAGGAGGATGCTTCGGACGTAGGTCGACTGCACGCCGAGACCTTCCTGCACGTCGGCCTGGGAGATCCAGCACAACCTCTGCACCTCCTCCGCAGCCTTCACGATCTTGTTGGCCACCTCCGTCCTGTGCTCGCGAACCTCCCCGCCGCTCCCCTTCAATTCGGCGCCGATCCGCTTCAAGCTCGAGCCAACATCCTTGTAAACCCTTCCCGATTCCGAAACCTCCTAAATTTCACCGATCAATTCCGCTATAATCTACCACTGACCGACTAGTTACCTTGGAAATCAGCTGCTCGGCGATCGTGTCCAGGACCCGCGCGAACTGGCGGATCTCCCACGCGAAGGTGCGCCTCGCGAGAGGGTTATCGGAAACGAATACCACGAGCATCTCCCTCAGATGCTCGGCAACCACCTCGATTTGCAACGCGAGCTCCCGGGGGCTCTGGCCGACCTGCGCCACCTGGTTGATGCGCTGAATCTTGACCTGGATGTTCTCGATGATGATCAGGTACTCGCCGAGCACGCTTCTGACCACCTCCTCCAACTTCGCCTCGTGACCGAGCGACGCGAAGCCCTTCATTTCGGTCGCGATCTTCTGCACGAGTATGTTGAAGTGGAAGACGACCTCGCGGATCGCCGCGATCTTGGTCTTCTCCATGAAGGCCTCGAACGACTCGGTTATTTCGGAGATCTTGCTCGCGATCTTCGCAAACCTCGGATCTTCCTAGAAATTAATCTAAGTGGTAGCGGTTCGAGCCCGGTGCGATACTCACAATGTTCTTGATGCGCGTGAGTATGGCCTGGACTCGGTTGATCAGGTGGTGAACCTGCACCTCGAGCTTCTCGCGAATCATCACGTCGTTGGTCGGAACGTTGCGGAGGTAGACGAGCACGCTGTTGGTGATGGTCTGAATCTGCTGGCCCATGTGATCGATCGACTGTTTGCCGGTCGTGCTTTGGTAGATGTTCTGGTACTGGATGAGCTGGTGCTGTAAGGTCGCGAGGAAGTCGTTGTAAATCTCGTAGGTGGGCGTTTTCAAGGGACCTTGATTTTCGCGTTCGATTCTCAAGAGCTTTTCAAACTGGGCGACGGACTTGTGCACGCACCGGGTCAGACCCGACTTGATCTCCTCCTCGTCCATGTCGCGGACGGAATCGACGATGTGCTCCAATTCGGCTATGACCTCGTTTAATTCTGCGGTAACTCCACGGATCGCCCCCAATTTGACTTCCCCGAGCTTTTGCACGATGCTCTTCAGGTTCACGATGAACTCGTGGGTTTGATCTACAAGAATTTGCTTTGCGTGCTTGTTCTCGAAGGAGAGCGCCTTCAAAGTGTTGGTCAGTCCGTTGGAAATCGTACGGATTTGGAGGGCGAAGCTGGTGGTCGTTTCTCCGTGGGGAACGTTAGTCGTACCCATGGTGTAGATGTTAAATTCCACCACGCTGGTGGAGGCCAAAAAGTGCGAGAGCGCGTTTTGGTCAATGTGGTGCTGCTTCATCGCGGTTAGTAGATTACCGAAGGCATTGCTGAGCACTTTGCGGCATTCCACCCCGTTCATAGCCTCGCCACGTTTAAAAAACGCCTCGAAATGGCTAAGTACATCTTCGGGGATGTTCGTCTTGAGCTCGCTAACGTAGTCCTGGATCACATTCTTGATGGCGTTCTTCACGAACGCGTTGTCGAATTCAACGTGCTTCAAGTTATCCAAAATCTCTCTGAGGTTGCTTTCGGTCTGCACCTTCAGCCCGGTTGACTGCATGGTTAGCATTCTAACCGCCTCCTTCACCACGAAACAGTACTCGGCCAAGACGGTGTGGAGGAAATCGTACAGTTTACCCCCTAAAGTTGACCGGTAAGCGTAAGACGCTAGCGCCATCAGTGTACTCACCTTGCACTCCGGCATACTCGGCCAGGCTATCGTAGATCTCGGCGACCTTCACCAACCGTTCGGAGAAATCACCACCAATCGCCGCCTTGGGATGCTGAAGAACCTGAAGAATCTTGCGCAACTTGTCGGCCAGCTCCTGCAAGGTCATCTCGACCTTTTCATCGCCGATGGAAGCTTTCAAGTGCAGCTTCGGCATCACGGTCTCGACACCCTGCACGTAGCGCCCGATCGCGCTTTCCACCTTCGCGTCGTAACCGTGCGACTCGAGGTGACGAACGAATTCGCGCGTGTCCGCCTCGATCAATCGCGAAATATTCTCGGGAGTCTTCTCCAGATAGCTCGTTTCCAAACCGGAACGAACACCCTGAGGAGCGACGGCTTTAAATGTGCGCAAATCGAAAGGTAACTCACCTGGAGGGCGAAGAGCGCGACGAAGACGATCGCCAACTTAGCCATTTTGGTTAAACAAACGAACTAAGTAAAAATGCAAAGGTGTCCGCTATTTTTATAGCATCTGAAAGTGATCCCCTGACCTTAACTATCATTATCTTCGTTCACTTAGAGATAACCGTTGCAACTTTGTTGCTGGATACGTGGTGCATTCGTCCACCATTTGAAATGCCGGTAATGTCCACCCTTGTAGCTTCCACCTGCCCGCCCTCGCTTCTCAGGTTTCCCGTAGTGTTCCACTCCCGGTGCACGATTCCGTGACTTGGCAGCACCTTGCGGCATCTTCCCACGATAACCCCCTCTTGCGTAACCCGTGCGATTGTAATACATAGCAGCAAACCCAAAAATAGGAATGACCCTTTCATCTTTCCACGGTTAAAACTACTATCTACACTATTTAGACGTAGCCTGCTTCGTCAAAAGGAAAGGCTTTAGCAACCCTCGACCTTTAGTTTTCAGTCTTCGGTTCTCAGTCTCCAGTTGACACCTTTTAGTCCTCGGTCTTTAGCTCCAGTCTTCAATCACCATTTTCTGTCCTTCTGTGTTTATTGTAACGAGTATCCCAGACATCGGGGCGCCAGCAGCCGCCATCGAGGTGACATTAAAGATAAAAACCTTGTCACAACTTCAGTCAACTTTCTTCTGTACAGAAATGTTATGAAAATAAACTGTATCCTCAACCAATCAAATAGACTAAAAATAGCGTAAAGAAACGTACGCGTTCTAACCGTCGCGAAACAGCTCACTTGCGGTATCTAACGAAGCACCACTTCCATAATAAAATAAATCACCTTCTTCCGGTTTTTACAGATAAAGCACCAATTAAAATTTGCCTTGATAACGCCAGCTTCTACAGAACGCATCCCCACTTACGGCGAATTAATGCGCACATCGTGCATCTCTTCTAACAACGACAAAAAACACGTGCGTTAATTAAATTTCGTCCGATAACTAAAACTCTTATCGCAAACGACCAGATGTGTCTACAATTTAACACGGAATTTCACATTTTACAATTAAATAAACAATACACAATTGCAACTATTCCAAAAGGAAATACAAACCACCCCGCCTCTTCCCAAATTTATTCCACTAAATAAATTGAAATACTTCTTATATACAGGGTGGCTCGTCATTATTCTAGTCGTTTAAACCGAAATATGGTTTACATAACAATATTTCATTTTGCTTGTCTTTTCTTACGCACAAAAACCCTTCGTTTTGATTCATTTTTCAGTCTTCGGTTCTGAGTCTTCGGTTCTCAGTCTTCGGTTGTCAGTCTTCGGTTCTCAGTCTTCAGTTCTAAGTCTTCGGTTGTGTCTTAGGTTCTCAGTCTTCGCTTCTACGTTTTCGGTTTTCAGTGTTCGGTTTTCAATTTTCGGTTCTCAGTCATCGGTTCGCAGGCTTCGGTTCTCAGTCTTAGGTTCTCAGTCTTAGGTGCTCAGTCTTAGGTTCTCAGTCTTAGGTTCTCAGTCTTCGCTTCTACGTTTTCGGTTTTCAGTGTTCGGTTTTCAATTTTCGGTTCTCAGTCATCGGTTCGCAGGCTTCGGTTCTCAGTCTTCGGTTCTCAGTCTTAGGTTCTCAGTCTTAGGTTCTCAGTCTTAGGTGCTCAGTCTTAGGTTCTCAGTCTTCGCTTCTACGTTTTCGGTTTTCAGTGTTCGGTTTTCAATTTTCGGTTCTCAGTCATCGGTTCGCAGGCTTCGGTTCTCAGTCTTCGGTTCTCAGTCTTAGGTTCTCAGTCTTAGGTTCTCAGTCTTAGGTGCTCAGTCTTAGGTTCTTAGTCTTAGGTTCTCAGTCTTCGCTTCTACGTTTTCGGTTTTCAGTGTTCGGTTTTCAATTTTCGGTTCTCAGTCATCGGTTCGCAGGCTTCGGTTCTCAGTCTTCGGTTCTCAGTCTTAGGTTCTCAGTCTTAGGTTCTCACTCTTAGGTGCTCAGTCTTAGGTTCTCAGTCTTAGGTTCTCAGTCTTCGCTTCTACGTTTTCGGTTTTCAATTTTCGGTTCTCAGTCATCGGTTCGCAGGCTTCGGTTCTCAGTCTTCGGTTCTCAGTCTTAGGTTCTCAGTCTTAGGTGCTCAGTCTTAGGTTCTCAGTCTTAGGTTCTCAGTCTTCGCTTCTACGTTTTCGGTTTTCAGTGTTCGGTTTTCAATTTTCGGTTCTCAGTCATCGGTTCGCAGGCTTCGGTTCTCAGTCTTAGGTTCTCAGTCTTAGGTGCTCAGTCTTAGGTTCTCAGTCTTAGGTTCTCAGTCTTCGCTTCTACGTTTTCGGTTTTCAGTGTTCGGTTTTCAATTTTCGGTTCTCAGTCATCGGTTCGCAGGCTTCGGTTCTCAGTCTTAGGTTCTCAGTCTTCGCTTCTACGTTTTCGGTTTTCAGTGTTCGGTTTTCAATTTTCGGTTCTCAGTCATCGGTTCGCAGGCTTCGGTTCTCAGTCTTCGGTTCTCAGTCTTAGGTTCTCAGTCTTAGGTTCTCAGTCTTAGGTGCTCAGTCTTAGGTTCTTAGTCTTAGGTTCTCAGTCTTCGCTTCTACGTTTTCGGTTTTCAGTGTTCGGTTTTCAATTTTCGGTTCTCAGTCATCGGTTCGCAGGCTTCGGTTCTCAGTCTTCGGTTCTCAGTCTTAGGTTCTCAGTCTTCGCTTCTACGTTTTCGGTTTTCAGTGTTCGGTTTTCAATTTTCGGTTCTCAGTCATCGGTTCGCAGGCTTCGGTTCTCAGTCTTTGCTTCGGTTTTCAATTTTCGGTTCTCAGTCATCGGTTCGCAGGCTTCGGTTCTCAGTCTTAGGTTCTCAGTCTTAGGTTCTCAGTCTTAGGTGCTCAGTCTTAGGTTCTCAGTCTTAGGTTCTCAGTCTTCGCTTCTACGTTTTCGGTTTTCAGTGTTCGGTTTTCAATTTTCGGTTCTCAGTCATCGGTTCGCAGGCTTCGGTTCTCAGTCTTCGGTTCTCAGTCTTAGGTTCTCAGTCTTAGGTTCTCACTCTTAGGTGCTCAGTCTTAGGTTCTCAGTCTTAGGTTCTCAGTCTTCGCTTCTACGTTTTCGGTTTTCAATTTTCGGTTCTCAGTCATCGGTTCGCAGGCTTCGGTTCTCAGTCTTCGGTTCTCAGTCTTAGGTTCTCAGTCTTAGGTTCTCAGTCTTAGGTGCTCAGTCTTAGGTTCTCAGTCTTCGCTTCTACGTTTTCGGTTTTCAGTGTTCGGTTTTCAATTTTCGGTTCTCAGTCATCGGTTCGCAGGCTTCGGTTCTCAGTCTTCGGTTCTCAGTCTTAGGTTCTCAGTCTTAGGTGCTCAGTCTTAGGTTCTCAGTCTTAGGTTCTCAGTCTTCGCTTCTACGTTTTCGGTTTTCAGTGTTCGGTTTTCAATTGCTTTACGAAAGCCGTCCCGTGTGGCGCAGTTCAATTGAAGCTGGGCTGCCGTACTAAGAGACCATGGTTCGAATTTGGGTTTGGGCATGGATTTTTTAATGTGTGCTGGGTACGGTAGGTAGAGCAGTTTTGGTTGAAACCCCGCCCATTCCAAAATAAAGGCAACAATAAGATAAAAATAAAAAATACCGATTCCATACCAATAAATGTACCGCTCGCCTGGAATTCTGGGCTGATATACGGTTGTGGTCACGAAGTACAGAGTCCATACCACTAAATTCGGTTCACTCCCGTCTAGTGCTTTAGAAATATCGTCCAATAATCTTAGACTTCCAGTACAGAAAGAGAGGTTTATGCCGAACTCGCCTTCGGATCGCTCAGCTTTGGCATAACCTTTTAGCAAATATCAGCAAAAGAAACAAGCGAAGAAAATCTGACCATTTATGAGTGCGTCTACGAATGCCGCCGAACGAGCCTGAGGCGAGTTCGGCATAAATCTACCGCTCGCCCGGAATTCTGGGCCGGCATACGGTTGCGGTCGTGAAATACAGCGTCCATACCAATGCCGAGCGAGCCGAAGGCGAGTTCGGCATAAATTCGGTTTACCCTCGCCTAGTGTTTTAAAGATATCGTCCAATAATCTTAGACTTCCGGTACGGGAAGAGAAATTTATGCCGAACTCGCCTTCGGATCGCTCAGCTTTGGCATAACCTTTTAGCAAATATCAGCAAAAGAAACAAGCAAAGAAAATCTGACCATTTAAGAGTGCGTCTACGAATGCCGAACGAGCCCGAGGCGAGTTCGGTATAAATCTACCGCTCGCCCGGAATTCTGGGCCGGTATACGGTTGCGGTCGCGAAATACAGAGTCCATACCAATGCCGAGCGAGCCGAAGGCGAGTTCGGCATAAATTCGGTTCACCCTCGCCTAGTGTTTTAGAGATATCGTCCAATAATCTTAGACTTCCAGTACAGAAAAAGAGGTTTATGCGAACTCGCCTTCGGATCGCTTAGCTTTGGCATAACCTTTCAACAAATAACAGCAAAAGAAACAAGCGAAGAAAATTGAAGAGTGCGTCTACGAATGCCGAATCGTTCGGCTCGCCTGGAATTCGGGGCTGGTATACAGTTCCGGTCACAAAATATATAGTCTATACCAATGCCGAGCGAGCCGCAGGTGAGTTCGGCATAAATCTACCGCTCGCCCGGAATTCGGGACTGGTATATGGTTGCGATCACGAAGTAGAGAGTCCATTCCATACCAAATTTGTTTCGCCCTCCTCTAGTGCTCTAAAGATATGGTCCTATAATCTTAGACTTCCAAAAGCAGGAAGAAAGATTTATGCTGAACTCGCCTGCGGCTCGCTCGGCATTGGTAGGCGCACTCTTAAATGGTTTTGTATTGAGAAGATACAGTGTGCGAGAAGGTGTACCAGGAGTCTCAGCTAGCAAGCTCTTGTAAAATTTTTCTGACCACCAGGAGAGCAGAATGGGCAAGAAGGTTATCAGTCTTCGTTCTTCAAACTTCAGAGTACTTTTTACTCCAGTCTTCAAACAGAAATCTTTACGTGCAACCTCAATCTTCAGGTGTGAAGCTCTAAAGATTTTTATAACAGGGGTTTCATTAACGTAATTTGTGCGTTCGCCCCCTAACGAAAGTGCGCGAACTAATTTATTAGTGCGACTAATAATCCTAATGGAGCCATTAAATTAGATGCCAAAAAGCGATTAGGTCAATTTGCTGATTAAACCGCCCGCAAATCGATCGAGCAAGATGGACAGGTGCGACTTCCTGAGGGCGTCGAGCGTAATCCACGCGGCCCAAAAGTACATGGGCATGAACGACTACTACCTCCGAAGAGAGTCGGGAGAACTGAAGAGGTACGGCGCGTGTGGCCCGTACAAAATCTACCACTACTCGCTCATCGCGATCCTTTGCGTCGCCCAACTGCTCGCCGAGTTCCTGCTGAAGCCGCCGACGCCTAGGAGCGTGCTGCAGCGCGTCGTCTTCGACTATCGCGCTTACTCCGAGCTCGTCGCCGTAATCGGAATGGCTGCGAACAAGGCGATGCATGCTAATCGGGAGATTCGTTGCGTGGAGGCGATTTGCGGGTTCGACGAGGAGATGGCGCTGATTGGCTTTCCGGTGGATACGTCCGAAGTGCGCCGGTTTAACTTCGCGTACCTTTCCGCGCTGTTCTCCATGCTGGCGTTGGAGTTCCTCGGTGCTTTCGCGTTGAAGAGAAACGACCCCGGCTTTCTGATGATGCACTCGGTGTTTCTGACGAAGAACGTCTTCAAGTACATGTTCGCCGTCTCCTTCCGGCACTGGATGCTATCGGTGGCTTATCGCTTTCAGGCGATCGGTAAGTCTCTGACCGTTGTAGCGGACCGGAGCTCATTGAAGCTGTACAAGATTCGATCAGTGGCCAAGCTGCACGTGGAGCTATGCGAGATACTCGACACCCTGCAGCGCTCCAAATTGCTCACCGCCCTGCTCTTGCTGGTAGTGAATTGGATAACGGTTGTAATCGAATTTTACCACATGGCGATATCGTTGTACCAATGGGACCGTTTCGGACTGTCCATGATGCCGTTCACCTGCTACGCGATACTTTTGCATTCGATCGACAGCACTTTCATCGTAATTTGCTGCGGCCAAATTCGAACCAAGGTAACTTCCACGTCACCAGCACGAGCTACAGTCTTTGTTGCAGGCGAATCTTCTAAAGAGGCCGCTTCTGCAGCTGATGACCAACGAACGCGATGAGCACATCCGGAAAGAGGTGAGCGAGCGACATTTTCCGTCGAACCTTCCCCGAAAAGCTCCATTTCAGATTAACGCGTTCGGGCTGCAACTGCTGCACCACGACGTGAAAGTGACCGCAGGAAAGTTCTTCACGATCGACACTCCGCTGATCTTCGCGGTAAGCAAGGCGTCTTCTTCGACAAGCTGCAAAAGTCGTGTAATTTCAGATGGTTGCAGCCGGATGCACGTATCTCGTTATTCTGGTACAGTTCGAGCTGGCGTTTGCGTGAAGTTCCACAATGAATCCTGCAAAACAATGTCTGCAAATTGTTTATATCTATTATCAATTAAACTGAACTTCTAATGAACCAGTGACTATACTTAAAAGCCCAACAACAATTTTAGGGAGGGGGATATGTAACGGGACCGATTAGTACATCGCGAAATGTATGTCCTTTTGAGTCTTTACGTTGTTTTACAGATTGGCCGAGTTCATCTTATTTATTCCTTTCTTCTAAAAATGTTGCAATTTTTCAGATTCTATGGATCACAGTTTTGTGGACTCTTGTAATTCTTTTTTGTTCTTCTGTTACCCAAAAACATTTAGTGCTAGCATACTCCACAGGTCTGTCCTTTTGCAAAAACGAATGATGAGAGTATGGGTACTTGTTCTGAGGGGTATGGAGTACCCCCCCCCCCTTCCGCCAACAAAGATTGGATTAACTTTTCTCAAACACTAGAATGAGGTTTTTAGAGGAAATGGGAAAAGAATTATCGAGTCTTCCTTTACTGAGGGTACTGCTGGATCCCCCGATACTACATTCTTTTTCTTTAGCGTTAGCATAGTCCACAAGTCTGTCCGTTTACAAAAATCAATTATGCCACTTTGAGTGCTTTGTGGAAAAACGTAGTACCGGGGTCCGGGGGGTCTGGGGGTATGGAATACCCCCCAGCATACAAGTATAAAATTACCTTTTCTCAATAGCTGTCATGAAGTTGTTAGGGGAAATAGGAAAAACATTGTCGAGTCTCCCTTAGCTGAGGGTACTACTGATGAGAATTGCTGGGGGGTATTCCATACCCCCTAGACCCTCCCGTACAACATTCTTTTCCGAACACATTTATCGTGAGCATAGTCCACAAGTCTGTACGTTTACAAAAATCAATTATGCCAGTTCGAGTGCTTTGTGGAAAAACGTAGTACCGGGGGGTCTGGGGGGTATGGAATACCCCCCAGCATACAAGTATTAAATTACCTTTTCTCAATTGCTGTCATGAAGTTGGTAGGGGAAAACAATTGTCTCTCTTTGCTGAGGGTACAACTGAGGAGTATTGCTGGGGAGTATTCCGAATATCCCCCAGACCCCCCGGTACTACATTCTTTTCCAAACACAATTAGCGTTACCATAGTCGACAAGTCTGTCCGTTTACAAAAATCAGTTATGTCAGTTTGAGTGCTTTGTGGAACAACGTAGTACCGGGGGATCTAGGGGGTACTGTTAAGGAGGATTCCATACCCCCAGACATCCGGTACTATGTTCTTTTCCAAAAACATTTACTGGTGCCATACTCCACACGTATGTCTTTTTACAAAAACTATTATAGAGTCTGAGTACTTATACTGGGGGGTATGGAGTACCCCCCTCCCTCCCCCATACAAATATTGAATTATCTTTTCTCAAAAGCTATTATGAGGTTATTGGGAGAAATAGGGAAATAATTATCGAGCCTTCCTTTTGCTGAGGGCACTGCTAAGGAGTATACCTGAGTATACCCCCCCCCCCACCTCTAGGTACTACGTTCTTGCTTTTACTCTTTTTTTTTCACATACCTACCTTTCCGTCTACAACTTACTTTCCTTCTTCCTTTCTGTTCCCTAAAGTCAGTAGATATAGAAAGTACCGCAATCATCCGCCATTTTTGGGCAAATTTGCTGCCAACTTAAAAAAATTGACAAATAAAATCTAAATAGCTGTAATTTTTTATAACCTAACTTCATAGTACTGTCATGTTTTATAAAAATATATACAGATATCTCCAAACAGGTGGAAATATCCCTAATATTAAAGTTACTAGAATCTGGTAATTTCCGCCATTTTTGGGCAAAAATCATGCGTTCTCTCTCTAACACACGAGCCCATTGGATTGCGGTACTTTCTATATTTAGTGACTTTACTGTTCCCATCCGTCTTCCTCTCCATTGTCCTCCCTTTTTTTGTATCGTTTCGTCCTTCTCTCCACCGTGATTGTAAGCATCACTTTTTCTTCTGTTCCGTTCCCCGTCTCTCTCACTCTAGTATTTTTCACTTCAAAGCCTTCAAAGCGATCAGATATGCGTTCAGAGTCAATCTATTCAACGTCGATAAACTCGAAATCCCAGTCTGAATCTTGAAACCCTTCAAAATCTGAAAGCCCTCGAGAGTTTTTTAAGAATCCTCGGAGAATTCAGAACGCTCGCAGTCTTTGAAACACTGTGAGTCTTTAGTCTTCACGATCTTCAGGGTCATTAGGTCCTTTTTTCAAGGACTCTTTTGAGCACTTCAAGACAATTTGAGGTTTTGCATGGCCTTGAAAATCTTCAGTGATTTCAGAATCCTTTCTTCATGTCCCTTAAGCCTCCAAAGCACTCAGAGCTCTAAGGCCTTCAGAAAAAATCAAGAAACAGCGCATCGGTGACTTTATTATGTTACCAACCTAAAATTAGAAACATTCCTAAAATTAAAAGCAACAAAAACTAAAACTAGATCTCGTCCGCCCTCGTCCTTCGATAGAACTGTCTCGAGTAGGCCGCCGGGCCGCTATCGAAGAACCCGAACCACTTCCGCTGGTACGCGAAGATAAAGAAAAGCACGAGCGGTATCCCGAGCAGGAGTCCGATAAGGACACCGATCAAAATCGTGCCGTCCCTCTCCGGTCGATTCCCGTACCGATCCAGGCACCTCATCGACTTGTTCCCCATGTGCTCCTTGTAGAAGGTGTGGTCCACCATCTCGATCGGCGCGCCGCACCTGCAAGACGAACGTTAGCGACGGGGCGACGAAGAGGCCGCTTACTTCATCTCCTTGGCGATCGTCTCGTTGATTTTGACGTAGATTGGCATTAGAGTGTCGACGATCCACTGGTTCTCGCACTCGCACGTCCACGGGTTGTAGCGGAGGTCGAGCTGATCGAGGTGATCCCAGTGGAGGACGAGGTGGGAGTCCAGACTTGCCAGCTTGTTGTCCTCCAGGTAGAGCTTCTTGAGGGGCGGCCATAGTTCCGTCTCGACTTCGACTCGGCTCAACGCCGCCGGGTCGATGTGGCTCAGCTTGATGTTGTTGCAAATGTGCAGCTCGACCAGGTGCTCGAGGTTGCTGAGAGCTCTGGCACCGATGCTCTCCAACTCGATGTTGTAGCACAAGTGGAGGACTTTCAGTGTTGAGATGTTCGGGAATGCGCTGAAGGTTGTGCGGGGGTTACTCGTCGTTTATCCGGCGCTAACTTACCTGTCCGTTGTGATGTTCACGATGGGGTTGTTGTTGAAATAGAGAGTCTCTAGCACCTGGGCGTCCGCTAACCCCTGGGGAATCTCGGTAAAGTCGTTTCCGGAGAGATCGAGCAGCTTCAAGTGTCTGGGCGTGTGCAGAAAGTGATCGGGTAGCTGCTTGACGTGGGTGAAACGAAGGTACAGCTCCTTCAGGTAGATGATGCCGCCGATTGCGACAGTCGTTTGCAAGTCAAACACCTTGAAGGGGTTGTAGCTCAAGTCCAGCACTTCCAAAATCTCCTCGACGTGCATGAATAAGTCTTGGTCCAAAGTGTGTAGGTCATTCATGTCAAGCTTCAAGGTCTTCAACGATCTTAGGGGGTAATCTTCTCCGTCCATGCGTTTACCCTAAAAACAGTTAAAAGTGTGACTTGTCGAGACTGCAGGTGGTACCTTCAGGACCCCCGGTTTCAGAACGTTCAGATTATTGTCGCTCAAAATCAGCGTCTCCATGTTTTGCAACTCTGCAAAGCACTCGACTTTGATCTTGTTAATCCCATTACGGCTCAAATCCAAGTAGCTCAAGTTTGAAGGGGGAAAGGGCGTAAGAAGGTCGCCTACTTGAGCGCCCTTAAGCAAAACCCTGGCATATGGTATCGAATGGTTCTTCTCGTCCAGCCAACTCCGATTCTGGTACAACACCTTGGCATCTAACGCAATTTCGGAACAATCGACGTCAATTCTCTTCGCCGAGTTTTTGCACTTGCACTTGTTGCACAGCTCGGATTGGGCGTTCGAGTGAGCCAGTGCAAGGCATCCCAACACGAAAAGGTAGCGACTCACCATCACCCAGTCCATGATCGAACACCACGTAAGACAAAAACGGGCGCTTATACAAAATTTTTTTTCGAACCGATAACTACACACAGTCACTCTAATTATTGCGAAAACATTCACCTGTTCTCATCGGAATTGTACTCTAAACCCGAGCCGTATCTTATCAACGACCAAATAAGATAAAACGCTATCCATCGCTTTTAGATGTAGTGGGTGCGGAGAACCTCGATTTTTTTTGGTTTTAGCGTGACGGTGCGTCACCGCACTTCGAAAGTGACTCAATTTTTCCAAAAATTTCAATAACCAGAAGAATCTGCATTTCTTCCACACGTTTCAAAGTCCTCCGCCCTTAAATTCAACCCTCACAGTTCCAATCGAAGGTCGTCCATTTAAATTGTAAACAAATATTTTGATAATGCGCAAATTGGGCGGGGAAAGATAAACTAAAATAGCTTAATTCTATCTGGGGTATCTTTTGGAGTTACGAATTTGCTAATTTTACGTTTGGAAAATCAGATGGGAGAGAAAATGGAGGAGGGAGGGGGGGTCTGATTATTTTTATCGAGTCCAACTACTGACTAATGGCGTACCAGGAGCGCAGGCTATTAATACAATACCTCTACGCTTAGTTACATGTTCTTCTGAAAAAGTTTTATTAGGAGAACATACACGAAACATAAGCCGTAAAAACTTCCTAGCACTTTTAATTTTCCAAGCACATCTTTTTTTAACCGAAATAGCTTTTGTTTTGACATCACCAATGGATGTATTTATTGCAGATGTGTCAATCGCCCTTTGTGAGTACCCTTTTCCGACAAACCGTTTTTGCGGTACCTATAAGGGAATATACCCCATCACGATAAGAGGTCGAGGAGGAGGGCTATGGTTGGTAGAAATTAATTCCTTTCGTTGAGACCTTTCATTAGAGTACCATGAAGGATAAAACTAGCCCCCCCCCCCCCCCGGACAAAAAGAAGGGCAGTAGATGGTAGAAAGCGGTTCCTTTCGCTGAAACCTTTAATTATAATACAATGGGAGATAAAATTATTGAGACTTCTCTGTGAGGGTATAGTGCTCATACCCCCCAGACCCCTCGGTGCTGAGTTGCGTATTGTACTTCTTAGTGGAAGAGGATGTGGGAATCTTCCCAAAAACTGTTACAGGTTCTGAAGGATACACGTATTACGCTGGGGAACGCAGCACCCGGGGGCCTGGGAGGTATGGAATACCCCCCAGCATATGAAGACTTGATTACCTTTATGCTAGGGTTACCATGAGGCACATGATGCTAAGGGAAGAAATTATCGAGGTCTTCTCTGTGAAGGTAGTGCCGTGTAACTGGGGGGGTATTCCATACCCCCCACACCCCCCGGTGCTGCGTTCCGTATTGTGCTTCTTAGTGGAAGAGCATGTGGCAATCTTCCCAAAAACTGTTATGAGTTCTGAAGGATACACGTATTACGCTGAGGAACGTAGCACCGGGAGGTCTGGGGGGTATGGAATACCCCCCAGTTACACGGCACTACCCTCACAGAGAAGACCTCGATAATTTCTTCCCTTAGCACCCTGTACCTCATGGTAAGCCCTAGCATAAAGGTAATCAAGTCTTCGTATGCTGTGATGGGAGGGGGGGGGGTATTCCATACCCCCCACCATACGAAGACTTGATTACCTTTATGCTAGGGTTACCATGAGGCACAGTGTGCTAAGGGAAGAAATTATCGAGGTCTTCTCTGTGAGGGTAGTGCTGTGTAACTGGGGAGTATTCCATACTCCCCAAACCCTCCGGTGATACGTTCCGTACTGTACTTCTTAGTGGAAGAGGATGTGGTAATCTTCCCAAAAACTATTATGAGTTCTGATGGTGAGCGTAGCACCGGGGGGTCTGGAGGTAATGGTGGGCACTCCTAGCATACGAAGACTTGATTACCGTTTTCTAAGCGTTACCATGACGGTACTTAGGGAAATATAGAATAAATTAACGAGTCCTTTGTTGAGTACCCCTCAGTAGAGTACTCTCAGCTAAGGGGCGTTCGGGGCTCAACAATTCTTTCTGTATTATCCCTAGCACTATCATGGTATTTTTTGGGAGAATGGAATCTTATATACCTACTACACAAGAGCTAAACCAAGGCTCTTATTTTTTTTAGAAGAACGTAATGCCGGGGAATGGGGGGTATGGAATACCAGCCCATTAGTAGTATAGCAACACCGGTTTCAGCGCACTACTTTGACCTTGAGTTCTACGCATCCACTCCAAAGGTCATTTGAACTACTGCGCCTGCGCCAAGTATATGTCACTGAAGGTCATCGTGGTTGTTGTCGAAACTAACTAGGGTTCTTGCCTGAACTAATGCCACTGAAGTTCATCTTGGTTGTTGTCTAAACTAAAAATCCAATGAAGATATTTAATGGATTGCGATTTCGGGGAATGAGATTGGATTATCGGGCACTCTTGAGATTTGAGCCTAGGTCATCGTTGCGTGGAGGCTAATTTATTGATCGGTTATCGACGGCCACGTTCCTAGGAGATATTGATTATCGATTTCGAGAGATGCACATGGTCAATAAAGCAACGCCAAACAAAGGGGAATTCCTGACTTCATATTGGCTGACTCCTGGCTCACTGAAAACTTTAGGTGCATCCATCCCTTAGTTCAGACAAGAACCCTCTAGTTAGTTTCCACAACAACCACGATGGCGTATAGTTCAAATGAACTATGGAATTGACGCATGTACAGAAATCACGGTCAAAGTGCGTTAAAACTGCAAACTGCAAATTTTCTTGCATTTTAAATAATTTCGACGTTAAAATCATTTGTAAAATAATCGAAATTGTGAGTCCAGGACTTAGGAACATCAGCGCATGTGCGGTTAGAGTGCAAAAACAATATATTGCTATCTCTCGCACATGTTGGTTTCCGATACGACTGCGAATTTACGCAACATAAAGCGAAGGGTCAACGGACAATAACACGTCTTTGACGCACCTATTGACAAATAACGAAATTAACTAATTAATGCAATTGTGCGAGCGGACATTGACAATAAACAAGCGAAATGTACGGTATATCGCTCACTCGACCGGAATACTAATCATTCATTATTAATTAATTGTCTTCGTAAACACACGCTGCCATTATAAATAGAGTGGCCCCGTTTCTTGCGCGACCATTTTAATTTGAAAACGGTATGGCTGCCATCAAGCACCTCGTCCTGCTCGTCGCCGCCCTCTTGCTTCTGGCGCAGGTAAGTGTGGCGGAGGTTCCCGGTTCTGTTCAACGTTTGCGCAGGTGGCGGTCGCGTCGCAAATCCGCTGGAAGCGGGACACGCAGCTGCCTACGGCCGAAGAGGCGGGAAAGGCGATTAACGAGCTGATCGACGGGTTCAAGGCGAACGCCGACGCTCTGCTGAAGAGTATAAGGGTGAGTTCTTTTGGGATGCGCGGGGCGAGTGACCCCGGTTTTGTTCTAGGAGAGCGATGCCTACAAGGAGTTCTCGGAGTCTTTGTCCAAGTTTGGAAGCGCGGTCAAGTCCGAAAGAACGAAACTGATCGAGAAGGCCAAAACGGCCGTGGACGATTAGTGCAATCGCGATCATACGTACTTTGTACAGCGCGTAAGCGAATGTTATTGTATAATTATACCAAGTATCCTCATCCGGTTGCCGTTTATTTTTAATAATTAAGCTCTTCTGCGTGGGGTGGATTATTACGTTGGTGGATGATGGCGCCCACCTAGGATCCACGTACCAAAACCTAGAAATGCCTACCCACAAAATCACCCCCCCCCCTCCCCAATTCTTTCGTGTGTCCTCCGGCAAACTCGTTTCTCCCTACTAATACTTTCATGGTAATCTTTGAGAAAATGTACTTAGTCAAGTTTTCGTAGGCAGGCTGGGAGGTTTCTGTACCCCAAGACCCCCCAAGTGCTACGCTCTCGATCATGTATGGAATACCCCCCCCCCTCCCAGTAACAGCACTACCCTCTACTCTTCTGTATTTCCCTTGGCGCCCTCATAGTAATCAAGTCTTCGTATGCTGGGTGGGTTGGGGGGGGGGGGGGGAGGTATTCCAGCCCCTCCACTGTTACGCTCTCCACCATAAAACGTGCGTTCCCAGAACTCATAATCGTGTTTGGGGAGATTACCACAATCTTTTTCAAAAAATTGTACTATGAGCATTGTTTAAATACTTTATTTAAACAACGATACGAGAGTCTTGAACTGTGATCCAGTGGCGTAGAATACCCAAATGGTGCCTAGGGCAAGTATTAAAATAGGACCCCTTCGTAAATTATGATCCTTGAACTCGTAGAAATCGATTGGCGAAATCGCTGTTTCTTTTCGTTTTCGTTAGACGAGGAACTGGGTACAGACGGACAAAACCATCATGGGTGGCCACTATAAGACCTGGGGAACCTACGCTATGAAGAACAGTAGGTGGTGGATGCCTACGTTATGAATGACCAGTAGGACCAGGGTGTCTTTCTTCGTTATGGGAAAAAGAATTCGACTGAACTTTGATGTTTATCATGTTTTATTCGGGCTGATCAGGCTTGTCCAACAAGGTCACGGCCTTTTTTTGAGGTTACTCAAGTTTCTCGACGGAATCAAGTAGTCCGTGAAACGTTGAGTTTAAGTACATTCATACTGTCAAAATTTGATTGACACACTCCTTTACCAAAAAACCCTTAAATCATGCATCTATGACGTCATCAGTGAAGCGTTTTTCTTGCGATTTTAAGTTAAATAGGGCGCGGGGGGTCTTAAACTTTCTAAAATTTCCATCCACATGTGTTGGAAGCCTTTTGTCGCCACGAATTTTCCTTAATTTCCTTAACATAAGAATTGTCCGCCATTTTAAAAAAAACTAAACGTCAAACTGATGGACGAGTCCATTTCAAGTTAAACAAAGGCGTGTCATAGGTCGGTTCACGGTGCCAAACGACGTTTGCCAACGGCCAATCACACATTACACTTTTTTTGCACACCAATGCCGAGCGAGCCGAAGGCGAGTTCGGCATAGCTCGGGCCCTCCCTTATACCCGCCTCTCTACGTTCACAGTGGCAAACGACGTTTACACAACGGCCAAACACACATTACACTTTTTTACACACCAATGCCGAGCGAGCCGAAGGCGAGTTCGGCATAGCTCGAACCCTCCCTTAGACTCCTCTCTCTACGTCCACGGTGGCAAACGACGTTTACACAACAGCCAAACACACATTACACTTTTTACACACCAATGCCGAGCGAGCCGAAGGCGAGTTCGGCATAGCTCGAGCCCTTCCTAGACTCCTCTCTCTACGTCCACGGTGGCAAACGACGTTTACCAACGGCCAAATACACACATACACTTCTTTGCAGACCAATGCCGAGCGAGCCAAAGGCGAGTTCGGCATAGTTCGGGCCTTCCCCCATTAGGTGGGTTCATAGCTCTCCGTTCATCCGTTGCGTTGATCCGTCAAACGGATAATACATTTTGTTAAGGTTCATAGCAATCCGTCCACATTGTACATTTGCAACTTATAACCATAACCTAAATTTTATTTTGTACTGCACCTTCCGTGATTTTCAGTATGTAAAAATGGTACGAAAGTAAGAACACGTTGCCATCTGATTATTACTCTGAAAAATGAATAGGCGAACACTGTTAACGTACCAAACATAACCTCACTCTTGTTAAAAACGGACCAACGGAAACGTAAATGTTCAACTTCAACCAACTTTTCCGTCGTAAACGGACGACGTACGATTTAAAAATTTGCTGTCTTCTGATTGGCTAACGGACAAACGAAAACGTATGAACGGAGAGCTATGAACTTACCTTTATACCCGCCTCTCTACTTTCACAGTGGCAAACGACGTTTACACAACAGCCAAACACACACTACACTTTTTTACACACCAATGCCGAGCGAGCCGAAGGCGAGTTCGGCATAGCTCGAACCCTCCCTTAGACTCCTCTCTGTACGTCCACGGTGGCAAACGACGTTTACACAACAGCCAAACACACATTACACCTTTTTACACACCAATGCCCTTTTGAATGGCGCCCAGGGCACATGCCCTTCCTGCCTCATCCTAGCTACGCCTCTGCTGCTTTGTGGGGAAGTAGTTCATATGTCTTAAACAAAAATCTTAACATAACCTCAAATTTTTCGACAACAAAATGTAATTTTTTCAAAATGTTAAAAACGACTAATTACTCGTGGTGTGAGCAAATAATACTTCTACTAACCCTCACCATTTGTGGCATTTTGTTATTGGATTACAACTTCTCCGTACTACCAATACATGGCATTTACCTATTCGCTTACCTATTCCTCGTCTTAACATCGTCCTCCTGCGTCACATTCGTCTTGCTACAAAGAATTCTCAAAAACAACAACCCCTACGAGTACGACTTTGACAGAAACACCTCTCTGAAGCTACTCGGCTACTTATACAATGCGCTGTTTGTCCGTGAACGGGCAGTTCATCGAGCGGAGGGCACCAAAGGCGAGAGAAGTATTAAGAGCATCGACGAGCGTATCGACACCCTAGTCCGCGACATACAGGTACGTTTCATACTGAAATGGTACCTGAACGTAAGCAGCGACGCGACCTTTCTCTCCGAATCGAAGCTGCTGATCGACGACGTCATCCGTCGATTCCTCCAGGTCGTGATCGACGTGAACGGTCGCAAGTTGGCGCACGGCTGCAGCACGATCTTCCTCAGGCACGTCAAGGAGTACCGCAAGGCGCTGAAACGTTCGCGTCGAAGCTCGGGTACCGTCGACGACCTCTACCGGTACGCGCACGTCGGTAGCAAGTCGAAGAAGAGCGCCGATTACTTTGTCTATCAGCTGACGTCGAACGTCCTGCGGCAGTTCGTCAATTGGGAGTTGTGGAACTCGCTGCCGTGTCAGTCGGTCGTCTCGATCCTTTCGAGACGGTTCACCTCGTACGTTTTAACGTTCGTCTCGACCCCCGGGTACTTGAATTATAAAATCGTCGAGACGTTCGCGTCCGAGTCCGTTCGGGCCTCGCTCCAACTGGATCGGTTCGCCTTCATTAGCATATCCGATGTAGACCACGGCGGCAGTCTGGATCAACTGAGGAAGGAATGTCTGGAGGTGAAGGAGACGGTCGTGGAAAGGTTAATCAAGGAGGAGAGTCTTACGCCGAAGGTGTCGCCGAAACGAAACGTGAAGGATGTGGACGAGGCCGACTGTGCCAACGAGTCGCAGACTGTAAGCGAGGCCGATGCGTGCCAGGTACGTGTTGTGGAAGTGAGGTTAAACCATTCCTAAAAATTTTCAAAATGGTTGTAGACGGGTCCACAACCGAAGCCGACTGAGCCAGTCAAAATTTACGAATCGAAGTCAATTTCCAACAAGACCTGGCGTAATTCGAGCGATCTGGAGTGCATCTCGTTGGGACAAGATCTGCTCGCGTTTCAGGAGTTTAACGATCCCGATACGCAAATTCAGCAACTCATCGAGAAGAAATTATGGAAAGATAATGCAGGTACCTACTTTTTATTTCGCGCAATTTTACAACCACCAAGACTGACTGTCTTTCATACTTCATGTCTTTAGATACTGTGGACGAAGAGAAGACTTCATCGAGTTGGGATTTAACGGAAGGGTTGTTTGTGGAGCAGGAGAATGTCAACGAGCCCGCGGCAAACTTCCAAAATTACATCAAATCCACAGCGAATCACGCGCTGAAACCCATCGGCGACGTGACCGCCTCGACGCTGCACAACATGAAGGAACTGCAGCAGACGACGGTCAACAACGTGGTGAAGCCGGTCTCGCAGGCGACAACGAACGCGATGCACAAAATCGGCGACCTGCAGGTAAACAACGAGTTGCTCCGTTCACGCGTAACTCGCAACTTTCAGGACGAGGCCGCCGGAGTGGTCGAGGGCATCCTCGACTTCGGCATCGCCGGCCTGCGCAAGGGTCTAAAACTGACCGGCCTCCAGGAGAACTTCACCGAGTTCACGCAGAAGGCGAAGAGCGAGTTTCACGACCTGCACAAAACGATGGACATCCAAACGGGGAAGATCTCCGAGGCGATCAAGATCATCGATCCCGTCGACTCCAAGCACAAAACGAAACTGGTCAAAACGCCTCGCATAACGTCCGAGGACAAGACGGAGACGCTCGCGTCGCACAGCGACTCGGACGAGTCGGTCTGGGTGAATCCACTCACGAAGGACTCGCCGAGTTTCGACGGCGACATCCTGCTCGTAAGTTGCCCTCTGAATTTGCGCGCGTTTTGATCGGCCTCGTGCAGGAAAGGACCCCGGACGCTCCCAAGTCGATCGTCTCGGAGGCGGCCGAGCGCGCCATTCCGCAGATCACGGAGGAGCCGGCCGTCGAAGGTAGTCCCGATCCCGAATACGAGGACACGCAGGATCTGGCGACAACGATCGCGAAGTTGAGGAGTCTGCTCGCGCAGAAGTCGGAATCGGGATTCACCACCCCGTCTCTGAGTCCCATGTGAGTATAGACGCAAAAGGTCCTTGTAAAGATACCAATCTTTAGGAAGGTAACAGGGGAAGATATGTTCTTTGCGTTTCTGTCCTCCTACATCCCGTTTTACTGTGCTCCTAGTACTTTCTAGGGGATCCTGTATTTTTTAAGGTTCATTCTGCGGCTTCCTGGTAAGTACGTAAGCCTAGAGTGGGAGTTTCTAAATCTTAGACCCTTGGTATTTGTCCATCTATTTTTCCGCAACGGCCGGACAGAATTTGGGCCCCATTACAACATGCGCTCCTGTTACAAGTTGCTATTTTCAGGTTTCAGTGTCAAGAGACAACACATCTCACAACATTTCTGCTGTCTTGATACAAGTTATCATTTTTAGTCGAGAATTTTGTATCAGGGCAACAGATTCTTGGTATACGACCCCACTTACGCCGAACTAACGCGCACATCTTACATCTGTGTTACCTAACAGCGATCAAACGCGCGTTAATTAAATTTCGTCCTATAATAAAACTTCTTATCGCAAACGACCAGATGTCTCTTAAATTTTTACACGCAATTTCACGTTTTACAATTAAATACACAAATCTAAATAAACAATTTAGAAAAGCAATAAAATTTAAACCTGAAATGCATAACACATAAAGCATACAAAAACCCTGCTCATCGCACAAGTCGATAACAAAATCACAATTGATCACTTTCCTGCTACAATGTGGGAAATTCCACTCGAATTTCAAAAATAAATTGCGCAGGCCCCAAGAGGAGGTAATGAAAACTCCGCTCGAACCCGACCCGACGAAGACCGACGGCGCCATGCCCAGCCTGTACAAGTTCTGCGCGCGCACGGCGACGGGCGTCTTCCAGAACACACTGAACACCATCAAGACCGCGCTACCCGGAAACGCGAACGACGCCGTGCCGATTCAGGTGCCGTGCACGAACGGCGAATGGACGTTCGTCGAGGGCGACTCTTCCGTAAGCAACCCACTTGCACCAACCCGTGGAGTTTAACGCACCCCTTTCAGAGCGACGACTTCAACTCGCGAATGAAGAAGTTGCTGTCCGAACGCCAGGCCTACTGCACAATCGACACGGCGTACGAGGCGATACATTCGTTGGAGGTCGCGGATCAGGCCGACCTGGGTTCGCCAATCGCGCACTTCGAAGGTAAGCCGGTTTCGGGATCGGGTGATTTTACGACACGTTTGCAGATGAACTCGACGATTTCGACGTCCACGTCCCGATCACAAAGGTCCTCGTCGACGTAATCGTCGAGCTGCTAGGCGACACGAAGATATGCCTGCTGCAGGAGACCGTGGTGAAGGCGCTACTTTTGTTCGTCGGTTACTACACCGAGGAGCACATCTGCAGGCAGTCCGACAATCTCCTCCACAACATCAACAAGTTCGTGGGGAAGCTGCCGGACGCCGGCACCGAAGACGTCACGGCGTTAAAGCTGGACGAAATGGTCAAGATCTGCGCGGAGCAGTTTCCGAGCGCGATCAGGAAGCTTCTTGGGGAGCAAACTGTTAACGCCGCAGTATCTCTCTTTCTAACCTCTTTACAAAGCCAAAGAATTAACCAAGATATTTTTATGCAGGTGTTCGAGCTCTTCGCGTCGGAACTAATAAACGCTTGCAGTCAGGCGTCGCCCGCCTACTCCGCTTAGGTCATTCCAGCGTAATTATTAAAGTATTAAATATATGTGATATGTAGCTTTCTTGATTATTAGTCTAGCAGCCTCTAATAAAATGGCAGTTTATCCGGAAACCTTTTGGATTTGAAAATAGCCCTTTACTTTTCCGTTGGCAACCTTGTCCGGACAGGAAGTAACTTCGTCACAGGAACCGTTGTTGGTCGGATCGGATAAAAAATATTTCAGTGCTGGCGGTTTGCGAGAAAATTAATTTCATGGCGCCTCGATGTCTATGGAAATTTCGGGAATGTTCGCTACAATACTTGCCAAAAAGGGGGAAACAAGGCAGACTAAGCGTTCCTTGTTCCGGTCTTGACAAGCTAAAGAAATAAAATACTTGATAGGGATAGAGCATAACTAATAATTGACGTCACAATCGAGGGTGGTTTAACGTAATGATCTCAAAAATACTGTAATGCATAGATCTGCAATGCCAGAAGAAAATACAACACAACAAACAAAAAGTGGTAGTGAATAGCGAGGTACAAAATATTGCGAAGTATCAAGTCTAACGTCTGACACTGATCAGGCTACTAAAACTGTAATTCTTGTATCCCTTACGGTAAGACACGAAGTCGGTAAAAGGAAAAATGTGCATGTGACCAATGAGAAAGCACTGAGGGGAAAAGAAATATAACTGCGCGCAATAACAAATTAAAAAAGAAGGGCTAGCATTAAGTGCAGAAAGGTACAAAGCGCGAACTCTAGCAACAAAACAAAGAACTATCGTAAAAGAAACCTATAACACTATCGGCAAACTAAAGAACTAATGACAAATATCACTTGGAACAAATTTACTACAGGAACTGCTTATGCGATTGGAATGGAATATCCCCCCTTTGCTTGGGGCGTATGTATACCCCCCAGACCCTCCGTGCTACGTTTTGTGCAATACTTTTTTGAAGATAAACATCTGATAATCTAAAAGGCACAAAAAAACTCTTGCCTTGACTTCAATTATTTCGGTAAAATTTCGTGTAAATGTCAATTAAAATTTGAAAAACTTACATTTTTTCCTCACGATGTCTTTACAACTCGTCGCCAAAATTAACCGCTGCCTCTGGAGAAACGTAAGACAATCTGATAGGGCAACCTCATTTCGGTGCGGCCGAATGCTGATGTGCTCCACTCACGTGCCGGGGGACGATTCCAAAATTGAGTACAGGTGCCGCCCCTTTTTTTTACGCGTAGTTCTCCCCGATTAACCTCCCAGCATTTGCAGGTCGTTTCAGAAGTCGTCGACGTGCCAGTGCATCAGATTGCCGCTGAAAAAGTCGCGACTGGCGAATCCGTTCCCCGACCCGCTGAAGATGATCGCGTCCGACACGGTCTCGGACGACGAAAAGGCGAGCAACATGCAGTTGACGTCTCGGTTGCCCGAGTATCCGGTGAGATCTTCCGTGGGGCAGTCGCGTCGTCGTTTCAGCAGCAAGTGCGGAGGTGGTCACATCGAAAAGTGCAAGAAAGTGACCACCGAGAAGTGCGCAAATAAGGCCGAGTCGCCCGAGTGCAAGTCGAACTTCGAAGTGAGTAACTTGTGATATGTACCTGTTTTGCGCATTAAAGTCTTCCTTGTGTCCGCGTTCGTTCTTCTTCAGCGTAAAGCTTGCGAAAAGCAGGAGGCCCCGTTCGATTCGTTCAGCGACCTCTATCGGGCGTCGCTAAAACCGTTAAAACGGAACGAGTGCAACTCCTGTCCGCGAAAAACCGCACCGACCAGCGAGATGAAACCCCAGAAGGAGTACCACACCAGCGCCACCGTCTTTGCGAAGCAAACCGAGCACAGTTCCGAAGCCGACATCCAGTCCATAGAAGCCTACGTCAAAACCCACAACGTAAGCGACCCCCGGCCCCCTTTTTTCGACAACCTAATCGCAATTTCAGTTTCCATACCAATTTCCCGAGACCGACTTCCCGACGAATTGTTGCTGTTCGAGAGGAGTAACAGGTTACAGTCGACCGTTCACCTACTTAGAGTATCGGCTCGTGAAAAAGGACACAGATGATTATAAGGGGAGGATCGAGGCTTTCGTGGTACGCGATCATTTCGTAAGACTTTCGGGACTCATGTCGTCAGTTTTAGAAGGACGAAATCGACGAGAAGTGCAAGGAGAAGAAGGAGTCAACGAGGGAGTGCCCGAAAGACTTGCTGGTGAAGAAGAAGAGGGAGTACAAACCTAAAGGCGATAAGTGAACGAGAGAAAAATGTAAATAAAAAAATTGCAAAATAAAGTTTCATCAAGGATTCTCCGTTGATTTTCTGTAACCCTGATACAATCCTTTTCCGATGATAATTGGCTATTGGAGGAGAACACGCTGCCTTCTGGAGTACCTGATCGACGTGTCTTGCATTCTATTATCTTGATAACAATTTCCCATGACCATTTGATACCAGGAAAACAGACCTGGGTGTGTTCCATCCTGTTATTGTCTTTCATTCAGAATTTGTCATCAGGTAAAGGTCTACGTTAAGGAAGTATGGCCAATTTTACACGTACTCTTATCCTGAACTTTTTCTTATTAATTTTGGTGCGTAGAATCCAAAACGAGTCGTACTTTTTCGATTAGACGTCTCAATCAAAAAGGTATGGGCAAAAAACCAATTTCGAAAAAAAATTCAAAGGGCTGTAACTTTTGATCTAGTAGCCCGATCTTGGAACTGGTTTAAATTATGGATTCTACAGGCCACATTCTATAAGAAAATATTTTTTTTCCGGTCGATCTGAGACAATTTGTTTTTGGGGCCAAAAAAAGGCAGTCCTTTTTTACCAAAAATCGACTGCACCAAAATTTCTTGGGAGAAAACTTTTTCTTATTAATTTTGGTGCGTAGAATTCAAAACGATTAGTACTTTTTCGATTAGACGTCTCCATCAAAAGTTATGGGCAAAAAAATTCCTGTTTTTAACATTTAAATAAATAAAATACGCCACTGTATTCTGACAACAGAAACGAATGAAGGTTTTTTAGACTTCGTCGCCCATTATGTTCTCCTGATACGAAATTTTCAAAAAAATCTATTAGAATAGCAGAAACGCTTGACTTTAGAAGACATTTCCGTGTACTTCTGTTCTCCTGATAATTTTTTTTTCACACAAAGGGAATATTTGTATCAGGATAACAGAAATGCCAAGGTAGTATGTTCTCCTGATACCAATTTTCAAAAAAAGACACACATGTATCGAAATAACAGAAACGCGAGAAGATTTTCTTAGACATTTTCGCGTATTATGTCCTGATACCAAACTGTCTCCAACAAACAAGAAATAAGTGTATTAAGGTCACTGAAACACGTGGATTTTTAAAACCTTGACACGTAATCATGTTCACCCGATACAAACTTCTTCGCAGAAAATAATTCTACCTGGTTAACAGAAACGCGAACTTGTCCTGTATTATGTATCAGGATAACAGAAATGCCAAAGTAGTATGTTCTTCTGATACAAATTTCACCGAAACACGTGGATTTTTAAAACCTTGGCACGTAATTATGTTCTCCCGATACAAACTTCTTCGCAGAAAATAATTCTACCAGGTTAACAGAAACGCGAACTTGTCCTGTATTATGTATCAGGATAACAGAAATGCCAAAGTAGTATGTTCTTCTGATACGAATTTCACTGAAACACGTGGGTTTTAAAACCTTGGCACGTAATTATGTTCTCCCGATAAAAACTTCTTCGCACAAAATAATTCTACCAGGATAACAGAAACGCGAACTTGTCCTGTATTATGTATCAGGATAACAGAAATGCCAAAGTAGTATGTTCTTCTGATACAAATTTCACTGAAACACGTGGGATTTTAAAACCTTGGCACGTAATTGTGTTCTCCCGATAAAAACTTCTTCGCAGAAAATAATTCTACCAGGATAACAGAAACGCGAACTTGTCCTGTATTGTGTATTAGGATAACAGAAATGCCAAACTAGTTTGTTCTTCTGATACAAATTTCACTGAAACACGTGGATTTTTAAAACCTTTGTACGTAATTATGTTCTCCCGATAAAAACTTCTTCGCGGAAAATAATTCTACCAGGATAACAGAAACGCGAACTTGTCCTGTATTGTGTATCAGGATAACAGAAATGCCAAAGTAGTATGTTCTTCTGATACAAATTTCACCGAAACACGTGGATTTTTAAAACCTTGGCACGTAATTATGTTCTCCCGATAAAAACTTCTACGCAGAAAATAATTCTACCAGGATAACAGAAACGCGAACTTGTCCTGTATTGTGTATTAGGATAACAGAAATGCCAAACTAGTTTGTTCTTCTGATACAAATTTCACTGAAACACGTGGATTTTTAAAACCTTTGTACGTAATTATGTTCTCCCGATAAAAACTTCTTCGCAGAAAATAATTCTACCAGGATAACAGAAACGCGAACTTGTCCTGCATTGTGTATCAGGATAACAGAAATGCCAAAGTAGTATGTTCTTCTGATACAAATTTCACTGAAACACGTGGATTTTTAAAACCTTGGCACGTAATTATGTTCTCCCGATAAAAACTTTTTCGCAGAAAATAATTCTACCAGGATAACAGAAACGCGAACTTGTCCTGTAATATGTATCAGGATAACAGAAATGCCAAAGTAGTATGTTCTTCTGATACAAATTTCACTGAAACACGTGGGATTTTAAAACCTTGGCACGTAATTGTGTTCTCCCGATAAAAACTTCTTCGCAGAAAATAATTCTACCAGGATAACAGAAACGCGAACTTGTCCTGTATTGTGTATTAGGATAACAGAAATGCCAAACTAGTTTGTTCTTCTGATACAAATTTCACTGAAACACGTGGATTTTTAAAACCTTTGTACGTAATTATGTTCTCCCGATAAAAACTTCTTCGCGGAAAATAATTCTACCAGGATAACAGAAACGCGAACTTGTCCTGTATTGTGTATCAGGATAACAGAAATGCCAAAGTAGTATGTTCTTCTGATACAAATTTCACCGAAACACGTGGATTTTTAAAACCTTGGCACGTAATTATGTTCTCCCGATAAAAACTTCTACGCAGAAAATAATTCTACCAGGATAACAGAAACGCGAACTTGTCCTGTATTGTGTATTAGGATAACAGAAATGCCAAACTAGTTTGTTCTTCTGATACAAATTTCACTGAAACACGTGGATTTTTAAAACCTTTGTACGTAATTATGTTCTCCCGATAAAAACTTCTTCGCAGAAAATAATTCTACCAGGATAACAGAAACGCGAACTTGTCCTGTATTGTGTATCAGGATAACAGAAATGCCAAAGTAGTATGTTCTTCTGATACAAATTTCACTGAAACACGTGGATTTTTAAAACCTTGGCACGTAATTATGTTCTCCCGATAAAAACTTCTTCGCAGAAAATAATTCTACCAGGATAACAGAAACGCGAACTTGTCCTGTATTGTGTATCAGGATAACAGAAATGCCAAAGTAGTATGTTCTTCTGATACAAATTTCACTGAAACACGTGGATTTTTAAAACCTTGGCACGTAATTATGTTCTCCCGATAAAAACTTCTTCGCAGAAAATAATTCTACCAGGATAACATAAACGCGAACTTGTCCTGTATTGTGTATCAGGATAACAGAAATGCCAAAGTAGTATGTTCTTCTGATACAAATTTCAGTGAAACACGTGGATTTTTAAAACCTTGGCACGTAATTATGTTCTCCCGATAAAAACTTCTTCGCAGAAAATAATTCTACCAGGATAACAGAAACGCGAACTTGTCCTGTATTGTGTTCTTCGTTCTTCTTATACCAATTTTCAAAAAAAGAATCACATAATTATGTACTTCATAGAAAATGTATCAGGATAACAAAAACGCCAGGTTTGACTTTTCACTGATGATGCGTATCCTGATCCCTTCGTCTCAGAATCTAAAGATCAGTAGGTGGTTGGAAAAAAAACAGAGAAAATGCAAAACTATCTTTAATAGTAAAAGGTTATTGTCTAAGGTCCTAAAATTAAAAGTCAGTCTTCAATGTTCATGGTTGCCGCTAACGCCTTTTGAATTTCGCGCCCGATCGACGCGCCCAAAGGTGGAGGTACGGCGTTTCCGACTTGTCTGTGTTTGTCCAAAATGTTTCCGTAAAACTGGTACCGGTCGGGAAATCCTTGGGAACGCGCGCACTCCCTCACGCTAACGACGCGATGCTGTTCCGGATGCAAAACTGTAAAGTCGAGTTAAGAGCCACCCTCTACGCAAAGATGTCACGTTACCTCTTCCCTGTTTGCCCATCGGCTCCGGATTGGTGACTGTGGTGCTAAAAAATCCGTCCCAATCCAGTCGCCCGTACAAGCCCGACCAATTGTTGTGCCTGTCGGCGGTGTGAGGTAGGCACCAGGGTATTATGGTGTTGATTTGTCGATCGGTTGGGTCGCAGGGGCCGGTGCTGGCGCAGGCGCAGACTCCTCGAGGCGGATCGTTCTTCTTCTGCTTCTTCGATCTGTACGGGTACTTCAGCTTGTTCGTGTAGGTGCCGTCGCTGAGCTTCAACTGAATATTCGGCAGGTCCCTCCAGTCCGCCCCCGAGAAGATCGGAATCTGAGCCATGCGCGCCTCGACGATGGGCGCCATCTCCTTGCAAATGTGGTCGCTGACCAATCCGTTGGGGTCTCCGGCGCGCATCATTCGCTGAAAGTGCGAGTTCGCCTCGGTGTCGTAGGGCATCTCCTTCACATTGCTGCCGTTTTTGATGTCGGGCAAGTCGGCCATGGAGTCGCGTACGGTTATCGTCCGGTAGGGGGCGGCCGCAGTCCACTTTACCCCCGTGTGGTACTTGAAGTTATCGACGGGGACCGACAGCTGACAGCCCTTCTTGCTGAAGACGTGCTGCGGTTCGGGAAACCTGGGCAGTACGAATCCCGGGGCGGCGGCCATTATAATTAGCCGACGTCGCGTTTGCGGTATTCCGTAGTGGCCGGCCTGTACGACGCCGAAGGTCACCTGGTAGCCGATCGCCAGTAGGCAACGTAAGGTCAGCTTCAGCACCATGCTTCGCTTGAACGAGACGAAATTCCGGACGTTCTCCAGAATGAAGTATGCCGGCCTAAAATCAGCAAAGATCAGCGAAGCTTCCGGCGGCGCCCGTCACCCACCGGTAGTAATCGCAGAAGCTCAAGTAGGAGACAATCAGCGAGTTTTTGAAGAGGGAATACTGGCCGGCGTTGAAGCGGTTCATCCCCGAAAAGCCCTGACACGGCGGACCGCCCACGAGTAGCTCCACGTCGCCCTTTTTGGGCAACCGCTTGCCGTCCACCTCGTCTTCGTTTTCCGACATAACAATCCGTAGCAGTTCGTTGCAGTCCTCGGTGTAGACTATGGCGTCGGGGTTGTTCAACTTGAACGCCCGGGCCGCCGCCGGCTCCTTCTCGATCTAGAAAAATCCGAACGAAATCAGTCGGGCGACGAGCGCAATACGAATACCGACCGCCCACTTCGTTTCGGCAATCTTGACCTGGTGCAAGCCTTCGGAGAGGCCCCCGCATCCGGCGAATACGTCCATGCTCTTTAATTTGCGGGTCGTTTCCCATTGAGGCGGAATATCTTTGGGCTTTTGCTCGGCTTGGCTCGATTTACCCTTACCCTTGCCTACAAAAAAGAAGAAATTCACTTAAGATAGTACCTGCGCGTGCACACGCATTTTCAAGGTCAGTCTACTGAAGTTACTCAAACTACAAACCACCGTTCAAAGTTCACACAGTTTGTCTGCCGTTCAAAGTCCAAAGGTTGCTCACCGTTCAAAGGTGAAGTTAAGTTTCACGCTCTTCCTTTTGGGGTGGTTTAGACAATGTAGATAACCGATCAAAGGTCGCTCACCGCTTTGTATCGCAACTGGAGGTGAAATTCGTAGGTAGACCAACGTTCAAACATTTGTTAAATCCAAATGATCGTTTTTCTAAACTGAAAGCCATTAAGATATAAAACGCGCTCGCGATTTAAATCTTAATACAAAGTGCAGAGGTGGGGCGTCGTTCAAAGTTCAAAGGTTGCTCGCCGTTTCAAAGTCCAAAAATTCCCTCACGGTTCATTATCAAAGTAATGATCTCGAGGTGTGAGATCAAGGTGAAGTTAAGTTTCACGTCCCTTCTTTTGGGGTGGTTTAGACAAGTAGATAACCGATCAAAGGTCGCTCACCGCTTTGTTTCGCAACTGGAGGTTAAATTCGGAGGTAGACCAACGTTCAAACATTTGTTAAATCCAAATGATCGTTTTTCTAAACTGAAAGCCATTAAGATATAAAACGCGCTCGCGATTTAAATCTTAATACAAAGTGCAGAGGTGGGGCGTCGTTCAAAGTTCAAAGGTTGCTCGCCGTTTCAAAGTCCAAAAATTCCCTCACGGTTCATTATCAAAGTAATGATCTCGAGGTGTGAGATCAAGGTGAAGTTAAGTTTCACGTCCCTTCTTTTGGGATGGTTTAGACAAAGTAAAAGGTCGCTCCCCGCTTTGTTTCGCAACTGAAGGTTAAATTCGGAGGTAGACCAACGTTCAAACATTTGTTAAATCCAAATGATCGTTTTTCTAAACTGAAAGCCATTAAGATATAAAACGCGCTCGCGATTTAAATCTTAATACAAAGTGCAGAGGTGGGGCGTCGTTCAAAGTTCAAAGGTTGCTCGCCGTTTCAAAGTCCAAAAATTCCCTCACGGTTCATTATCAAAGTAATGATCTCGAGGTGTGAGATCAAGGTGAAGTTAAGTTTCACGTCCCTTCTTTTGGGATGGTTTAGACAAAGTAAAAGGTCGCTCCCCGCTTTGTTTCGCAACTGAAGGTTAAATTCGGAGGTAGACCAACGTTCAAACATTTGTTAAATCCAAATGATCGTTTTTCTAAACTGAAAGCCATTATTAAGATATAAAACGCGTCCGCGATTTAAATCTTAATACAAAGTCCAAAGGCGGGGCGTCGTTCAAAGTACAAAGGTTGCTCGCCGTTTCAAAGTCCAAAAATTCCCTCACCGTTCATTATCAAAGTAATGATCTTGAGGTGTGAGATCAAGGTGAAGTTAAGTTTCACGCCCCTTCTTTTGGGGTGGTTTAGACACAGTAAAAGGTCGCTTACCGCTTTGTTTCGCAACTGGAAGTAGACCAACGTTCAAACATTTGTTAAATGCAAATGATCGTTTTTCTAAACTGAAAGCCATTATTAAAATATAAAACGCATCCGAGATTTAAATCTTAATACAAAGTCCAAAGGTGGGGCGTCGTTCAAAGTTCAAAGGTCGGTTGCCGTTCAAAGTTCAAATTTTGTACATTTTTGATTTTATATCAACCAGTCTCTTTGATTTTAGTTTTCGGAACTCACCCTTTCCTTTTCCCAGCGAACCGATACGGGTCGCCTGCGCCGGCACGTCGCCGATCTTCTGCGTTTTGGCGTCGTAACTTTCGGTAAAATAAAATCGGTACGGTCCGGCGGCGCTCCACTCGGCGACGGGCACGTCCAGCGCCGGTCCGTAGGCGAGGTAACACTTTCCGGTGACCAAATTGAAATTGATGGTCCTCTCTGAAACGCCAAGTTTAATTTCAAAAGTGACAGAGCCACGCGAGCGACGACCTTCATGCGACCAATACACGAGATTCAGGTCCTTTCGGTACGACAGAAAATGACCCTCCTGAGTGTTCTCTGGGCGGTAAAATTTGCGCACGCGAATTTGGACCGCGTTTTTCAACTCGGAGATATCCTCGATGAGACCGATGCAGAACGGATCGGGCGTCTCCGCGTTGGTTCCTCGTCCGTTTTCGGCCGGCTTACGGTAGTACTCCGGGTACATCACCTCGTCGACGCTGTTTTCTTTCTAAATCACGCCGTTAGTGACGTTCCCCACTGAAACTGATCTCACCTGCGCAAATGAATCGTCAATATCCGTAACGTCGGATTTGAAGATGAAAGTATCCGGCTCCAGGAACACCCCGCTCCCGACTCTGTAGGCATCTCCCCCCCAGTGAACCTCGCCATTGGCGTACGTAATCGAGTTGAGCTTCTTTTTTTGGGTACGTCTCCTAAAATCGATATTGGTGGACCCGGAAAGGCGGGAATTGGTCTTACCTGCAACCGTCGCAGGGAGTGTACGGCAGGGAACCGTCGGGTTTCTCTTCGGAGTAGTCAACAAACCGGCTGTAGTCACTGTCGTATCGCTTACTGTAAAAGAAAGTCCGCCCGTCGTCTTCGAGACGAGGCGGAAGTTTGTCTAGGCCGCCGCAAATCGCCCAGTTATTCGCCAACTTTCGCTTTTCCACCTGAGAATATCGCGCTAGAATGGGTAGCGGTTAGTGACTCTCACCTTAGCTTTCCGCACGATACTCCCCAACGGGCAATTTTCGCATACGTCCACGACGAAGAGCTCGCGCGGATCCGAAGTCTCCCCCAAGACGGTATCGGAGCCTCGACAGAAGAGATGCGCGTGAAACAACGTCTCGTCCCCCTCCTGCCACATGTACCCGACGCGAGCGATTAGTAGCGGCTGATTCGGCTCCTCCGAGTTGAGCATCACGCAGTCGTCCGGCTCGACGACGATATCGCCGACCTGCGCCGAGTTGTAGTAGAATCGGTTGTTGTACTCGACCGCCGCCGAACCGATCCACCTGACCTCGCAAATGATCCGCTTCGAAAGCGGCGTCTTGCTCTCGACGCTCAATAACGCCGCGAGCGTCCGATCGTCGTCGCCCGAATCGTCGTCGGCCGCCTGGATCGCCATGTTCGGGCATCTCCGCATCAGGCACGCCTGCTTGCTGCGTCCGGTGCCGCCGAACTTGAGCATGTTGCGACAGTGCGCGCAGGTGCCGCAGTCGGACGTTTGGCACGCCTCGCAGACGCCGCAGCGCTTCCGGCGCGGACCCTTGTCCTTCTGGTCGATTTGGTCGACGAAGAAGGCTTCGAACACCTCGCGGACGAGGTTCGTGGTCGTCGCCTTGCTCCAAACCGTCTGCTTCTTCTTAAGACCCTGAGACATACAAAATGCAAGTGGGAAAAACAGGACCGGCGGGGTGGTTTACCTTTGTTTCAATTTTTCTAACTTTCTTCCGAGCTCTAAACGTAACCCCCGCCATTTTCACGAGCGACCGCATGCACGGGGCGGTAATGAGCAGCTCGTCTTCCTCGCCGGCGGTCGTATCGAAGCTCGAGACGCGTTCGCAAATGAACTGGGCGTGCTGCAGGAGCGCGTCCTCGGACAGATCGGGATCGCCGCTCGCCAGTAGCCGCTGCAGCAGGTCCTCGTACGTCGGCTGCTTCCAACCCTCGTCCAGCAGATACTCGATGATCAACTTCGATAGGATAATCTTCACGCGTACGACTTTCATAATGGGCTCGTACTCGGGCGCCGCCTCCATGAGGTAGTACTCTGCGTACGCCGTTGAAAAGCCGACCAGAGCCTTCTCGCCGCCGTCGAACCCGGAAATGTACCACTCGTTGATCGGGCCCATGTCTTTCGTTGGGATTCCGTTGTTCGTCGTGCTGTCCTCGTCGTAAATCGGTTTGACATAGCCGGAGAAGTAGAGCAGCTTGTTGGCCTCGATCAATCCGCCGTCGAAGGGGCACAAGTGCCCGTTCTTGTCGTAGACGCTGAAGTAGGTGATCTAAAATCGTATGTTCTTTAACCATTTATCTCGCCAAGAGTTTTCATTGGCCTCTTAGTGGCCCTTCACAGGCCTCTGAATACTGATGAAGAGCGTTTAAGCTCCTTTACGAGCTTTAAAGATCTCCAGGTGCATTTCAGAGGGTTAGGAACCGGTACCAGAACCGCAACCAATTGCATTTATAGCCCCCCCCCCCCTCAATTGAAACAGGAACCGCTATCGGCACCTTTATTAGTATAGTGCCAAAGAACCTGGTATTTTTCGGTTCTCTCTCTCTCTCTCTCTCTCTCTCTCTCTCTCTCTCTCTCACCCCCCCCTTTTCCCAAAGATCACCACAAAATTGCTGGAGGCAAAAGACAATTTACTGGGGAGACAATGGTGTTTTTTTTAAATGGCAAAAAGAGCCACCAAATATACTGGGGGGCATGGGATACCCCCCAGGAAAAGAAGGTTCAATTACCTTTTTCCCAAAGGCTACCACGCGAGTGCTGGAGGAAAAACAATTTGTTGGGGATAGGTATACTGGTTTTTTTTTTAAATGGGTAATACAGCCACCATATATACTGGAGGGTATTCCACACCCCCCCCCCCCATCATGGCCATCAGAACTCATTACAGTTTATTTGGGAAGATTGTCACATATCTCCTTCTACCAAGAAATAGGCAGAGAACACAGTATACCGGGCAGTCTGCGGAAGGTATTGGAATCCTCCCCCACACTTCCAGTAACCGAAGTTACATTACCTGGAACCAGCTATAATATGGGTTGGTTCCAACCCCCCCCCCCCCCTGTTTCAAGACCTTAAGACTCTTTGAGCTCCACCCTTAAAAATAAGGCAAATATCTTGGAGTAGGTCAGCCGTTCGACTCACCTTGTGCGTAGGCCGTTCGTCCTTCTCATCGAGATCCATCTCGTCACCGGTAAACAGCATCAGCCGCTCATCGGTCAAGGCGATGTACTCCTCTGAGGCATTGTTCGGATGGCCGTTGTACAACGGCGCCTCCTCCACGTACTGTTTGCATATCGCACAGCGTTCCGATTTGGTTGTCTGCGTGTTAATCGCGTTCTTCGTGACGTTATCCTCGTGGACAACTTTTAACTTCTTGGAGATGTTCTCCTCCTCTTCGAGTATCGACATTGCCTCCGAGAAAAGGGGCGATAAAGAATCTAAAACAGGTTGATTTGTTATGCTTCGCTCGCGACTTGGTCCAGAAATGAGTGATAAATACCTGGAAAGTGTTCTGGAAGGTACGAAATTCTGAGAAATGTGGAGAAAAGGCAACAGAACGATTACTGTAAAACGGCGGGAAACTGTTGAATAACCTAAAAAAAAGTTAAAGAAAGCATGTGACGTGCGGTGTTGCCGGTAGTAACTACCTTTGGTAATTTATTTATCTGTGTACAGGGTGGTTCAAATTCTTTACTCATCATTGGGATCTGCGTAAGATTACATGCTCCCTTTTGGGACTAAAAAACGAATTTGAAATTCTTTAAATATCAATGAAAAACTGAAAATGTCAAATTTCACTTTCATTTTCCCGTTAGCACCTTTTATCGGCAAGTTTTTTCGCAGAATCTGTTATCAGATTTTCCATCTTTCATATTGCTTATGGACGCCATATTGTTTTTTTACGGAATAAGATAGAGAAAAAATAATAATGATAATAATAACGTGTCACACTCTATACATAATTTACAAGAAACATTTCAAAATCAAGTGTTTTACATTCATTTCTTAACTAAAGATCTACGGGTAACTGGATCGTGCTGAATCAACATGGCTATGATATCGATTTGTTCAAATGTCTTTTTTTGGTTCTCTGTCTCATTTCTTAAAAATCCAATATGGCGTCCATAAGAAAGTAGAAGAAGCCTATAGCTTTTACATCTAGCGTGTTATGTAAATTCTGATAACAGATTCCGGTTCTCAAAAAAAAAGTGCTCATAGGCGCTAACGGAAACCGTCTATTTCCAACCGTTGAAGCTAGGGAAAAATGAAAACCAAATTTGATTTTTTCAGTTTTTCATTGATATTTTCAAAGAATTTCAAATGCGATTTTTAGTAACGAAAGGAGGCATTGCCTTCGACCGTTGTCGATCCTCAATCCCCCCCTTTTTTCAATTTAACATAATTGGCCCTTGTATAAATGAACATTATGTTGGCGTCGCAAGAGCCACAGCCAAAGCGCGGCGATACCATGGCAACACCGCTCACAACACAATTTTGAGGTTAAATTCGCCAAATAATTTAAAGAGCCATGTAATCAAAATTTTTACGTTAAAACCGAACCAAAAACACCCAGCAATCTCAATGAAGACCCAGGCAAAAACCAAGACTGAAACTTTACAAATTAGAAAATGAAACCGAGACCAGTATTGACCGACTACCTCCTTAAGCATTGGCTACTCGTCGGTATTTTTATATGCATACTCCTGGCTAGTATTTACCCTTCTTTAGGAGCCAGAGAAGGTTCTTACTCCCCCCGTTCGATCACTTTAACTAAACCTCCACTTGTAGGCCCGCTTAAGCCGGAGTACACCGTCAAGTACGGAGCAGTATCCTTGATATTCTTCGTGAGTGGGCTGTCGATTAAGACGGAGAGCGTGCGCCACACTCTCCAGCAGCACTGGTTGCACTTATTCGTACAGTCGTTCACATTCGTTTTCATTCCAATCTTCGTGCAGACGCTCGTTATTTTTTTAAACATTTTTAGAATAGATAAATGGATTTTGAAGGGGTAAGTTGGGGACGATTCGTATTTTTGTCGGTCACTCGATCTGTTTCAGTCTGGTAACCGTCGCGTGCATGCCGCCGCCCGTCTCAAGTGCCGTTATACTAACCAAAGCCTCTCAGGGTAACGAAACCGCTGCAATTTTTAATTCTGTTTTAGGTAGCTTTTTTGGTATTGTCGTGACGCCGCTGCTGCTGCTGTTTAATGTAAGTCAGTAACGGGGAGAGAACTACTTTGACGAACTTGTAAACCGATTTAAGTATTGATAATGGCCGGTGCGCTTCCTTAATTTCGTGCATCTCACTTGATTCATGGGTCACTGCATCCAAGAACTCCTTGATGTCAAATTATCTCTTGTTTGTCCCCCACCAATCAAAATTATTCACTGGGGGGAGGGGGGGTTACAAGTTCGTCAAATTACCGAACCCAATAATTATTGAAGTGCACTTTTTTCCAGTTGGGTTTCACAACTGTCGTACCACTAATGGGAACCATTGTGCAGCTTTCGGTGTCCGTGTTATTGCCTTTACTCGCCGGCCAACTGGTCAGGCGCCACACCGAATTTAGGGGCCACAAATTGCCGCTAAACGCAATGAGCCAGTCCGCTTTGTTATTTATCATCTACACGACGTTTTGCGATACGTTCAACGTGCCAGACACCGGACTAATGGCGACCGATATTTTGCTAACAATGTTTATAGGTGAACCGGGTAATTTTTGGGGTCCAAATTTCACCGTCACGTTTCAGTGCTGGTAGTACAAATGGTTTTGCTCGCCGTCAGCTTCACCGTTGCCAAATCTGTGCGGTGCTTCAGTCCCGCCGACGTCGTATGCGCAGTGTTCTGTTCGACTCACAAGTCGTTGACGTTAGGTACGTAAAGGCGCATGCGCAAAAACCATTCAAGGCGAAATTGAAGGTATCCCGATTCTGCGCATTATGTTTCACGGATTTTCACATCTAAGTCACATCAGTTTGCCACTGCTGGTCTATCATCCTACGCAAATGATTCTCGGCGGGTTGCTGGTTACGCACCTGAAAGAGTGGATGTATTCCCACAAAAGCAAGAAATTGCCGTTGTAGCGAGATATATGTTAAATGTTATATTTATATATGTGTTTTATGTATTTATAATAAAAAGCTGAAAGCAGATCTGTCATTCTATTTTTGGACAACGATATGTTCCTCTTGACTTGTGGCTACCGCGTGACAGCACGCAGTAGACTCCGAAATGACGTCGCCTGATTGGTCCGCGCGGTTTGGCCAGTAGCGTGCGACTGTTTAAATACAGGGCCGCAACAAGTCAATGGCGGAGTGGTTGCGTCGAATGCCTACTTACAGTGGCGTATTTTCCGGGGTTGAAGGGGATACTCCCCCCCCAGAAGAATTGAGTTATCATCATAGCTATTAGGTATTTAGGTAATACTCCGCTCCGCCCACTTTAAAATAGAGGCAATAATATATAGGTATATATAGAGAGCAATTTTGGTTTTGGTTAAAGTCTAAAGTCACTAAAATCTAAATATTCTGTAGTATTCACTATTCAGTGAGTGATCAGTGTTGGCAGTCAACGATTTGGCTATTCGGCATCGATCGGCAATTCGCTACATTGATGCCCAAAATAACAAATAGGTATCAGCATTGTTTAAATACTTTATAAACAATGGTATCAGGTACTTAGTACTGCTACTGAGGTGAGGTACCTGCGTCCTGCCTTTCACGAATGACGAAAATAAGAATTTTAAAAACAGGAATTTTTTTTGCCCATAACTTTCGATTGAGACGTCTAATCGAAAAAGTGTTTTCCCGAGAAATTTTGGTGTAGTCGATTTTTGGTAAAAAAGGAAGGTTATACACTGCGTTTTTTTGAGGCTCGCAAAAAAAATTGTCTCAGATCGACCCGGAAAAAAATTTCTTATAGAATGTGGCCTGTAGAATCCATAATTTAAAACAGTTCCAAGATTGAACTACTAGGTCAAAAGTTACAGCCCTTTGAATTTTTTTTCGAAATTGGTTTTTTGCCCATAAATATACCTATTATTCAAAGTTTTCGTTGACTAATTAAAGCAAAAGCAATAAAGGGGCCTGTCAGCAGTAAGAAATAAAATACCGTTCTAATCTAATCTTTTTCGCCTGTACCATAACAAATAGATAAATGACTACCAGCATCAGCAACCTGCAACCCAATTTCTATTTCTTACCCCCCCCCCTTCCCCCTTCTAGTACGCATTGGGTGACACGAACTTGTTTAATCCCCCCCCCCCCCAGAATAAATTTCTATGTACGCCACTGGACTACTATTCGGGAGGTTGCGGGTTCGAATCCCGTTGCCGACTGCTCTGTCAGGAGGTTTTCCTCAGACGTACGTAGATCCTTCCTCCTCAGCTTCCAATTCCTATAATGTTACTCATCCTTTCATTCCCATTGTCACGATCAGAAAACCTTGAGAGTGTATAGGTAATTGGGCTTTCATTTTCGTTTTATATTCCTGTTATCCCGGTATGTGCAAAGGGTTATCGAATCCTTATTCTTTGTTGGATAGATTTGAATCGGGAATCCTCGCCGCCGCGCTTTTTAGAGTCATCCTTTGATGACGTTACGTTCTCTGCAATGCTTCTTAGGAGAAGATGATCTGATAATCTCAAAAACTGAGAGAGCCCTGAGTGCTAAACGTTTTGTGGGGGAGAACGTAGCCCCCCTTTCCGAAAATTGTCATTGTGGGATATTTTAGACCCCCCGGTGCTACAGTAGTCTCTGCTCTGCAATGGTTCCTAGGAAAAGGTGCTAATCTTCTCGAAAAGTACGGAAGTCCTGACGGTTAATAGTATCGTGGGGGCGAGCGTAGCACCCGCAGCATACGATGGTTCCAATACCATTTCCGGAAGTTGACATTGCATTTTTTTGCTGGAGGGTGAATATCCCAGACCCCCAGTACTATATGTCCTCTGCGATGCTTCTCAGGAGCAGATGATATGTGATAATGATCTCTATGAGAGAGCTCTGAGGGCTAATAACGTTTCGCGGGGGAGTACATAGCACTGGGGTGTTGGGGGTTTGGAACACCCCCACCATAATTGGTTCCATTGCTATTTCCTGAAATTTTTATTGAATTTTCTTTTGCTATCCCCCCCCCCCTACCTTCTCAGGGAAAGGCTTCCCTCCGGTGCTACGTTCTCTGCTATGCATTTTAGGAGAAGATGATGAGACATTCTCCTCAATTAAGGTGTGGAAGTGCTGGGGGCTACAAGTTTTGTGGGTGAGAAAATTGTTTATATTTTACTCCTATCATCACTGACATGGTAGTCTTTGGGAAAAGGCACATCTTCTATGGCTGGGAGGTATTCCATACCACCTAATCCCCCCTCCCGTGCTACGTTCTCTGCAATAATTCTTTTTAGATTTTTTAATCACTTTCTCAAAAACCATGAGAGTCTTGAGGACTGAACGCATTGTGGTGGAAAACCCCCCAGCATACAAGAATTTAGCTATATTTTTCCAAAGGGTACCGGGGGGTGCAAACTACCGCTTGGCTGGGGGGTATTCCAGACCCCCCGGTAACTTAATTTCTTACACAAAAATATGTAACCTTCCCCATTCTCATGAGAGTTTTTGGGAAAAAATGATTGGATTCTCTTCTCCTGAGAAGTACCACAAACATCGTAGCACCGGGGGGTCTGGGCAGCACACGAATACTTAACTATTTTGTCCAAAGGTTACCGGGGGGGTGCAAAGGGAAGCAGAGAAGGAATCATCGAATCCTTGTTTTTTCACTCTACCGCTTGGCTGGGGGGGATTCCATACCCCCCAGACTACCCGGTAGCAAATTTCTTACACAAAAATATGTAACCTTCCCCATTCTCATGAGAGTTTTTGGGAAAGAATGATCAGATTCTCTTCTTCTCAGAAGTACCACAAACATCGTAGCACCGGGGGGTCTGGGGGATATGGAATACCCCCCAGCACACGAATACTTGACTATTTTGTCCAATGGTTACTGGGGGGTGCAAAGGGAAGTAGAGAAGGAATCATCGAATCCTTGTTTTTTCACTCTACCGCTTGGCTGGGGGTATTCCATACCCCCCAGACCCCCCGGTAACAAATTTCTTACACAAAAATATGTAACCTTCCCCATTCTCATGAAATTTTTTGGGAAAGAATGATTAGATTCTCATCTCCTGAGAAGTACCACAAACATCGTAGCACCGGGGGGTCTGGGGGGTATGGAATACCCCCCAGCACACGAATACTTGACTATTTTGTCCAATGGTTACCGGGGGGTGCAAAGGGAAGTAGAGAAGGAATCATCGAATCCTTGTTTTTTCACTCTACCGCTTGGCTGGGGGGTATTCCAGACCCCCCGGTGGCAAATTTCTTACACAAAAATATGTAACCTTCCCCATTCTCATGAGAGATTTTGGGAAAGAATGATCAGATTCTCTTCTTCTCAGAAGTACCACAAACATCGTAGCATGGGGGGGTATGGAATACCCCCCAGCACACGAATACTTTACTATTTTGTCCAATGGTTACCGGGGGGTGCAAAGGGAAGTAGAGAAGGATCATCGAATCCTTGTTTTTTCACTCTACCGCTTGGCTGGGGGGTATTCCAGACCCCCCGGTGGCAAATTTCTTACACAAAAATATGTAATCTTCCCCATTCTCATGAGAGATTTTGGGAAAGAATGATCAGATTCTCTTCTCCTCAGAAGTACCACAAACATCGTAGCACCGGGGGGTCTGGGGGGGTATGGAATACCCCCCAGCACACGAAGACTTGACTATATTTGTCCAAAGGTTACCGGAGGGTGCAAAGGGAAGTAGAGAAGGAATCATCGAATCCTTGTTTTTTCACTCAACCGCTTGGCTGGGGGGGATTCCATACCCCCCAGACCCCCCGATAGCAAATTTCTTACACAAAAATATGTAACCTTCCCCATTCTCATGAGAGATTTTGGGAAAGAATGATCAGATTCTCTTCTTCTCAGAAGTACCACAAACATCGTAGCACCGGGGGGTCTGGGGGGGGTATGGAATACCCCCCAGCACACGAATACTTTACTATTTTGTCCAATGGTTACCGGGGGGTGCAAAGGGAAGTAGAGAAGGATCATCGAATCCTTGTTTTTTCACTCTACCGCTTGGCTGGGGGGTATTCCAGACCCCCCGGTGGCAAATTTCTTACACAAAAATATGTAACCTTCCCCATTCTCATGAGAGATTTTGGGAAAGAATGATCAGATTCTCTTCTCCTCAGAAGTACCACAAACATCGTAGCACCGGGGGGTCTGGGGGGGTATGGAATACCCCCCAGCACACGAAGACTTGACTATATTTGTCCAAAGGTTACCGGAGGGTGCAAAGGGAAGTAGAGAAGGAATCATCGAATCCTTGTTTTTTCACTCAACCGCTTGGCTGGGGGGGATTCCATACCCCCCAGACCCCCCGATAGCAAATTTCTTACACAAAAATATGTAACCTTCCCCATTCTCATGAGAGATTTTGGGAAAGAATGATCAGATTCTCTTCTTCTCAGAAGTACCACAAACATCGTAGCACCGGGGGGTCTGGGGGGGGTATGGAATACCCCCCAGCACACGAATACTTTACTATTTTGTCCAATGGTTACCGGGGGGTGCAAAGGGAAGTAGAGAAGGATCATCGAATCCTTGTTTTTTCACTCTACCGCTTGGCTGGGGGGTATTCCAGACCCCCCGGTGGCAAATTTCTTACACAAAAATATGTAACCTTCCCCATTCTCATGAGAGATTTTGGGAAAGAATGATCAGATTCTCTTCTCCTCAGAAGTACCACAAACATCGTAGCACCGGGGGGTCTGGGGGGGTATGGAATACCCCCCAGCACACGAAGACTTGACTATATTTGTCCAAAGGTTACCGGAGGGTGCAAAGGGAAGTAGAGAAGGAATCATCGAATCCTTGTTTTTTCACTCAACCGCTTGGCTGGGGGGGATTCCATACCCCCCAGACCCCCCGATAGCAAATTTCTTACACAAAAATATGTAACCTTCCCCATTCTCATGAGAGTTTTTGGGAAAGAATGATTAGATTCTCTTCTTCTCAGAAGTACCACAAACATCGTAGCACCGGGTGGGTTACTTCATGCCCCTCAAACCCCCCAGTGCTGCGTTCTCTGCCATATGCTTGTTCGGAGCCGATGAGAGCAGGCGATAAACCTCCCAAAAACTATGCTTGGGATAAAAGTTTTGTGGGGGAAAACCTAGTACCGGGGCTAAAGGGAGTGGCGGCGGGGGGGGGGGAGATATTTTTCCTTTTCCGGAAATTGTCATTGATCTTCTCTTGTATTCCATACCCCCCAGACCTTCTCGTGCTATGCGCTCTCTGCAATGTGAAGATGATGTGATAATCGTCTCGAAAGCTATGGCGAAGTCGTGAGGAGTATAAGCGTTGAACGTAGATAGCATGGGGAGGGGGAGAGGGCATACAAAGGTCCTATTGACATTTCCAAAAAACCCCATGGAAAGCTGCGGGTCATATGAAAATGAGTTTTCGAATTCTTCTTCCCCGGGCGCTTTGTGATTGTCCAAAAATTGTCATCCAATCCTCATTTGCTGGGGGGTATTATTTCATAGTTGCCACCTCCCAAACCCAAAAAGGAAAAACAGATTACGCCCGAAAACCACTCAATTCCAGTGGCAGAGCCACTTTCGGGAACATTTTCGTTCCTATCGACACAGTTAGATAAGGTCGGCGTTTAATCACCTTTGGTTTTTAATTATTATTAGAGAAGTAAACATATCGTCAAGGTTTTCGACGGTAAAGGTCACTTTAACACGTGGTCGCCTGAAGGTGAACGAACGAAGGTAATTGAGATTTGCATTTTTTTGGTTAAATCCTAGTTATCTGGAGGTTTTTAAAGATAAGTGACGTAAGTTGATTGCACCGCCAGTGACGTCGAAGCACTACGTGTATATAAATAAAGGTGGGAATAAACCACATGCGATTCGCACCTGGACCATGGTGGTAATCTACGAATGGTTTCTTTTGCTTTTGGTCGGCTCAGTTGGACCACATTCGGATGTTGAGTACCTGGAGGATTTAATAGCCGAGGAAATTAAGCGCTCGACTGCATACTCATTTCCAAAGGACGCCGGCGAGTATCGCACCTTTAATGATTACCCAAGAGGTGAGTGTGTTGGTCGGATGCAGTGCTCTGAACTCGCGATTCTAGTGTTTGGTGTCGTCGACTTCGTGGTCATCGGTTCCGGTTCCGGGGGATCCGTGGTGGCCAGCAGGTTGTCGGAGAATCGCAACTGGTCAGTTCTTCTACTGGAAGCGGGAGGTGAAGAGAGTAATTTTACCGAGATCCCTGCCATGTCTAATTATGCGGCCAACCTGGAGTACAACTGGGGTTTCAACAGCACTTTTCAAAGCACTTGCTGCTTGGGTAAGTGTAACCATCGCCTTGACCAAGTCACACGGTGCCCTTTCTCTCTTAGGCATGAATGGAATTTGCCCTTTTCCTAGAGGCAAGTCGCTTGGTGGCACGACGGCAATCAACGTGCTGGTCTACGCCAGAGGAAACAAGATGGACTACGACAAGTGGTCGGAGGATAGCCCAGGGTGGGGGTACCGAGACGTTTTGCCATACTTCAAGAAATCGGAAAACTTTAACACCAAGGGCGACAAAGGCTACCACGGCTACGGTGGTTATTTAAATGTCGAACGTCATTCCCCAACAAGCAAGAAGGTGAACGCCCTCCTCAAAGCCTACGCGGAACTTGGTTACCCAATGGTGGACATCAACGGTTACAATCAGCTGGGTGCCAGCAGCAATCAGTTCAATACGCTCCACGGTCGCCGCCAGAGTTCAGCCAAGGCCTTCTTGACATCCACGCGTCTCCGCCGCAACCTGAAGATCTCCACTCACAGCTACGTCACCAAGATCCTCACCGACCCCATCACCAAGGCAGCAACCGGCGTCCTGTTCTCTCACAAAAACACCAAGTACATCGCGAAAATAAAAAAGGAAGTCATCCTCTCGGCCGGCGTGGTCGGATCACCAGCGATCCTCATGCATTCCGGCATCGGCCGCAAGCGCCACCTCAACGAGCTCAAGATTCCGCTCGTCAAGGATCTCGAGGTCGGCGAAAACTTGCACGATCACCTGATCTTCTACAACATTTATTTCACCACCTCCATCACCGATCCGGTGTACACGCTGCGCGAGTCCATCGCCCAGTACCTGCACGGTTTCGGACCACTGACCATAGCCACGAACCCGCAGGGAATCGCGTTCTTTCAACTGTCGACGAAAAACACGACCGTGCCCGATATCGAACTCGTCTTCGTTCCCACCGTTACGACGAACACGTCCGGGTTCGTGGCGGGCGTCCGAGACGACGTCGTCAGGCGCATGTGGTCGAGGAGGTCCGACGAGCAAATCTCGCAGATCACGCTGGTGCTGCTCCACCCGAAGACGCGCGGGCGCGTGTTTTTAAACTCCAGCGATCCCTTCGCGTATCCGCTAATCGATTCCAAGTGCCTCGCCGACGAGGGTAACGCGGACAAGGAGACCGTTTACATGGGAATCGAAAAGGTGATGGAGCTCTTCGACACCGAGGCCTTCAGGGAGATGAACGCCACCTTGATTCCCGACTCGAGGTGCGCCGATCTCGGTTTTAGATCGCGCGAGTACTGGATGTGCTTGATCCCTTGGTCGTCGTTGAATGCGTACCACGGGGGAGGGACGTGCCGAATGGGGCCGGACCCGCGGCACGGTGCCGTTGTCGATAGCAGGCTGAAGGTTTACGGCGTTAGAAACCTGAGGATCGCCGACGCGAGCGTCATCCCGATCACCATTTCGGGTCACATGAGCGCGCCGGCCATGATGGTGGGCGAACGGGTGGCCGACTTCATCAAGGAGGATTATAAATAAATGAACTCTCAGCAATTTTCAATTCATTATTCATAATGCGTTCCTGTTATCCTGTAACATTTATTTATTTATTTCGGAATTGTGGGATTTTAATCCGGCCGATTAAGTAAGCATAATTGCCTGTAGCTTAGAAGCGTTTCAGCAAACGTCGCTTGATCTCAGTGTGCTTGGTGTCATTTGAAGCGCGCTTAGTTATCTTGGTGTATGAGCTGAGGTGTGGTTTAATAATGGATTTATAATTTGTCTTGAGCTATGGCTTGACTAATTTTGGGAAAATGGTGTAATCACATCATTTTTTGCTGGGGAGCCCCCCCCCCCAGTGCTACACGTTCCCCGCAATAATTCGTAGAACATAACCTGATAATTTTCTCAAAAACCCCCAGCCAGCAAAGCTCGCAGTAAAGTGTGCTCTCAGCAAAATAGGACTCGATAATTCTTTGTTTTACTGCCGTCATTGTCATGGTAGCCTTTGATAATCGCCTCTTCGTTTGCTGAGGGGTATTCCATACTCTCCAAGTCCCGCGGTGTTACATTCTCTGCAATAATTCTTAGAAGATACTCTACTGATTTTCTCAAAAAACCGTGAGAGTCTTAAAGACTAAACGTCTCGTGGTGGAAAACGTTGTACCGGGGGGGAGGGGGGGGTATGCTATAACCCCCGGCCATTAGAAAGTGCCCTAGGAAAAGTTGATAATTTCTTTATCTTTCTGATGTTACTGTCATGGTAGTCGTTGGGAAAATGCAATCACATTTTTTTCTGGCGCGGTGGGAGGGGGGTATTCTATACTCCCCCTGCCATTAGAAAGTGACCTTAGCAAAGTAAATCAGGATAATTCCTTTATTTTACTCATATCACTGTCATGGTAGTATTGAAGACTAAACGTCTCGTGGTGGAAAACGTTGTACGGGGGGGGGGGGGGGCTGGGTGGTATGCCATACCCCCCAGCCATTAGGAAGTGCCTTTAGCAAAGTAGAACCCGTTAATTTCTTTATTTTTCTCACATTACTGTCGTGGTAGTCGTTGGGAAAATTCAATCACATCTTTCTGGTTGGGGGGGGGGGGGATTCTGTACTCCCCCTGGCATTACAAAGTAACCTTAGAAAAGTAAATCCCGATAATTCCTTATTTTACTCATATTACTGTCATGGTAGTTTTGAGGACTACACTTTTGTGGGCGTGTGGTCTCGGGGGGTGTGGCAATCCCCCGCGCCAGAAAAGTGTGCTTTCAGCAAAATAGGATTCGATTTACTTTTGTCACTGGCATGGTAGGTAGTCTTTGGGAAAAAGCAATCACATCCTCTTTTGTTGCGGGGTTCCATACTCCCCCCCCCCCCAGGTACGATTTTCTCAGAGTCTCGAGGACTAAACGTTTTTGTGGGGGCAGAACGTGGTATCGGCGTTTCTGGTGGGTATGGAATCCCCCCCCCCCCCTCGGTATCCACAGTGATGGTCTTTTGTAAAAGGTAATCGTATCTTCGTTTTCTGGGGGATTCTATAGCCCCCAAACCCCCCGGTTAGGTACTACTTTTTTGGGAAAGAACAGTCGTATCCTTTTTTCATGAAATGTATTCCATAGCTCACAGGATTCTTGTGAGAAGTTCGATGGCATTTCCCCAGCATTATACGATGGTTCCATTACTATTTCCAGAAAACCTCCACGAGAGTAGGTGCTACGGGACGGAGGGAAAAGAGTGATCGAGTTCTTCTTTGCTGTGTTGTTTATGATTTCCCGGAAATGGTCACTGAACGGTCAAACTGATCCTGATACAATTAATTTCTGAGGAGACCGTGGTATCAGGAGGATATGAAACCCTTTCGCTGTTTAGTTATACTGATCCAATTACTTCTTGCAAGGGCGGTACTGAGGTTTGTAACGCGAAAAAAAAAAACTTCACGCGCTTTGTTATCCTTATAATGGGTTATATACGTGCAAAGGAAAACCTAATCAGGTTTCTGTTATCCTGGTACAATTGTTTCTTGGAAAAGATGCAGTAATATGCTCTTTGGGGTACATTGGTATCACTAGACCATAATACGAGATAAGATCTTAATAAAGACTTGCTCACGGTTCGGTTATCAGGGAAACATAAATACGTAAGAAATCCCGATACAATTGTTTTCTATGGAGATGTTATCAGGAGAACATTATAGGTACGCGTTTATGTTACCGCGACGCGAATATTTTCTGTCAAATTTGGTGTCAGGAGAACAGAATACATAAAAAGCTCCTAGTACATCAGGAGAACAGTATAGTGAGATCTTACGTTGATATTGGAAAGAGGACAATACATGAAAGGTTTCGAGTTTCTGTTATCGTGATTTATTGTGTTGAAATGTTAGATCTCCTATAAGGAGAACAGAACAGAATACAGTATTCGTGCGTATTCGTCGCACTTGATTGGTAGATGCGGAGACACGGATGCAACATGTAAAAAATCGGGAGAACAGAAAACTATTAATTACCGAATAATGTAAGTAGGAGAAAGCTTTCATTTGCCGTTTTATGCTCCTGATACATCCGATAGAAACCTTAAGAAAATGTCCATCAACATTTAGATTAACTTTGCCCCGATTGATGGAAATCCGAGATATAGGAATATCATAAATGGCGTCAGGTAAGAAAATTTGATCAGGAGCACAAAAAGGTTTAAATTCATTTATTTCAAGGATAGCAGAACATTGCTGCGTTTTCAAATAATTGATTGCGTCTGTCATCAGGAGCACAGAACCATTCTCCTGATACCACAACGTTAGCCATGCACGATTATTTGTTAAACCTAAAAATAGGTCTTCGGAAAACTCTTGTAATAGTCCCATGCAATTTACGGTCTGAATAATAAACTAAGAGCAAACAGTAATAAAATCCAATCGGGACCGACGATCTCCATTAACCGTGTGTACACACCTTTATTACCCTGCGATCCGTTTACTCCCGCAAATCTAAAATTAATAAGCCCACATCGTTGTCACGCAAATTAAAACCACGGCGGTGCATTCGAAATGGGTCTGTGGCCGCGGAGGCGGAAAGCGTCGCCGAAGAGCTTCCACAACTGCTTGCGCTCGACGATAGTTCTCGGCCAGATCTTCGCGCTTCTGCCGGTCGACGGAGTTTGCGGCGAGACGGAGGACGGATTGCGTTTCAGTTGGAGATCGTGGAAGGTCTGGTACGCCGGCGTTCTGACGGCGTGCCTCTTCGTGCCGATGTACGCGTCGATCTACGAGATATTCGTGATGCGGGCGGAGATCGATAGGATTAGTAAGTGGCGGGGTTGAGATTGCGAGTAACTGATCGGAGATTTTAGCGGCGGTGGCGTTTTTCGCCAATTCGATTACGGTGCACGTGCTGTTCGTGCAGCTGGCGAGAGATTGGCCGGGACTGATGCGCGACTGGCACGCCATGGAGATGGCGATGGGAAGCTACGGGTGGCCGCGACGTATGAACCTGAGGATTAAAGCAATGACCGTGACGATCCTGTCCATCGCAACAAGTGAGTTTCGCCTCAAAATTATTGCAATGGAAATGCGCGGCGCCTCTCAACCGCCTGTAAAATGGCAATGATCTTCTCCTGTTTCAGTTGAACACGTCTTGTCAGTGGTCGGCCACTTCATCACCGCCGACCAGCTGAGGACCGGCGACCAAGACATTTTCGAGTACTTCTTCGTAGTCATCGCGTTTCCTCAAGTCTTCGCCATAATCAGTTACTCCGTATGGTTCGGTTTTCTAATGCAGGTACGAAGACATCGCGAAGATCTAAAGAACGACACCTCGCGTCTTCGTTTCAGGTGATCACATTCGCGTCGGCCTTTTCCTGGACCTACATAGATCTCTTCATATCCGTAATGGGCGCGGGACTCGCCCAACGCTTCCAGCAGGTGGCTGTGAGGGTCGAATTGTATCTGGACCAGAAGGTATCCAACCAAACACTGTGGAAGGAAGTAAGGGAGGACTACGTTCGACTCTGCATACTTTGCAGGACGCTGAACGAACGCTTATCCGGCTTAATCCTGCTCTCGTTCTGCAGCAACTTGTTCTACGTACTCGTCCAACTGTTCCACAGTCTGAAGTACGTATACACAAAGTAAGAACACCTAGACTTAAATCGGTTCTTCTAGCCGTATAGAGGGGGCAGTTGAGAAGATCTACTTCTTCTTCTCGTTCGGCTTTTTAGCTTGCCGCACGGTTTGCGTTTGTCTATACGGAGCGTGGATCGGCGAGGAGAGCAAGAGACCATTACTCAGCCTAAATTCCGTCTCGCCCAATATTTACAGTGTAGAGGTACGGAGAGGCCGTAAAGGGGGCTGTGATAACTTTTATTTTTGCAGATCAGAAGATTCATCTTGCACATCAGCTTTAACCCCCCGTCCTTGTCCGGCAAAGGCTTCTTTGTCATTACGCGTAGTTTACTTTTAAGCGTGAGTATGGTACCCTACTGTCGAGCTTGCTGACGGAATACCTTTCAGATAGCCGGAGCGATTATGACGTACGAATTGGTTTTGATGCAGACCTTTGTGGCGTCGAAAATGAAGAATTGATTCGATTGTGCGATCATGCGCTAATTTAATAAAATGTAACACTTCTTCTTCTGGAGGAAATTGACACTTGGGCAACTTTCTCACATAATCAATTTTATGTTCCCCTAATACTCTTGTTTTTTTTCTCCACAACTTTGCGGTCAAAACAGAATTAAATTTATTAGGAGTATAGAAAACGACAGTTGACTGATAGAGAAGATTACATTGTGCCTTACGTTAGCATAGTAGCGGGACATCCTCAACGAAGAAGGACACGATACCTCCTCCTCTATTTGTCTTAGCCCCCTCATGCATAATAACCTTTGGAAAAAATGTAATCTATAAGTCTTCGAATGCTGGGGGGGGGGGGATGGTTGTATAAGAAGAAAGGGTTGGCGTAGCCTCCTCACACAGTTTTGGTACAGTGCAGGTTCTTTTAGGGATTTTTAAAGTTCCATGTCCCTGAGAATGGCCATCATCAATTTTATGCGCTCCTGATACAACGTTTTAATCGCCCATTTTAGCTGATAGTTAATGTATTAGGAACAGAAACACCTCCTCGCACATTATATCCTCCTGATACAAAACTTGTAAAGATTTAAAACGAAATTTGGTTTTGAAATATATTTTTGGGTAATGGGAAAGGATGAGGAAAAGGTCTCCTCAACCATTATGTTGTCCTGGTAGCCAGACAAATTTTATAAACATTTTCTAACTGATAGTTCATGTATTAGGAACAGAAACACCTCCTCGCACATTATTATATCCTCCTGATACAAAACTTGTAAAGATTTAAAACGAAATTTGGCTTTGAAATACATTTTTGGGTAATGGGAAAGGATGAGGGAAAGGTCTTCCTCAACCATCATGTTCTCCTGGTAACCAGACAAATTTTACAAACCTTTTCTAACTGATAGTTCATGTATTAGGAACAGAAACACCTCCTCGCACATTATATCCTCCTGATACAAAACTTGTAAAGATTTAAAACGAAATTTGGCTTTGAAATACATTTTTGGGTAATGGGAAAGGATGAGGGAAAGGTCTTCCTCAACCATCATGTTCTCCTGGTAGCCAGAAAAATTTTACAAACATTTTCTAACTAATCGTTCATGCATTAGAACAGATAAACACCTCCTCGCACATTATATCCTCCTGATACAGAACTTGTAAAGATTTAAAACGAAATTTGGCTTTGAAATACATTTTTGTGTATTGGGAAAGGATGAGGGAAAGGTCTTCCTCAACCATCATGTTCTCCTGGTAGCTAGAAAAATTTTACAAACATTTTCTAACTAATAGTTCATGCATTAGAAACCGATAAACACCTCCTCGCACATTATATTCTCCTGATACAGAACTTGTAAATATTTAAAATGAAATTTGACTTTGAAATATATTGTTGGGTAATGGGAAAGGATGAGGGAAAGGTCTTCCTCAACCATCATGTTCTCCTGGTAGCCAGACAAATTTTACAACAATTTTCTAACTGATAGTTCATGTATTAGGAGCAGAAACACCTCCTCGCACATTATTATATCCTCATGATACAAAACTTGTAAAGATTTAAAACGAAATTTGGCTTTGAAATACATTTTTGGGTAATGGGAAAGGATGAGGGAAAGGTCTTCCTCAACCATCATGTTCTCCTGGTAACCAGACAAATTTTACAAACCTTTTCTAACTGATAGTTCATGTATTAGGAACAGAAACACCTCCTCGCACATTATATCCTCCTGATACAAAACTTGTAAAGATTTAAAACGAAATTTGGCTTTGAAATACATTTTTGGGTAATGGGAAAGGATGAGGGAAAGGTCTTCCTCAACCATCATGTTCTCCTGGTAGCCAGAAAAATTTTACAAACATTTTCTAACTAATCGTTCATGCATTAGAACAGATAAACACCTCCTCGCACATTATATCCTCCTGATACAGAACTTGTAAAGATTTAAAACGAAATTTGGCTTTGAAATACATTTTTGTGTATTGGGAAAGGATGAGGGAAAGGTCTTCCTCAACCATCATGTTCTCCTGGTAGCTAGAAAAATTTTACAAACATTTTCTAACTAATAGTTCATGCATTAGAAACCGATAAACACCTCCTCGCACATTATATTCTCCTGATACAGAACTTGTAAATATTTAAAATGAAATTTGACTTTGAAATATATTGTTGGGTAATGGGAAAGGATGAGGGAAAGGTCTTCCTCAACCATCATGTTCTCCTGGTAGCCAGACAAATTTTACAACAATTTTCTAACTGATAGTTCATGTATTAGGAACAGAAACACCTCCTCGCACATTATATCCTCCTGATACAAAACTTGTAAAGATTTAAAACGAAATTTGGCTTTGAAATACATTATTGGGTAATGGGAAAGGATGAGGAAAAGGACCTCCTCAACCATCATGTTCTCCTGGTAGCCAGACAAATTTTACAAACATTTTCTAACTGATAGTTCATGTATTAGGAGCAGGAACACCTCCTCGCACATTATTATATCCTCCTGATACAAAACTTGTAAAGTTTTAAAGCAAATTTGGGTTTGAAATACATTTTTGGGTAATGGGGAAGGACTTCCTCAGCCCTCATGTTCTCCGGGTAGTCAGACAAATAAAAAACCAGAGGTTGATTGAAAATAATGCACCTCTAGTGAGTTCTTTCTGGAAAAAATGTTGGTATCAAGAGAACAAAAGGAACGAATAATTATTTTTCGGCCCATTTAGAAATCTTTGTACTTTTAAGCGCCTGACAAAACTACATGTTTTGTTTGTATCTTTACAATGGGCTGTCGGTACAAAACTTATAATCCCGTCTACTTCTGAACTCCTGCTGAATAGGAAACGACAAGTCTCTTGGGAATAATGCGCCTGTAGTGAATCCGTCTGATGTTACCTCCATTTCTGTTGAAAATGTGGGTATTTTACCCCTTCAGTACACTTCCCTTAAGTCCTCCTGGCCCTTCTTGAGCTACTTTGCGATCCTATCCGCAGACGGAATTTTTTTGTTAGTAACTCTTTCACCCTGTTATGTTGTGATCTGTATATTGGTAGATGCCCCGTTTCCATAAGCGCCATCTAGAGTTTTATCGTGCTACTTCTTTAGACTGCCGCCTTCTTTAGTTCCACCCTGCTGTCTTAAGTACTACCTGGTACCTGGTGGCGCAATCTGCAGCTCTACTCTTATGCAACATCTGTTCTCCTAGGCTTCCATGAATTAGACACTAGAAGGGTTTGCAATGCAAGCACTTAAGAAATTTTTAACAGATTAGGTTTCGGTTTACAAAGCTTCCTAGGGTTTGCACTGGAAAGCCTAGGAAGGGCCGGAAATCTCCCGCTGTACACCGCAACAGAGAGCTTTCCAAATCCCTCCAGGCTTTACCACACCATGGTTAGGGAAAAGGCTCTGGTAAGCTCTTCAAGACCCACCAGAGCTCTGTATAATGGTCGATATATTGTTTTTCGGTCTCTCCTGATACAAGTAATTATATTTTTTACCCCGCCGCGACTTACGTTCGATGCTCCATTTTAATAAAATCCGCCGCCCGCTCGCCGATCATCATCGCCGGGGCGCTCATGTGACCGGAGAGCGTAATTGGAACGACGCTCGTGTCGGCAACCCTCAAATTTCCGACGCCGTACACCCTCAACTTGTTGTCGACGACGGCTCCCTCGCTCGGATCCGGTCCCATTCGACACGTGCCGCCGCCGTGGTACGCGTTCATCGCCGTTAGACGAATCAGGCACGTCCAGTACTCGCGAGATCTAAACCCACGGTTCGCACACCTCGGGTCGGGTAGCAGCGTCGCGTTCATCGCCCTGAACGCTTTCGTATCAAAGAACTCCATTACTTTCTCTATGGCCTTGTGAACGCTTTCGAGGTCCTCTTCGTCCGAAAGGCACCTGGAATCGATGAGCGGGTACACAAAGGGGTCCCTAGACTGTAGAAAAATTCGCCCGCGTGTCTTGGGGTGGAGAATGACCGCCACCATTTGCGAAACCTGCAACTCGCCCGCGTGAAGATCGGGCGGAGCGCGAACTGTGGGAATGAAGACGACCTCCACGTCGGGTACGGTCGAGTTCGTCCCGGATTGGGGTAAATAGGCTGCGGCTTGAGCGTTGCTCGCTATGGTGAACGGTCCGCTACCGTCCAGATACCGCGCGATGGACTCCCGGAGCTTGTACGCCTCGTCGGTTATTGACGTGGTGAAGTACATGTTGTAGAACATGAGGTGGTCGTGCATGTGTAGCCCCACGTCTAGGTCCTGCACCGTGGGGATCTTCAGCTCGTCGAGTTGGTGCCTTGGGCCGATTCCCGAATGCATCAGAATCGTTGGAGATCCCACGACGCCAGCTGAGAGGATGACTTCTCTCCTTATCTTCGCGACGTATTGAGTGCCCTTGTGAGAGAAAAGGACGCCGGTAGCTGACCTGGTGGCGCTATCGACCAGGAGTTTGGTTACGTAGCAGTGGGTTGCAATTTTTAAATTGGGGCGTAGTCGCGCGTGCCCCAAGAAGGCTTTGGCCGAGCTCTGGCGGCGGCCGTGGATGGTATTAAACTGATTGCGGCCAGCGCCTACCTGATTGGGCCCGTTGAAATCGACAACCGAGCGCCCTAGCTCCTGGTTTGCCGTGAGAAAGGCAACCGCTTTCGGACTTGTCGGCGAGTGACGTTCGACATTCAGACAACCACCACGTCCGTGGTAACCCTCATCGTGGTCATCAATCTTTGAGTTCTCCGACTTAAGAAAATACGGCAAAACGTCTCGGTACCCCCACCCTGGGTTGTCCTCCGACCACCTCTCGTAGTCCAACTTATTCCCTCGACTGTACACCAGCACGTTAATTGCGCTAGTACCACCAAGCGATTTCCCTCTGGGAAACGGACATACTCCGCCCATTGCTGAAGAGATTTCGTGTAGAATTTATCGCGACCAATTCCGCTTACCCAGGCAGCAGGCGGTTTGGGGCGTACTGTTAAATCCCCAATTGCACTCCAAACCGGCGGCGTAAGTGGACATCGCCGGAATTTCAGTGAAGTGGTTCTCTTCGCCGCCGGCTTCCAGTAGAAGAACGGTCCAGTTACGATCTTCCGACAGTCTGCTCGCGACAACCGATCCTGCGGACCCCGAACCGATCACGGCAAAGTCGAAGACTCCAAACCCTAAAAAAGGTCACTGTCAGATTAGGCAAAAACACCAAGCGCCCCACCCCTAGGTTCCGTATTAGCACTCCGAAAACCGCCGGCGTCCTTCGGAAAGACGTAGGTACTGGCCCGCTTAATTTCCTTAGCGATCAGCGTCTCGTAGTAGCTGAGGCTGTAGCACCTCGCCGCGCCGATCAGGCTCAGAAGAACCAACGCGCAAACGTCCATGGCTTACATTTAAATTTAAACTGTTTTTTGGCATTGAAAACGGAAAATGCGCTCTGAGATATGACACGTTTTAAAAATCGCCATGTTTATCATTAACTTTGACTTTGACGATCGCGCTGATTCCTAATTAAAAACCGAAACCGATAAGATAATTTCTACAATACAAATGATTTGCATCCAGGAAATTTTCGGGTTCATAATCTCATTTAATAGAAACGCTTATCCTTTTTTTCCTTTTACGCACGCAAATCTGGACCGGTTGAAACAAAGCTTTAGCGTCGTCATCTTTCTTTTTCATTTTGCTGACACCAGTAGTTTCTTTTTGGAAAAGAGGACTATCTCCTTGAAAACCCTGTATACACATTCAAAAGCATCAGAAGTTATTTTTTCTACACCGTTCGGATGAACGGGTTTCTTTGTTTTCTTTTCTTTTCTTTTGTTTCCCGTTTTTTCCTTTTCCTTTTTTTTTTCTTTTCTTCTCATTTTTCTTTTTTTTCTTTTCTTTTCTTTTCTTTTCTTTCCTTTTCATTTCTTGTCGTTTCTTTTCCTTTCCGTTCTTTTCTTTTTTTCTAGGGAGTTAAGTTAAGTCAAATCTTTCTAGTGCATACAAGTTCTTTCCAGAGGAAAAAGAAGCTTTAGTAGCCTTCTGAACGAGCTGGACAATTGTTATAACGACACTTTCAAGTGCTTGTTAGCTTTTTAGGTCTTCTACAAAGCTCCCGTCTTATTTACAGAGCTATTTTTAAGGGGATAACGTAATGGGGGTATGGAAACGCAACTTCAAAACGCACTCGAAACGCAAGCGCAAACTCAAAACGCAAACGCAATCTCAAAGCGCAAAAAGCAAACGCACATCTCTAGAATAAACGCAACCGCAAACTCAAAATGCAAATCCAAACGCCAACGCAAACTTAAAACGCAAACTTAAACATAAAACGCAAACACAAAGCAAATACGTAAACGCAAAATCAAAGCGCGAATGCAATCTCAAACCGCAAAAAGCAAACGCACACTCCTATAATAGGCTAAACGCAACCGCAAACTCAAAATGCAAATCCAAACGCCAACACAAACTTGAAACACAAACGCAAGCTCAATACTTAAACGCAAACTCAAAACGCGAACGCAAACTAATCTCAAAACGCAAACTCAAAGCTAGATTACCTTTTTCCGAAGGTTACCATGGGGGCGCTAAAGCTAGGAAATAGAACTTCGCAACATGAAAAAGAGCTGTTTCGAAAAACTAGGTAGTACGAGAATTTGAAAGCTCGCGCTCTTGTGGGGGTGGGGGGGGGGGCTCCTGGGGACCATCATATATGAAGACTAGATTACTTTTTTCTAAATGTTATCATGAAGGAGAGAACGAATTATCGTATGAAATTACTGTCGCGTAGACTGGGGAGTACTCCCCCCGGTATGCTGTTTCCCCTCGAAACTCCTGGTAAAAGCAAACATTTCTTTCCAAAGGCTTTCATGCGCTGGAATGTCTTAGAAAGCGCCTTTAAGGCTTGAGAAGTGAGTTAGCTTTGGAAAATCTTCTAAAGTACATCAAATATCTCCCGTAAACTGATCTTTTTTTTTCAAACATTCATAATTTTGGCAAAAATCTTGGAACTTCACTTGGAAAACTCTAAAAAAACCTTAGAAGGCTCCTCTAGATGTGTTCCAGGATCGTTTAGGCTCAAGGCTTAAACCATTTCCAAATTTTTTACATTTTTCTAGAGCACTATACGTTTTGCTCTTGCATAGAACCAAAGGTTTCCAAATGTTTTCCAAATCCCTATGGCTTCTAGAGCCTTTATAATGTTTTAGGCGCTACAAATTCTTTTCTTTAACCAAAGTATTTTTTTGCCATTTGTGTTTTTTAGAAAGCTTTTTTCCGATTTGCCTTAGCGAACGTTTAAGAGGAGCGCTGTTTAGGCATTTTTGTAGTGTTTTGCCTTTTGAAGGTCTTCCACAGGCAATGTAGGTATTTTATAGACACTTATGGAACCTTTATCAGAGCTCTGTAGCCTTTCTAGGATTTGGAAGCATTTTCCAGAGTCTTCTGATTTCTAGAGCACTCTTTCTGCTTTTTCCAAATTCCCAACATTGCTCTCCAGAATCTTTTCCTAGCTTTTTGGGTTCTTTAAGTAAGGTACGCTCGAGAACAGACTGGCGCCTAAAGTATCGCATTTTTTTAGCTTCAGTGCGACTTTAATACCAAAGATGATCGGCGGAGAAAAATTTGAGTTATTGCAGTCATAATGGAAACGTGGCAATAGTGCTTTTTTAATTAAAAATTAAAATTTGGGGATTTAATTTTTTTTAAGTTGCCACCGCGTTAACGCCATTTTTAACCTAAACGAAAGTTTTGACAAGCTCCCAAAGTTATGATAATTTATTAATTTCGCTGTATAATAAACAATTAGCCAAAACGTATCGCGTAGAATTTATAATGCGACAGAAAATGCCCCCGTTTCGAAGAAAGAAGACTCACAAGAGTTTCCCGGTCAAGGTGTGCACTTTAGACGCCGAATTGGAGTTTAATTTGGAGGTAAGTTTCTCCCGAATTTGAACGTTATGTAATTACGTTTGTAGTGGCGGGCGACGGGGCGCGATCTCTTCGATCTGGTCTGTCGCACTATCGGACTACGAGAGACTTGGTACTTCGGCTTGCAGTACGAGGACTCGAAGGGATTCATTTCGTGGCTCAAGCTCGACAAGAAAGGTACCCGCTTGCTTCTGACCGAGCTCGTATGCAATCTTTTGTTATAGTACAGGATCAGAGCATACACAAGGATCCGCACAGTTGCACCTCGTTCATGTTTCTGGCGAAGTTTTATCCGGAAGAGGTCGCCGACGAGCTCGTCCAGGAAGTGACACAGCACTTATTCTTCCTGCAAGTTAAACAGGCGATTCTATCCATGGATATTTACTGCCCGCCCGAGGCGTCCGTGTTGCTCGCCAGTTACGCCGTTCAGGCCAAGTTCGGCGACTTTGACGAGGACACGTACAAACCGGGCATGCTAGCAAGCGAAGACCTACTGCCGCAACGCGTGATCGATCAGTACCAGATGACGCTCGACATGTGGGAGGAACGAATACGGGTCTGGTACGCCGATCACCGCGGTATGAGTCGCGACGAGGCCGAAATGGAGTACCTTAAGATCGCGCAGGACCTCGACATGTACGGCGTCAACTACTTCCCAATTACGGTAGGCGAGCACCGAGGGGTAGACCACTTTCATTCCGAAATTGGGTCTACCCCTTGGCGAGCGCGGTGTGTTTTGCGAAATTTGACCTTTTCCCTTTCAGAATAAAAAAGAGACTGATCTGTGGCTCGGCGTGACGGCTTTAGGTTTAAATATTTACGAAAAGGAAAACAAATTGCAGCCAAAGACGACCTTCACGTGGTCGGAAATTAGACACATTAGCTTCGATGATAAGAAATTTATAATTAAGCCCGTCGACAAGAACTCGCCGAATTTCGTTTTCTTTAGTCAAAAAGTTCGCATGAATAAATTGGTGAGTGGTCGCCGTTACGATCGTCCCCCTTAAACCGCCCCTCTTTCAGATATTAGATTTGTGCATGGGAAATCACGATCTCTTCATGCGAAGGCGGAAGCCCGACTCGATGGAGCTGCAGCAGATGAAGGCCGCCGCGAAGGAGGAGAAGCAGAGGCGGCAGGTGCAACGCAATCGGTTGGCGCGCGAGAAGCAGCTCAGGGAGGAGGCCGAACGGGAACGGGCCAATTTGGAACAGAGGCTGTTGCAGTACCAGGAGGAAATAAGACTCGCCAATGAAGCGCTGGTAGGCCATGGTTTTTCAATGTCTACCGCTACTGAACAATGCACAAAATTTGTATTCGCATATGGGGGGGGGGGGGGGGCGTCTAGAGGTGTGGGCACATTGTTCAACTAAAAATTTAATTTTTCACATAACAAGTTAATTCCTTTCGTTCCTTTCATTAGAGTACCGTGACGACTAGAACGTATGTTCCCCCCGCCCCCCCCCTCTCCATTTTCAAAAGGCACACGTATGTAAAAAGGTAAAAGGGGATATGTGGAAGTCTTCCCAAAAACTATAATGGGTTCTGATGGCTAAATGTTTTATGGGAGAAAGCGTACCACTGGGGTGGTCTGGGGGGTACAGAAAACCGACCAGTATATATGGTGGCTCTATTGCCATTCAAAAAAACCAGTGTATCCCCAGCACTCTCGTGGTAACCTTTGGGAAAAGGCAATTGAACTTCTGTTTCCTGGGAAGTTTTCCATACCCTCCAATACTGCGTTCTTCGTCGTATTTCGGGGAGAGGGGGGGAGATGTGGTAATCTTCCAAAAAACTATAATGACTTCTGAGGGCCACATGTTTTATGGGAGAAAGCATAGCAATGGGGGCTGGGGGGTAAAAGACCCCCCAGTATATACGGTGGCTCTATTGCCCTTTTAGAAAAAAACCGGCAGTGTATCCCTAGGTTTTTTTCTTCTAGCACTCGTGGTAACTTTTGGGAAAAGGTAATTGAACCTCAGTTTATCATACCCCACCCTCGGTACTGCGTTCTCTACCATATTTCTTGATAGAAGGGGGTATGCGGCAATCTTCCAAAAAACTTCGGGGAGGTATGGAATCCCCCCACCCTTCATAGCTATCAAAAAAGTAATATAGTCAAGTGCTCATTTGGGGTTACACTTTGGTGTAAAATTAAAATTGGAAAATTGTCAAGTTCCGAATGTATATTTTGCTGGTTAAAAGAGATCTAGAATAATTTAATACACCAGCAATGATATTCAAAAAAGATTCTAGTGATTCAAAAAAAATTGAGATTTTTTGATTATTCCTTGAATCTTTTTGAATTTTTTTAGTGTATTTTGAAAAAGAGAATTAATATGCTATACCGGCTGTTCTACTTAAAAAAAAATAGGTTAGGTTCGATACGTGACCGCGTATACTTATTCTGAAAACGGCAGATAATTCTACGATCACGATATAGAAACATTTGTAATAAACGCCCCTATAAAAATAGCATATTATATTCTCTGTTCAAGAATTAACACACTAGGGATATTCAAAAAAGACTAAAAAAATAAATGAAAGATTCAAGAAATTTAAACAAAAATTTCAAGAAATTTAAAAAAACATCAAATAATTGAAATAAAAAAATTTCAAAGCCGCCCGAGTCGAATATCCTAGCCCCTAGACTATTTTGAGAGGAAGGGGCACCTAAAAGACGCATGCCCAGGAGAAAGCAGTTCCTCGTAATTAGACATTTGGATAATTGAAAATAAATTGACAGGTCTGTCTGACGGTACGATAAACACCGTATCACCGCCACCTATGACGCTGAATTTTTTTGAATCGCCATTTTTCGATTTAACAATGGTGGCTCGGCTTACCCCCTAATAATACCAATAATAAGCAATTTCAATTTTTGCGAGCGACATCTAATGCATAAATCCATAAGCGTAATCTTCCGTACATGTTTACACTACTGCTCAATAGAGGGCGCTTTTAAGTATAACTAAATACAGTGACTTTATAGAGACAGTGGCGACAATCATGTGTAATTTTTGATTGGTTGTTAAAACCGGCAGCCATGTTGCATCCAGAATATTGTATTGTAGTGCCTATGTCTAATTTGAATATTCGATGCAACATGGCCGACCGCTACTAGACGCCCCCCTTAAGAGTTGAAATGTGTAACTTTACCGCACTCAAAATGCGAACGAAAAATAGAAATACTTCTTTATAGCGCCGATCCGAAGAAAGCGCCGATCTTCTCGCGGAGAAAAGTCGCGTGGCCGAAGAGGAGGCGATGCTTCTCAGCCAGAAAGCGTCGGAGGCCGAACAGGAAATCACGCGAATTCGTCTGAGCGCGTTGCGCACCGAGGAGGAGAAGGTGAATCTCGAGCGTAAAACGCGCGAGGCGGAGATGCTGACCGCTCGTCTCGTCGAGGAGTCGGAGAGGCGAGCCGCCGAAGCGAACAAGCTCAAGGACGAGCTGCTGCGCGCTCGCGCAGCCGAAAAGCAGGCGAAAGAGAAACTCCTCGACTTCCTCGGCCGCAACGCCTACTCGAACTCCGTCGCGGCTAGTCCAATCCAGTCGGTCACGAGTCTGTACTCGAGCCCGTTGAGTCCGCAGATGCACTCGGATCTGCTCGCGCTCGAACGCGAACCCAGTCCCGCGCCCGATCTCAACCTTAACATTAACCTCAATTCGTACGACCTCTTAGCGCACGGCGACGTAGATCAGCTCTCTCTCGAAATCGAAAAGGAAAGGTAAGTCGTCGACGGTCCTCACCTCCAATCACCCCCCTCTCTCTCTCTCTCTGTTCCGCCAGGGTCGACTACCTCGAAAAATCGAAACACCTCCAGAACCAGCTGCGCGAGCTCCGTTCCGAGATCGCCGTCCTAAAGGTCGGCGAGAAGCAGAGCGAGCTCGACCAGCTGCACGACGAGCAGGTGAAGCTCGGCGAGAACAAATACTCGACGCTGAGGAAGAGCAAGTCGGGCTCGACGAAATCGCGCGTCGCCTTCTTCGAGGAGTTATAGCTGCAGTTGTAGGCCTAGACGCAAGACCTGTAATGGTATTATGTAAATATGTAATCGTAACGCTTCCTCTAACCATAACACGGTAATTCCAATTCCGACTAAAAACGACATTTCGACGAGAGCTTAAGGATAATCGTTTAAACTATTTTCAGCTTGATAGGACAATAATTTTAGGTAGTTACAGAAGTGTATATTTTGTAATAAAAGAAAAGACTTGTATATATTTTTCTAAAATTGTCAAATATACGAAGCCACCGTTTCGTTTTTATACCCGATATTTTAGCGACGGGAGCCGCATTTGTTTTTCCTAGCTTGGAGCGTCAAGAGGCAAATTGCGAATTCGATCTGATGATGAGCCAAGAAGCTAAACAATGTTAAGGTAAGGCACTTTGTCATGTTCTCCTGATACATCTAATTTTCAGTTTAAGAAGACATAAATGGGACATACCTACGTATGAAGACCTATGCCTCTGAGGGATATCAGGATCACAGAATTTACCTTAATCATTAATGTTAATTCTTGTGCAGATTTGAGGAAAAATAAATAAATTTGGTACAAGGAGTTGTTATCATATTCTAAGACACAGAATCTGTTCTCCTGATTGTACCTATCCATCATTTACCCTGTGGACCTATACTTAGGAATCCTATTGGCCTGAGGTTAATCGGTAGTGACCTTGAAAAGGTCAAAGTGAAAGTGGAGTCACGTAGCCGCGCTAACCTTGGGATTAGGTCAACAATTGGTATTTTAAATTACATTCTCAAGGGCATACAAGGTTAATGGCCCCATTTTGAGGTGTCAAATTACATGTTCGAGGTCATCCAAGACTAAAGACCTCAATTGTGATGCCAAATTACAATTTCCAAGGTCGATGGCGGCACCATGCCTATGATTATTGTCTAGAGAATGTCCTGAAATTTCATTTTCCCATACACCAGTGCTCTAGAGGAGCTATTGTTTTGGGAGGAAATATCACCTGGGGGTCTGGAATACCCCCCAGCCAGCTGAGAGTGACCTTAGCAAAGTAGAACTTGATCATGCTATTTATTTTACTCCTATCGCATTTTCTTGATGGTAGTTTTTGGCAGTAATCGCATCTTCGTATTTCAGTGATACTTGCAATGGTAGTAAAACGTAATCATTCCATACTCTATTTATTTTACTCCTATCGCATTTTCTTGATGGTAGTTTTTGGCAAAACGTAATCGCATCTTCGTCTCCTGGGGGGTGTTCCATACTCCCCCGACCCCCCGGTGCTACTGGAATACCCCCAGCCAGCAGAGAGTGACCTTAGCAAAGTAGAACTTGCTCATTCTATTTATTTTACTCCTATCGCATTTTCTTGATGGTAGTCTTTGGCAAAACGTAATCGCATCTTCGTCTGCTGGGGGGTATTCCATACTCCCCCGACCCCCCGGTGCTACTGGAATACCCCTAGTCAGCAGATAGTGACCTTATAGCAAAGTAGAACTTGATCATTCTATTTATTTTACTCCTATCGCATTTTCTTGATGGTAGTTTTTGGCAAAACGTAATCGCATCTTCGTCTCCTGGGGGGTGTTCCATACTCCCCCGACCCCCCGGTGCTACTGGAATACCCCCAGCCAGCAGAGAGTGACCTTAGCAAAGTAGAACTTGCTCATTCTATTTATTTTACTCCTATCGCATTTTCTTGATGGTAGTCTTTGGCAAAACGTAATCGCATCTTCGCTTCCTGGGGGGTATTCCATACCCCCCAGACCCCCCGGTGCTACATTCTCTCCACAAATGTTTAAAACAGTCACCATGCCTATGATTATTGTCTAGATAATGTCCTAAAAATTTTTTGAAAAAATACCATACACGAGTGGGAGGTCGTAATAACACCGCGGGGTCTGGGCGAAACCTACCTATAGGCGGTAGAACGCACAAGGCATGAATTACGTTCTATTTTTTACCTTTTCACTTCTGTTTTCCTGATTTGCGCAGCTTCCTCTTCACAAAGCCTCTGCGGTTCAAGAGAGTAATTATAACGATTTGCTTAAATTTCTTTACGCTTACTTTCTTCGTACAAATATAAGTGGCGCCTGTATATCGTCAGGAGAGTAACTATTTATCTTCCTTTTAAGCAGTGCCTCAGGTATCAGGAGAGATGAAAGAGAGGACTGGCGTATGAGCTTGCAACCCCTTTTTTTCCTACATTTTAATTAAAACAATCTTTCTCTTGAACTCTGCAAGGGCATCGAGGATGTGATGAAGGTTTCTTACTCACTTACTGCTTTCCTGATACTTTCAATTTTCTTCAAAAATACCTGGGATATCAGAAGAGTCTACTTTAATAGTGGGAGCATTAGGTACTAACCATTCAGTTCTCCTGATACAAAGTCTTTCTTCGGAAACCGTTTGCTTCTGTTCTCCTGGTATTAATTTTTTTCTTTGCTGGAGCGATTTGTTTCCAATCTCCCTCGTGGGTTTTAATACATTTAAGATAACCGTCGCTTATCAGTCGACGTTATCAAATCAAAGTGCACTGTCTAATTAAAGTGTCCTTATCGCCGGAGAAGCTTGACAATGCTCAACAGCGACGCACTCATAACCTTCGCCTATTACTGCTCGTTGTTTTGTTTAACCTTCGTCGGTTACATACTGATCTTCGAGGAGAATCCCAACAAGGATCGGTACAAATCACCAGGTGAGTTTGCGACTTCGGCCAAAGCGCGCGCTTATCGCTTGTAGACTGGTATTACTTGTTGAAGAGGCTCCTGGCCATTCCCACCATAAACCAACTGAAACGGAAACTGCGCAAGGCCCAAACGGAGCAGCCCAAAAGGCTCAATTCCTCGGGAAAGGTAGGTGGGAGGTTGAGAGTGCCGGTGATTCGAGTTCTTGCAGAAGACCGACGCGCTGACCGTCTACGGGGTCGATCAAGATGGAAGCGCGTGCTTTGTCAAGGTGATTCTTCGCGAGCATCGCGTCGCCGAGGTCGCTCTGCTGCTCAGGTTGGGCGATGGGAAAAGCTACACGTTCCCGGACGAGCGCCAGGTGCGGGTTTGTAGCACGACCGGCGGCGGTCAGTGGAGGGCGGGCGGGCTTACGTTGTCGATTTTGGAACCGTTCCAAAGGATTAGGCTGACGTACTTTGGGTTTTTGAGGGTGTTTGAGAAGGGACTGCCTGGTGACGTGGAGGCTGTGAAGTTGAGCCTAATGTGAATTTGCCGCTGTTTTTGGGGTAGATGCTCTAGTGTGTGTTTCAGGTGGAACGGTGCCGATGAAGTGCTCCATTATCCGCAGGACGCCGACAGCGGGTTGCTCTCGGATGCACTTGCCAAGGAGCGTTGGCGCGATGGGAGTTGGATCGAGCTAATGTAAGTGGACGGTTTGAAGTTCGTGAATTAGCAAGAACCGTAGGGGGGACGAGAGGGGTTACGAGCAGTATGGGGCGTTTCAAGGCGCTTTCACTACCCCGACCGTGTCGAGCGATCTCCGTTTCCAAGGCTTTAGAAAGCGCCTTTGGGGCACCGCCGAGCATCTCAGTCTTCATCGCGACTTCACCATATTCGTCTCGGGCCGGGACGGCACCGCGTTCACCATCGGAGCCCGATCGTACAAGGCGGGGTGCGCCAGGTTGAAGTTCGGGACGCTCTTCGCCCGATCAACTGGAAGTCGCCCAATTACTCAACACGATATCAACCTGGAGTACGTGGGCGAGTACAGCACCCCCTCCAGCATTTCATTCCACGTGAAAGGTAACGACATTGTCTTATGGCGGTTGCTATGGGGTTTCGTTTTGCAGCCGGCGGCAGGACGTACAAGTGCATCGCGACGCTGATGCACCGGGATATGGTCACGATGGGTAGCGAGGGGTGGGAAACGAGGATGGTTCCCTGCAGGATCATCTTGGATGGAACCAGCGGAGTAGGACTGGTTTCGTTTTGGTACTCTCAACAAGGTAACCTCTTAAACGAAAATTAATCTTGTGCCCTGGACTTCTTTTGGAGTTCTTCGCAGTTGTCAATCTTCCCATTGCGTACTTAGGGCTTTAACAGCTAGCAAAAGTACTAATTATTCGCCTCGTATAAACAAGAGGAACTTGTTTTTATCGTAATTAACCACTCCAAGTGTAAACGTAATGATCGTTCTGTACCTTGGACCACAACGTTTTCGTGGTAAAATTTATTTAAACGTGAAAAGCCCGGCCGAGCTCTTCTCGGCGTTGACGGCGGTCCTCCATCTAGTGTACCCAGTGTCCCGGGTCTTCGGCATGTCCCGAACGTACAGAGAGAACAGCGACATCTGTCTTTGAAATAACGATGCAACAATCTCTGGACAAATTTCAGGTGGAGAACGCGACGCACCCGACTTCTTGCTGACCGAACCCAAACTCGATCGCGTCCCCAGCTTCGTCGCCGCCTTTGGAGAGCGCGAATGCGAGGTTGGAGCATTCGCCGGCGAAAAAGGGAAACTCCTAGCTTTGGCGTCCTCAATTATCTCCCCCAATGTGAGTCGCTTCCGGCGCTAAGCGGAGAACTGCACGTGTACTTTTTAGTTTGCCATTCCGCGCGGTTTCGTCGTACTGACCACGGCGTTTACGCACCATCTGAACCACAGCGAGAAGCTGAGTGAAGCCGTTGGAAACGTGAAGGACGTTTGCCTAGGGAACGCAGCTGGAGATCTCTCGCTGGCTTGTCAAAGGGTCGTTGAGCTTTTCTTAACCGAGCCCATCGCCGAGGACGTCGCTGGGGAAGTACTGGAGAAGCTGGGGGATGACCAAGGCACGTGGACCGTGTGCATCTCGGGTACGTTGCGTTTCGCAAGTCGCGCGAGTTTACTCAAAATTTCAGATGCGTCCGATGGGGCGTGCGGCATGGAGGTTCGGCCCGAGGGCGTTCTCCAAGCGGTGGCGACGTGCTGGAGTTCGATTTTTAACTACGCAAACGTGACCAACAGAAAACGGCAGGGGTTGGAGATATGCCCCAGCGCCGCTGTCGTGCTTTACCGCCTGGGGGACGTAGAAAAATCCGGAACGGTGACCAGTTGCGAACCTTCGAAGGTCATCATCAGAACATCACGGGACGAGATCGTTTTAGATCACACTTGGAAAGGGGAGTTAAGCCTGACCTCCCCAGCTTCTGAGAGCCTGCACGCTTTAAGTTTAGGACGTGCGGCCATTGAGATCGAAAAGGCCTTGGGGGAGTTTTGCCACCTTAACTGGGCGTACGTCAATGGCGTCTTCTACATAACTCAACTGATAACAATCGATCAAAGTCAGGAATGGACCGACGAAGAGCTTCTCCACGAATTCGACAGCCCTACAATTACAATGGGGGCGCAATCGACCTCGGCCAACATTTCCGAGCTTCTCCCCGGCGCCCTGACTCCACTCACCAACAGTATCGTGCTCAAAATTTTCGCCGACTACATCTACAGACCTTTTGGTCGAAACCTGATCGGATCGTCGCTGTTTCAGGCCAGAATCGCCACGGATTCGCTGATTGAAGAGGAAAACCTCGGAAAATTTGGCAGAATCTGGCACGTTGCCAAAACGCTCATCGGCACTACGGTCGACGTCAAACTCCCCGTGCGTCCACCTGTGGCGGACGGACTCTTGGCCATCGAAAACGAAATGGAGCGCATACGCGAAATGGGCAAAGTACACCTGCAGGTCTCGACCCAGGCCGTCGCCCAAACGAAAGCCCTGACGATTCTCACCGACCCGGACCCTAACTCTAAGCTATCCCTTCTGCTTCCGCTATCCGTTCACCAGGAGATCTCCGAGCTGATGGCCGGCCTCGCCGAAATAATCAACGAGTCGGGTCTCTACGCGGAGTTCGCCAGGGTGGAGCCCCGCGACGGAATGTCGTGGTTGAAGTGGAACTGCCCGTCGGTCAGCGAAACGCTAGAGGACCTCCCGGCCAGAGAGGTAGGTGGCACTTTGTCGACGGTTTAAGAAAGGTCTCGCTTTCAGTACGAGCTTCAAAATCGACGTGAGGATGGCGCCGTTCTAATCGAGATGCTCCAATTCTACTGCAAGCTTGCCAAGGCGCAACCGTCGTCGGCGAGGCGCACGAGGTCCTCGGCCAATTCGCGCTTGGTTCGGTTCTTCACGATGAAATGCAAGGAGTCGATCGTGACCAGGGAGCGAATGAGATTGGGCATCCTGAAGGGAATCGGGGAGATTCGTGCCGGGCTTCGGGCGCTGTCGCGAGAATTGGTGCGGCAGGGTAAAATACCCGAGGAGGATCTCATTTTCTATCTCTCTTGGTACGAGCTGAAACGGCTCGTGTTGAAGCAGGACGGAGCGGCTGTTCCAAGGTAGGTGAGCCGTTGTGACTCCGGCTGATCGCTTTATTTCAGGGCGATACGTCGAAAAGGTCTCTATCCCCTATGGGATAGAATCGTTTTGCCAACTACAACCCGTGGGACTCCCAAGGGAGTGGGGGACGCCAAGGGTAAGGTGATGAGGACGGGCGAATCGGTTTTCAATGGAGATGTCCACGGCAGAGCTTGCGTGGTTAGAGCAGTTCACGACATTCGACATCTAGAACAAGGTTTGGGGGGGATTCTACTGTAGTTTTCGCAAAATTGTAATTTTCAGGTGACGTTTTGATCACTTCGAGCGTCAATTTGAGTTGGTCCCCTTATTTTGCAATGCTATCCGGCCTGGTGACCGAAGCCAGTGGCGTACTCTCCTACGGTAAGTAACGTTGAACCCAGTGGCGGTACTTGAATTACGAATGCAATTCCTTTATCTCCCTCCCCGGCTGTTCTTTCTTTATATCTTTTTCGCGCTTTTGTTTTTCACTTCTTTGCGTCCTCTTCCCGCCTTCTTTAAGTTATCTGTTTTATGCTTTAACCCCCCCCCCCCCCTGCATGCCTCCGTCATTTACCTATTTGCATCTCTCAGGTCTACTTTACATGCCCTCTATGCCTTCCTCTTGTCCTTGTCCTCATTGTCTTTTCGATATCTCATTAATTAGTTTCTTTGGGAATCTTTTTTATATTTCCACCCTCCCCCCTCCCCGCATGAAATGATCTGCTTCAGTTTCACACCTACTTCATGCTTAGTTCCCTCTTTTACGGGGACATAGAGGTTCTTCAGAGCGCCTTCATGTTTCTTTCAAGTTTACTTTAGTCTTCTTTGCACTTACTCCCCTCGCCCCCCCCCCTCATTTTTTCTATTTGCACCGTTTTCCTTCGTTTCTCTTTCACGGCTCCGTCACGATATTTTTAGCGCATGTTTTAAGAATTAAAAAAAATGTGCCTATACCTTGAAGGTGTGCCACACGGCCATCAAATTTCGCTGTCTAAAAGGAGCCCCCCCCCCCCCACGAATTATTTTCCTGAGATGCTGTTTTTGAAAGTAAAACGTGCATAACTTTTACATATGACAACCAATTGGTCTCAGATTTTGCATACGCATGCCTTTAATGGTGCCAAGTTAAACTTTAGGAAAGGGGGGGGGGGCACATGTTCTACCCTTCATGGTCTTCTAGTGAAAGGTCTCATGGAAATAAATTATGGTTTGTACAAACCGACTGCGACTCTTTTTCGAGATCAGTGAGCGACGAGGCCTGAAGGGGGGGGGGGGGGGGGTTAAAAATAATCTTTTCTCTCATTGTATTCTAAGTAAAGGTCTCAACGAAAGGAACCGTTTTCTACCAACTACTTCCCTCCTTTCTGTCTTCTTATCATAGTACATAGAGGAGCGGAAGGGTGGGGGAGGGGGGAGTGGAACTAGTTTTATCCTTCATGGTACTCTAATGAAAGGTCTCAACGAAAGGAATTAATTTCTACCAACCATAGTCCTCTTCCTTGACCTCTTACCGTGATCGGGTATATTCCCTTATTCTTTTCTCCTATCCCTTTCCCTTTCCTTCCAGATCTTTTGCTACTTCTAGATCTCTTTTCACATTTTCCATCTTCAAGTCTTCTTCAGTAAGTTTCCGTCACTTTTTCCTGCATTTTGTGTCATTTCCGTCACGCCTGTTTTAAAACCTTCCTCACTTCCCCTTCATTTCCTTTTTGCATCTCTCTCGCGTCTTTTTTACAGTCGTTTCTGTCTTGCTCACACGTCTATGTCCCTTTTAGATTTCATTCGCGACTTCTTCTTTGGTACTTTTCCATTTTTTCTTGTGCTTCCCCTGTGCCCCCCCCCCCCTCTCTCCCCACAGCCATCTATTTCTACTTTATACCCATGCCTACATCGTACGTGTCTAGTTATTATGTTCGCTTCCTTACGGTAGTATAGAGATTTTTTAGATCTCCTGCACGTTTCGTGTCACTTTTTCTGTGGTATCCCCCCCCCCCTGCAATCTGCTTCACGATTCCGTTGGCTCCTTGACCTCTTGTGGCGACTCCTTTAAGTCTCGCGTTTTGTTAGATTCCTTCAACTGTTTCACATCTCCCTCATGCAATATTGACGTCCTCCTCGCTCTCCCTTTTCTCAATATTATTCCGGCTTCACTCCCTTCACCCCTCTCTTTATGGTTCCATCACTCCTATAACCTCTTGATTTTAGATAATTTCTTGGAACCCCTATAAGAGAGGGACTTCTTTCGCACCGTTTCAACTCTCATCTTATCGTGCCAATTTTAGGTGCGACACTCGCAAAGGATTTCGAAGTGCCCTGCGTCGTGGGAGTGGAGAATGCCACCTTGATCTTCGAAACGGGCGATATGGTACTTCTGTCCGGTAAAAATGGCACCGTTCAGCTTTCCAGCTGAGCCGTAAATTAAATAAATGGAATCGCGATGGGCTTGACTTATTTAAAACCTTTACTTCCTCTTCCTATTCAAAGGCAGAGTTTGGAAGGTCCTTTATAATATTAGGGGCGTTTTCCTATGGGGCACTCCAGAGGTTAAAGGGTTGTTCCACCCTGTGCATATAACCTGCGACGATGCAAACATTTTTGAGATATAACCATATTAATTGTAATCATTTTGGGGGTGAACGTAGCACCTGGGGAGTATTATGCAACTCCCCGCCCTCCCACTCGCACACACTCTCACAAGGAATCAATTACCTTCTTCCCGAAAACTACCCTTTTAGGATATGGTCATCGGTTCTTACTTTCGTCTTCTAATTTAATACAATCTCGAGATAAAAATGAAAAAAAAATGCTCTGGCAATGACAAAGAGCCTAGACAGTTTTGGAAAAAAGAGAGAAGGCGCATGAAAGCAAAAGATTAAGTTTCCATCACTCCCACTAATGGTATAAGCAGCTAAGAATAGTGACGTACACTTTATTACCACCTAATCCAAAACGTTAAGCAAACTACGAGCTAGTCCAAATCTAATTTTTTAAAGGACCCCTCCACTCCGAAGATGTCGCTCGCGTTCTTCGGCTTGCCGACTCTCTTCGACTCGTCCGCGATCTCTTTCTCGTCCGTAAGGAAATACTCCGCGCTCTCCGACATGTTTTTCTTGCTTCTCTCTGAAAGACGACCCGTTGAAGAATGCGAAGCCTTCGCCTCCTTACCGTATAATTCCGAGACGGTGCCGGCCTTTCCGTTGTAATCACTCGGGAGGATTTCTTGAGGAACGTGCGGGAAGAGCGAGTCGAGCGTTTCCGTGTGAAGGTAGAGCTAAAAATTGGGATTGGTTGGTTAATCGGGTCGGGTACGGGGGGGTTACCATGTCGATAAGCTCCTTCTTCATGAACGGTTTCATGAGCGCCATTAGTTTATCGATGAAGGGCACGACGTTAATGAAGTGGAGACCCTTCAGCCGTACAGGGAGGGCTTCCTGAAACGTACTTTAGCGCAATACTCTCAAAGGGCGCCACCAACCTGAAGATACATGAAGAACTTTTTCATCCCCATTATGTTTATCTTGGTCATGTGTCCCAAAGTCATACCGTTCATGTCCATGATAATGACCAAACCCTCGGAGGTACCGCCCTGCACCATCCAAAGCATTAGGGTCATATCAAAACTTCGGATTTGATCGTTGAAGTTGTACTTGCTCACGTCACTGTCGATGATTCGGCAGAAAATCACCCTGTATCCCTCCGGTGTGTACTTTGGCAGGGGAAGATAGGCTCTAGAAGAAGATTAGGGGGAAATTTCACCTACGGGGGAAAACTCACCCGACTTTGACGTCCTCCTGGAATTTGGCCGAGTTGGGATCTCTGCCCGCGAAGAATTCGGGGCAAAGAGCTTTAATGGTGTAGAAGGTGTCGATGGTGGTCTTCGTCTGCTCCATGCTGAAGTAGCAACTCTGCAGGAAGAGGATCAGCTGCAAATCTGCAAGGGGTGTCAGCTTGGGGTAACGCGCCGAGCGCTCTCACCCGAAATTTTGGGTAGATGGGGTTGCTTCTCCATCCATTCGCGTAGCGCCTTCATGTCTTCCTCGCGCAACTCCTTATTCTTCTGGTATTCACCTGCAACATCGGCGAGCTTCGGCGCCATCTCGCTAACATGTGCACCACACTATCGCCGCAATGGAACTGCCCGACATAAAAAAGACTTCCCATCGCGTGTCCCCACAATACTAACAAAAAATGATTATAATCAGTCACCATTCAGGAAGTCGTCTTGGAAGTATATTTACGAACACTAATGTGTTATTAAGCTCCTTGTTTTGTACCGAAGGTAATCAAACTATCGTATTTACGATGGTATTATGTAACACATTTTGGAAAAAAAAACTTCGTGCATGTGTAGGTAAATCGGGACATGGAAACCTTGAAATGTACCTACATCCGTTATTATTTAAACAATTAAAATTAAGTGTTATTTAGAATGACATAGTCATGTTGCAATAGCTAATTTCCTTGGGACCTGCACCTGTTGTGGATTTGCTAAGGGTTGAAAACTTTCGGACGTTCAACTGCGTTTAGGAAATTCTATACAGTATTTAATTTACTCAATAATTATGTAATTAGCGTAGGTACTTACAAACTACTTAATTATCCTATTGTAATTAGACTAACCGCAAATTCATTTTGAATTAAATTTAGGATTTCTCGGTTCTAAAAAGGTTAATCGATGAATACTCAATTCAAAAAGAAATAATAGATGATAGAAGCACCCCCCCCCCCCAACAGGTGCTACATTCTCCCCACACATATGAATCAATTACATTTTCCCAAAAACTACCATAACAGTTGCTCTTGGAATCAGATCATCGATTCTACCTCGCGCCCCCACCCCCCACCCGTAATTACGCCAATTACCACGTTTATAATCAAGAGAAATTCCATACACGAAAGCAAAAGGATAAATTACCGTTTCCCAAAATCTATCAAGACAGTTGCCTTTTGGGATTCATCAATTGTTCCTTTAGCTGGGGGGTATTCCATACCCCCCAGCCCCCCGGTGCTACATTATCCATCAAAATGTTCCGCCCCTACAATTTTCGTGTATGGGATATCTCTTAATTATTCACGTTCTAATCGTCGTAATCATTTTGGGGGAGAGCGCATGACCGGGGGGTCTGGGGGGTGTGGAATACCCCCCAGCACGCAGAAGGATCAATTACCGTTTCCCAAAATCTATCAAGACAGTTGCTTTTGGAATTCATCAATTGTTTCTTTAGCTGGGATACCCCCCAGACCCCCCGGTGCTACGTTATCCACCAAAATTAATACGAAAAAGTGTTTTCCCGAGAAATTTTGGTGCAGTCGATTTTTGGTAAAAAAGACACTGCCTTTTTTTGGCCCCAAAAAAAAATTGTCTCAGATCGACCGGGAAAAAATATTTTCTTATAGAATGTGGCCTGTAGAATCCATAATTTCAACCAGTTCCAAGATCGGACTACTAGATCAAAAGTTACAGCCCTTTAAATTTTTTTCGAAAATGGTTTTTTGCCCTTAACTTTTGATTGAGACGTCTAATCGAAAAAGTACGACTCGTTTTGGATTCTACGCACCAAAATTAATAAGAAAAAGTTTTTTTCCCGAGAAATTTTGGTGCAGTCGATTTTTGGTAAAAAAGGAAGGTTATACACTGCCTTTTTTTTGACCCCAAAAAAAATTGTCTCAGATCGACCGGGAAAAAATATTTTCTTATAGAATGTGGCCTGTAGAATCCATAATTTCAACCAGTTCCATGATCGGACTACTAGATCAAAAGTTACAGCCCTTTAAATTTTTTTCGAAAATGGTTTTTTGCCCTTAACTTTTGATTGAGACGTCTAATCGAAAAAGTACGACTCGTTTTGGATTCTACGCACCAAAATTAATAAGAAAAAGTTTTTTTCCCGAGAAATTTTGGTGCAGTCGATTTTTGGTAAAAAAGGAAGGTTATACACTGCCTTTTTTTTGACCCCAAAAAAAATTGTCTCACATCGACCGGAAGAAAATAATTTCTTATAAAATGTGGCCTATAGAATTCATAATTTCAAACAGTTCCAAGATCGGGCTACTAGATCAAAAGTTACAGCCCTTTGAATTTTTTTTCGAAATTGGTTTTTTGCCCATAACTTTTGATTGGGACGTCTAATCGAAAAAGTACGACTTTCGTGTATGGGATATCTCGTAATTATAAATATACTAATGGCAACAACGGAGAACCGAGGGGAGGGGGGGGGGGATGGAATAACCCTTGTGGGATATCGTTATCTATTTTCCCCATGGGCATTTTCATTAATTAAAAGTTAAGAGAAGAAAAAGTATAAGGGTAATTCAGAGCAAAACAGATTCAATTAACGCAAAAGATTAAAGCAGACCAAGAGAAATTAAGAAAAGAAATTAAAGAAAATTGATTAAAAGCGTAAATTAGCTAGGAATTGGAATAAAAATTAAAAACCCACGCAACGAACATTAACCAAGACCATACAATGTTGGAAATGCGAGAAGTAGTTGGAAATTTCCGAGAGCGAATAAATGCTGTAGTCGGTGTATTAGAAAAGGGAGTGAAGAATAATGATAATCGGAAAATTAAGAAATCAATGAAAAGGATCAAGAAAAATGACTCGTGGAATCCCCGCAGTTACTTATAACGCCGACCACATGCTATGTACATCAAAAACCGAAAAAGTTTGATGGTAAGATCCAAACCATCAGTTTTTTTTTCATTTATGAACAGTCAATAACAAAGCCGTCGGCCATTTCCTGTACAGGCACCGTTGACTAATCTATTTCGTTCCATTGAGTAGTTCCATTGCGCTTTCAGTTTTATTACCGTTAATAATAACTAAAAAAGAGATCACCTTGATTTTATTTTGGCCTTATTCAAAGACAACTGTTTGAATTACGTTGAAAACGGGATACCTACAATTTTTTGAAAAGTGCATAGCTTCCAATGAGAATTCAGGGTTTCTGAAGTGTTAACCACAAGCTTTGAAGCAAATCTTTTTCCTCCAACTCCGAACAGTGTCGTACTTCTTCTAGTAACGTTCAATTTTTTTACTTCAAGCTTCACTTGAACCTTTAACCTAAAGCTTAAAACTTTGCCCCCCCCCCCCAAAAACTGCAAATTTCTGAACATTCGACCCCGAATTTGGAGAATTACTAAATTCTGACCTCCAATTCCAAGTTTTGAACGTGATTAGGAACCCCTTGTTTTTCCAACTTCCAAAGGCTCATTTTCGATTGTAAAATTTCGAAATTTATAGGTGTAAGTTGGGGAACACCCTGTATATTCGAATTAGTAATTTGTTTTTAAAATGATGCAACATGCACATGATTTAATTTACTCATATAATTATTTGTTTAAAATAAGCGTAAATAATAATGTTTAATTTCAGACTTCCGCCGCTTCCAAGGGGTATAAAAGGCACACCGACGATTACGTCGGTCGTAAACAGCTCGACGATGAAGCTCTTCTCCCTGTGCCTCCTGCTCGTGGTCCTCGCCGCCTGCCTTACGGTAACAATCGGCCGATATACGCTCAAGGTGCTACATGGATTTTGTTTAGGTCGAGATCGAGGGTCTGAACTTCCCGATGGGCGTGCAGAAGCCGCTTCACGCTAGCCCTCAAGGGATGGCACGCGGGGCTGTCGGTCCCGAAGGGGTGGCTTGCTGTGAGTATCTAAGTGTACGTTTGCTATCTCATCTTCGGAGTCTTTGCAGCGTCAACCACCGCAGCTCCATCTGGATGATTGTAGAACGACCCCCTGCAGAACTTAAGAGAAATGCACCATGTAACTGCACTTTAAAATAAAAGATTTTGGAAGTATCTTGTTCTTTTAGTGTCTCCTACCCTCATGTTCTCCTACTTTATCAGCGTCCTGTCTTTTTGGTAGGTATCCTAGTGTCTCCTTGTCCTTGATTTCTCCTGGTTTCTTCAATTCCTAATCCCCAGCGTTTTGGCTTCCTAATACCCTCGTTAACTTCCCAGATTCATGTGTTACCCATTTCTTTTTTTGTCCCCACCAATTTTTCAATTTAGTCTCCTGATCTCCCAGTGCTATTCGGAATGACCTTAAAGAGAAGGCATTTACGAACGTATAGTATCGGGAGTCTGGGGGTATGGAATACCCCCCAGCCGCACCATTGTAGGGAACAAAAATTTTGATAGTACAAAACGAAGTGTTGCATATTTGTTTTTGGGGTGGTATGACGATCCCCCAGTCCACCCGTTACTACTTTCTCCCCCAACAAGATTTAGAACCCTCTCCACGTCGGAATGATCCTAAAAAGAAGAAACTTACGAACGTAGTACCGGGGGGTTTGACGGGTATGTTGGATATTTGTTGCTGGGGTAATATGCCTGGGGGGGGGGGGGGTATTGGTATTCTATACCCCCCAAATTCCCTGGTGGTATATTCTCCCCACCACTATTTAAAACCCTCCCCACTTCAGAACGATCTCAAATAAAACAAACTTACGAATGTAGTACCGGGGGGTTTGATGGGTATGTTGGATATTTGTTGCTGGAGTAATATGGCTGGGGGGTATTCCATACCCCCCAGACCCCCCGGTGGTACGTTCACCCTCAACAAGATTTAGAACCCTCCCTACACCGGAATAATCCCAAAAACAAGAAACTTGCGAATGTAGTACCGGGGGGTCTGGGGGGTATGTTGGATATTTGTTGCTGGGATGGTATGGTTGGGGGGTGTTCCTTTCCCCTCAGATCCCCTGGTGCTATATTCTCCTCCAACAAGATTTGGTACCCTCCCCACGTCGGAATGATCCTAAAAACAGGAAACTTACGAACGTAGTACCGGAAGGTCCGGGAGGTATGTTGGATATGGACTTTTGGGGGAGAGTCCGCTGGTAGTTTTGAGAGTAGGTATTTTGGGAAGGTCCTCCAGAAATTTAGTTAGGTTTCCTGTGGAGCTCAGGGTGTCTGTCTTTCTGAAGGGTACCTACTTCACGTGTTAGGCTAGGAGTTTAGGAGAATCTTTGCAGAAGATTTCGCTAAATTCTCCAGGTAATTTGTCTACTCGTACGTGGATTATTTCTCCTCCGATGGAATTGGCTGCAATTGTTTTGCTCGGTTATTGCGCCAGAGCCAACAAGCGTTAAAATTTCCATTAAAATTAATGCATCCTGCACTGATATAGGTCATTATTCCATCGATAACAAAACATTCGCATTGTTCGAGGGCGCTCTCAATAGCGTGGGCAATCTCGATCAGGTGCAGCCTTGTGGAAACGTTACAAATGGACGCGCTCGCCATTATTTTTTTATTCATCTCGAAATCGGGGCGAAGATGAAGCTGTTCGTGTTAATTTTAAGCGCAATTGCCTTAACGGTATGTAATCGACGTTAATTCCCAGGCCGGTCCAGATTTAGTTCAGTTTCAGGATGGCGCTGCCGTTTCCGAGTCGGGCATTGATCCAAGAGCCAACTGCTTCCAAGTGCTGAAGCGCAAAAGTAAGTTATTCGAGTTGGTTTCGAGCAATCGCTAATGCTTTTCCAAGCAACTACGCGTACAACTGCCAGAACGACGACGACAACGGCGACTACGACGACGACTACAACGGCAGCCAGCAGTCCTTCTTCTGAGGAGGTAACCACGCCGCCGCCGACAACTGACGCCTCCACGGCGCCGCCAGCCGAAACTTCGCCTCCAGCTGAAACTTCAGCGCCAGAGGAAACCTCTGCGGCCGAAACGACAACGGTGGCGCAAGCGGAAAGTGAAGCACCCTCGGAAGGCACCACAGTCTTATTAGACGGCGAGGAAGAGGAACCATAGCGAGTGGCGACACTGTAGCGTTTTGAAACGGTGCCAGATTCCTCCCTGTATTGGATGTGTGCATTAGAGTCTTTTTTTTGTTCGTTCTTTTCAAACCCGCGTAGGGTCGGGAAAGAATAGCCCTACTGCAGAGGCACTGCATGTCGTAAGAGGCGACTAATCAATGGCGGTCCGAGCGGCAACGCTGATGATTTGGAAGTACCTATCGATAATTTAAGGTTTCCGGTCTAAATCTTGGTGCGAGAAATAGGGGGGGGGGGGTCATTTTTGACACCAATGCAATATATCTCACTTACTCTAACGTGAGGGTGGTGAAAAGGACAATTGAAACTTCAGCTCCACACCCCTGACACTTCCCTCCAAAATGTCCCGAACCTACTGTGCTCTCAAAATCGCTTTGCGTATAGAGATATTGTTTGTTACCACCCAGACCGTACGGTACCTCACCCCCCACCCCCCAAAATTGCGTCAAAGGATCTCAAAATAGATCTGGGGATGTAAGATATGCCCCTTTAAAATTATTTTGCAATCGTGGAGGTTTTAAATCGTGTTAAGGGCGAAAGTAGTACCGGGAGGTACAAAATACTTATAAATAATTTATTTATTTAATTATTTTATTTATTAATTATTTATAATTTATAATAATTTATAAGTTCTCGAGATACGTCTCTTAAATCGAATTCTATTTTTCTGTAGAAACTTTAGCGAAACCCAGGGCGAAACCTTAAATACAATATTCAAATTTTCTTTCTTCCCCAAAACATACAACCCTTAGAACTTTGAGGCGAGCTTAATATCGAGAGGTCTGGGAGGTATGGAATACCCCCCCCCCCTCCTGCCAACAATCAATAACCCCAGCACAGAAGGAAAAACCACGACAGTTTCGAGAGAGGGAAAAAAAAAGAGATTTGATGACCTGCCCACGAAACTGTAATGTATTTTTTGTTCTGTGCTGTGGGGGCTATTGACTAGGGGGTATTCCAGGCCCCCAGGTGTACCATTCTCCCCCAAAATATACAACCCTTAGAACTTAGGGGAGAGTGTATTACTGAAGGTCTGGAGGTTTACAATACCTCCCACCCTTTTAACCCCATAAACAAGTATCCAACATTTCTTTCCGTTCTATCACGATTTTCGTGTACGAAATATTTTCTTGCACTGGTGAGGGTTCTAGATTTGGTTGATGGGGAACACAATACCAGCGAAAAGGAAGGTCCAAACCGTCCGTTCCCGAAAACTATTTTAAGAGGGTGATGGGGTTAGATCTTCTATTGTCCACTGGGGTGTATTCCATACCACCCCGACCTCCTGGTACTACTTTCAGAATTTTCTCCTTTTTTAGATTATTTTGCAGTGGTGGGGGTTCTAAATTTTTTGTTGGAGAACACAATACCGCGGGGTCTGGGGGGTATGGAATACCCCCTGTGAAAAGGAAGGTTCAAACCGCCCGTTCCCGGTAACTATTTTAAGAGCGTGATGGGGTTGAATCTTTTATTGTCCACTGGAGTGTATTCCATACCACCCCAGACCTCCTCGTACTACTTTCAGAATTTTCTCCCTTTTAAAATTATTTTGCAGTGGTGGGGTTTCTAAATTTTTTGATGGGGAACACAATACCGGGGGGTATGGAATACCCGCCAGTGAAAAGAAAGGTCCAAACCGCCCGTTCCCGAAAACTATTTTAAGAGGGTGATAGGGTTAGATCTTCTATTGTCCACTGGGGTGTATTCCATACCACCCCGACTTCCTGGTACTACTTTCAGAATTTTCTTTCTTTTAAGATTATTTTGCAGTGGTGGGGATTCTAAATTTTTTTATGGTGAACACAATACTGGGGGGTCTGGGGAGTATGGAATACTGACTCCCCCTGACTCACTTTTAAAATTATCACCTATTAAAAGCGTCTTGGGTCCATTACTCTCTCATCATATCCAAAAAGATGTTTGGATCTGGTTTCATATCCCTCAGATCCCCACCCTCTTCCTCCCTTTATAAGCTGCTCCTCTAACGACTACTTAGAACCGTCACTGCTGCAAAACAATTATAAAGAAAGGGGTATTGAAGATACCTGCAGGCTCTTAACAGTCTCTAAACGTCTATGACCATTTACGCGCTTAAAACGGCTTTTGGGAAAGGGGAGTTTTGATCTTCTTATACCATGGTATCAGCTTTCTTCCGGAGTTCGTTGCAGGATCTTGAGGAGGCACAGTAAACGACACGGTCTCAGACCGCACTGGCAGAAGGTCAATTGTAATTAACGAATTTTGATTTACCATGAATCGTTGGCACCATAGCGACATGATTACATCATTATTGGCGAGTTACCCAGTTAATTTACAACAATCGCATTATTGCAATACGATTTAAATTGTTAGGTCCTTCGACGGAGGTCATTTATTTTGGTGCTTTGAATAAAATCAATTGTGCCTCCCCCGCATTTAGCATGATTGATTCGCATTGTTCGCGTTGGCCTCGCGGGGAGTTACAAAAAGACGGGTCCGTCGTACCCGCCGTCATTTTTGGGCGAAATAATGAAGCTGCTCGTGTTCATCCTAAGCACCGCCACGCTGATCGTAAGTTACGACCGATAAACGGGCGCGATGATCTCTTCCAAATCTCTAGGACGCCGCCGCCATCTCGGGCAGGAACGTTGATCCGAGAGGTGACTGCATTTGGATGTTCAAACGTAGGACGAGTAAGTACTCCCAGAGGCTTTTTCCTTCGACTGATCACGCATGATTAGCGACCACGACGACGACTACAACACGAAGACCGACATCTGCCGCGGGGGTGAGCGTTCCAGTTCCGGCGTCACTTCCAACGGAAGCTGTTGCGATCGATCCGAGGGGAGTTACGGCACCTGCTGGTTCAGAAGTGGAGGGGGATTAGTCAAAATACACATTTCGTAAAAAATGCTTTATTGTACTTTTTCCTAAACCTAATACTCGATTGTGACGCACTTCGTTTTGAGATACTCGTTCAGTGCTTCTTGACCTAGAGGACATATTCACGGTTTATTTGGATTGGACCAGTGGAAAAAGCTTACCGAGATCCTTTCCAAATCCTGACTGTTTGAAACCGCCAAATGGTGCCGCGACATCTGTCTTGTTATACGTGTTGACGAAGACCGTACCGGCGTCGAGCGACTCGGCGAAGCGAAGCGCTTTGGAGAGGTCCTTGGTGAACACCCCCGATGCCAATCCGTACTCGGTTGCGTTCGATCGTCTCAAAACGTCATCGATGTCACTACCCAACAACGTTAACATCACCAAAACCGCCGCTACCTCAGGGTGACTTACCCATCCTCAAATTTGCTGATGATCATGATCGGCCCAAACGACTCCTCGTTGGCGATGTACATGTGGTCGTCAACGTCTGTAAAAATGGCGGGCTCGAAGAAGTACCCGGGTCGGTCCAGACGCTTTCCGCCGCACTCGAGCGTGGCGCCCTCCTTCACGCCGATCTGCACGAACTCCAACAGCTTCTCGAAGTGTGCCAGGTGGTTCTGCGGTCCGTGCGACGTCGATCTCAGCAGCGGATCCCCAATCGCGATGCGTTTCGTCTCCTGCACGACCCTCCGCACGAACTCGTCGTGTATGCTCGCCTCGACAAACAAGCGACCGGCCGCGATGCAATTCTCGCCCTTATTGAAGAACACGCTTTGCATCCCCTAAAAGAGGATGTCCGAGTGATCGCTCGCGGAGGTGACCGGGGGGATACTCACCAGTCGCACGGCCTTATCTAAATCACAGTCGGAGAATATAACTAGCGGCGATTTGCCGCCAAGTTCCAGCGAGCATTTCTTCATGTTCGATTCGGCGCACGTTTTCATTATGACCTGCCCGATTTCTGTGCTGCCGGTGAAGCCCAGTTTGCGTATGTGGGGGTGGGCGGCAATGGCTTGGCCGCATTTTGAACCTGAAAAATTGAGAAACATCAAACTGAAGAAAATGTTACAAAAAAACCGTGGTCTTTTAGATTTGAAGGGGGGGGGGGGGGTTCTTGCCCTTCAGATCAGCGGTTACTCGCCAGTCAATACTCCCCAGCACAGAAAGAAAAGTGACAGTTTCGGAAGAGGGTGACCAAATCTCTTTTTTTCCATACCCCCAGACCCCACCCCCTGTGCTAAATTTCGAAAACCCCTCAGATAATACATCCCAGAGAATGATAAGTGACAGTTTCGGAAAAGGGTCATCAAATCTCTTTGAAAATCCCCCGGTGCTACATTCTGAAATACCCCCCCCTCCTCGTCAATACCTACTCCACAACACTGAAGGATAAGTGACAGTTTCGGGAAAGAGTAATCAAATATCTTTTTCTAGTGGGTATCCAGACCCCCAAATACTACATTCGGAATTTTCTCCTTTTTAAGATTATTTTACAGTGGTGGGGGTTCTAAATTTTGTTGTTGGGGGTATGGGGGGTATGGTAATACCATACCCCCCAGTGAAAAAGAAGGTCCAATCTGCCCGTTCTCGATAAATATTTTAAGAGAGTGATGGAGTTGGAACTACTGGGGTGTATTCCATACCACCACCCCCCCTTCACACCCCCAGATGGTGCTTTCAGAATTTTCTTCTTTATGAGGTTACTTTGTATTGGTGGGGATTCTAAATTTTGTTGATGGGGAACACAATACCGGGGGGTCCCGCTCGTTTCCGGTAATAATTATATTTTAAGAGCGTAATGGGGTTGGATCCACTATTTTCTACCCCTCAGGCCTCTTTGGTACTACGTTCGTCGTTTTCCCCTCTTTAAGATTATTTTGCAGTGATGGGGGTTCTATATTCTGTTAGTGGGGAACACAATACACCCCTCCCTCCCCACTGAAAAGTAAGATCCATAATAGTTTTCGTTTCCCAAAATTATTTTAGGAGCGCGGCCCCCCGGTGCTAAATTTTGAAATACCGCCTAGCCAATACCCCTTCAGCACAGAAGGAAAAGTAACCGTTTCTGGAGTGCCATCAAATCTCTCTTTTTCTGGGGGGTATTCTATACCCCCAAGACCATACGGTGCTAAATTTTGAAATACTACCCTGCACCAAATCTCTTTTTCTGGAGGGTATCACACCTCCCGGCCCCACAGCGCTAAATTTTACCCCCCTCCCTAATACTCCCCAGCACAGAAGAAGAAGAAGTGACAGTTTCGGGAGAGGGTCATCTAATGTTTTTTTTCCTGGGGGGTATTACAAACCCCCAGCCCTCCAGGCGCTAATTTTTGAAATCCCCCCCCCTCCCCAGCCAAAACTCCCCAGCATAGAAGAAAGAATGACACTTTTGGGAGAGGCTCATCGAATCATTTTTTTTCTGGGTGTATTCCATACCCCCCAAATCCCCCGGCGCAAAATTTTGAAATAGCTCCAGCCAATACTACCCAGCACAGTTTCAGGAAAGGGTCATCAAATCTCTTTTTTCCTGGGAGATATTCCATACCACCAGACACCCCCCCCCATGCTAAATTTTCCCCAAAAATATATAGGACGTGGATTTTGTTGGGAGTGTCTTTCAAATTTTCGTTTCCTGAGAGATATAAATTAGCCAATCCCCCCCCCCCCCCGAAGGAAAGTAACGGTGTTTGTGGAGAGTGCCATCAAATCTCTCTTTTTCTGGGGGGTATTCTATGCCCCCCAAGACCCTACGGTGCTAAATTTTGAAATACTCCCCGGCACAGAGAAGCAAAAGTGACAGTTTCGGGAGAGAGTTATGAAATCTCTTTTTCAGGAGCCTATTGTACACCCCCCAGACCTCCCGGTGTAAATTTGGAAATACCCCTCAGGCAATACTCCCCAGCACAGAAGGAAAAGAGACAGTTTCGGGAAATCAATCTCTTTTTCTGGAGCGTATCCAGACCCCTCCGCCCCCCCCCCGAGCAATTTTGGCCCCCCTCTCCCGCTAATACTACCCAGCACAGAAGGGGAAGTGACAGTTTCGGGAGAGGGTCAGCAAATGATTTTTTGTGGGGGGTATTACAAACCCCCAGCCCTCCCGGTGCCAATTTTTGAAATCCCACCCCCCTTCCCCCCAACCAATACTTCCCAGCATTGAAGAAAAAATGGCAGTTTTGAGAGAGGCTCATCAAATCTTTTTTTCCTGGGCGAATTCCATATCCACCAAACCCCCCGGTGCATGATTTTGTTAGGAGTGTCTTTCAAATTTTTGTTTTCTGGGAGATATTCCATCACTAGAAGTCTAAGTGTTGAATGTTTTGGAGGAGAATGTCACACCGGGTGGTCTGAGAGTATGGAATATCTCCCAAGCAAAATTCCCCAGCACAGGAGAAAAAAAACGTGGCAGTCCTTTTTTTTCTCCTGAACGTTATACCCTCTCCTCCTCCCGGTGCTAAATTTTCCTTCAAAAGTGTTCAGGACAATAAACTTGTTTATGGAGCCCCCCCTCCCGAGACCCTGCAGCGCCATATACTCCCCCACAAATATTAGGACACTTATGACTATTTTGGTGGGAGTGCATCTAATTTTCGATTCCTGGAAGATCATCCATACACGAGAGTTGTAACGATTGAATGATATGGTGAAGAATTTAGCACGGTCGGGGGGGGGGGAGTATTTTTGGAACTAGACAGGACCCTTGGAGTCCTTTACTAATCTGATGGGGGTCTTGTGGTCGGAAAAACTCACCTGTACCAGGAAGAACGTTGATAACTCCAGGTGGTATACCGGCCTTGGCCGCCAACTCTGCGAACTTCAGCGCCGTCAGCGGGCACACCTGGGCCGGCTTGATCACAACCGTGTTTCCTGCAGCTAAGCACGCGGCCATTTTCCACGACAACATCATCAGCGGGTAGTTCCACGGGGTGATTAATCCGCAAACGCTAAAAATCGAATTCGACTCAATAATTCGCGGTCACGGTCACCTACCCAATGGGTTCGCGTCGGGTGAAGGTCAAATTCTTGTTTGGTCTCGCGTGCGAAATGGGAATGGTGGATCCCTGGATCTTATCGGTGCAACCGGCGAAGTACCTCCACGTTTCGATGCTCATTCCGATGTGCGTCTTCAGTGCTAAGGTGTAGACGGCGCCGGAATCGATCGACTCGATCGTCGCCAGCTCCTCGCGGTGCTCGTGCATCAAATCCGCCAACCTGTACAATAACTGCCCCCTCTCCCTCGCGCTAATCTTGCTCCACTCGCCGGTCTCGAACGCCTTCTTCGCGGCGGCCACTGCCTTGTCCACGTCTTTGGCCGATGCGCACTGCACCTTGCAGATGACGCTTTCGTCGCTCGGATTTACGGAGGTCAGCGTCTGTCCGTCTGCGCTGTCGACAAACTTGCCGTCGATGAAGAGCTGACAGGGCACCTTCACCGTCATTCCGTTCACCTCCAGCTCGACGCCCTCGTACTCGATTTCGGTCGGCGCGGAGCTTCCTCTCAGCTTGAGTATGACGGTCGTGCAGAACTCGTCGAGAACCGGCGCGAGAAACACGTCCTCGTTGGCCAGCTCGGCTTTGGTCAGGTCCTTTACTTCCTCGACAAGTCTGACGACGTCCATCGAGCCGGCGCCGCACGCGAAGAAGTCGGCGTCCCACTCGAGCTCGGTCTTCAGGATGCTCTCCCAGATGGTCTTGATGGAGTTGACGAAGTTCGTTTCCTCGGTGGTGTATTTGAGCGCGACCTGGTTCGAGGACTCGATGAGCCGGGCGGCCTCTCGCATGCGACCGTTCAGCTTGACTCGCTTGACGTTGACGTGCACTCCGTCGGATCCAGTGAGCAGCAAACCGTCCTCGTGGATGACACCGGGCTTGGTGCCTTCGATCGCGATTTCCGTTCCCTGAGGTACCGGCTTCCTCCAGACGGTCGAGCCGAAGAGCAAGGCGTATTGCGGTTCGCCCTCGGGTAGTGTGATCGTGCAGGACGCGCCCGGTACCGAGTCCATGCCGCGGATGAAGTCGTGGAGCTGCTTGCCCGTCTTTGTCCAGTCGATTTTCTGCAGCTCGGCTTTGTTTAGCATCGCATCGTAGGTGGCGCCCTTTTCCGACTGGATGTCTTTGGGCGCGGTGTCCTGGGCCACCATGTCAACGGCGCGAGCGATGGCGGAGACGCCGACGGGGTAGAGGAATCGCTTGTAGATGGTGTCGACGGTATCGTTGGGCTCGACCGCGCACTTCTCTTGGAGGAGAATTGGACCGGTGTCCAAACCGTCATCGGGCCAGAAGATCGTGAGCCCGGCCTCTTTGTCGCCGCAGATCAATGTCCTAGAAGATCGTTTCTAACTGTGCCCACTAGGAGGGTGACTTACCAGTTGATCGCACTTGCCCCCCGATGCCTCGGCAGTATGGAGGGGTGGTAGCAGATGCTTTGCATGCGTGGGTAGTTGATGACCTCCATCGGTATGAACTGGGAACAGTAAGCGAGCACGTTCAGGTCGGCGTTCACCCCCATGTAAGTGTGCAGCACTTCCGGTATAACCTTCCCGCCTTTCCTCCACGTTTTGAATTTGAACACCGGAACGTCATTCTCGCGACCGGCGAGCGCTGAAAATTAACCTCAATCTCCACCTCGCCCCAACGTTCGGCGCACTCACCGAGCGGATCCTCCCGATTGTTTTTGTCCTCGATCGTGAAAATCCCGACGATCTGATGGCCGTGCAGGCGCAACCTGTGGAAGACGTCCGCGGCGAAGGTGCTCTGCCCGATAAGGGCGACCCGAAGCGTACTTCTCGGATTCGGATTGTTTTGCTACGAAATCAATTACGTCATCAATTAATTGCTGCGAATTGTGCTAATGAGCGTTATCGGCATGTGTCCGAAATACTTTATCACGAAATTTCTGCTATCAGTAAATATTGCGCACTAACACTTTTGATAGATACAAATGTATTGCTCAACCCAGAACCAACTCCCATCGATTTGCCAAATTTTGCTAATTAGAATTATTCCTAATTAATACTGCTAATTGCACCAAAATTAAAATTAAGTCACTCAATTGTTATAATTATAATTAGAGAGGAAGAAAATTTCATCTAAAGCGATTGTAGAAGGCAAAGTGCCCATAACTACCAGCAATTTTTTGGTTGCTTCATCAAATTCATTATAATTACTTAGAACTAGCACGCTAATTACCATCAAAATTGAAATAGTGAAAATTAGCGCGTATTATTCTAATAGAAACAGAAGCTAATATTAGTTTTCTATTTGCGATAGTTGATTAGAAAGTGAGTACTTACATTCGGTGCCATGTCTTAAACACGCCGCGATAGCGTATCGCAAACAACTAAGAGCTCCCGATTTCTCTTTCGGCAATTTATAGATGATCAGGCTCGGTCCATTATCTCACTGATTTTTCTACAATAAACATTCGGGAGTGAGTAAATAAACGCCGTGCCTTTCTCTTAGATGCACTCATCACAGTATCGTTAGATGAACGGAGGATGATAGCGGAGAGGTTATCTTGTTTGGTTTACGAAATTATACATTACGAGAGTCCTTAAGAACGTAATTTGTGATTCCAATGGTTCATTTGTAAGGGCAAACTTGAGATAGTCGGGGTAAAAGTTTAAATGTTCTACCACTTAACCCGCACGTACCTTGTTTTAACTGTGTGCAGGCATTTTTTTAATTCCCCTCTCCGGACGCGCTCTTCCAAGATTTTTTGATTTTTCAACCTAGCAGTCCATGACCTGATAGGCGGATGGCTACTTTTTGTTCATATCTCCTTTTGCACCCTATGGCCTCCGTGAGGTTGAAATTATTTTCCAAAATGTTATTTTACCTGACCCAGTAATTTTGTACTTCTGGAACACTCCCAGTAGAAGATCAAAACGTGCGAGCGTGCTTGGTCCTGTTTTCGGGAAAGGGGAGTTTGTTCTTCTTTTCTGGAGAGTATTCCATATCCCCCACAACCCTCGGTCCTACATTCGTTATTTTCTTCTCTTTAAGATTATTTTACAGTGGGCGGCTTCTCAATCGTGTAGGGGGAGAACGTAGTGACGGGTGGTCTGGGGGCTATGGTAAACCTCCCAGTAAAAGATCAAAGCTTCCGTTCCTCGAAAACTATTTTAAGAGCGTGATTGGTCCTGATTTCGATAAAGGAAAGTTTTGATCTTCTTTTCTGGGGGGTATTCTATACCCCCTAGACCTCCCAGTTTCCATAATATTTTTCACAAAAACTAATATGACAGTGCTAGGGGTAATATAAACAAAATTTTTTGAAGTATTTGAAGTATTAAAAAGAACCACGAATGTTTTTATTGTTTTTCTATAAAGCGATCGATTTCGGGTTATGAGTTACCCATCATCAGCTAGGTTAGGTTAGGTCTCACTAATTTTGGTGCGTAGAATCCAAAACGAATCGTACTTTTTCGATCAGACCTCTCAATCAAAAGTTATGGACCAAATACAAATTTCGAGAAAAAGTTCAAAGGGCTGTATCGTTTGATCCAGTGGACCAATCTTGGAACTGTTTGAAATTATGGATTCTACGGGCCAAACTCTATAAGAAAATTTTTTTTCCCGGTCGTTCTGAGACAATTTTTGTCTACGGCCTCAAAAAAAGGCAGTGTATAACCTTCCATTTTTACCAAAAATCGACTGCTCCAAAATTTCTCGGGAAAACACTTTTTCTCACTAATTTTGGTGCGTAGAATCCAAAGCGAATCGTACTATTTCGATCAGACCTCTCAATCAAAAGTTATGGAGCAAATACAAATTTCGAGAAAAAGTTCAAAGGGCTGTAACTTTTGATCCAGCTGTCCAATCTTGGAACTGTTTGAAATTATGGATTCTACGGGCCAAACTCTATAAGAAAATGTTTTTTCCCGGTCGATCTCAGACAATTTTTTTCTACGGCCTTAAAAAAGGCAGTGTATTACCTTCCTTTTTTACCAAAAGTCGATTGCTCCAAAATTTCTCGGAAAAACACTTTTTTTCACTAATGTTGGTGCGAAGAATCCAAAACGAATCGTACTTTTTCGATCAGACCTCTCAATCAAAAGTTATTATCCAATTTTCCTTTACTGAGCACACGGCTGGGGGGTACCCCTCCCCCCCCCCCCCTAGACCCCCCGGTAGTATCTTATTCCACAACATATCTAATGTTTAGCACTCATACGATAATTCGCGATAAAACACCATAACACTTACTCGACTCTTGTAGAATGCAGGGACGGGCCCGGGAGGGGGGGGGGCACTTCACTACTTTACTTGATTACCTTTTCGCAAAAGTTACCATGACAGTGCTAGAGCAAATAACACAAAGTAAACAAAATTATCAAGAGCTCCTTTACTGAGAGTATTGCAGTGGGGGTGAGGGTTCTAAATTATGTTGGAGGACAACACAATACACCCCCCCCCCATTGAAAGGTAAGGTCCAAACTATCCATTCCCGATATCTATTTTAAGAGCGTAATGAAGTTGGATCTGCTATTTCCTACTGGGGGGGGGGCCTTCCGGTACCACGTTCATAATTTTCTTCGCTTTTAGATTATTCTGCAGCGGAGAGAGTTCTAAACGTGTAGGATGAGAACGTACTGCCGTCGGGTCGGGGAGGGGAGGGGGGTATGATACTCCCTAGTTACGGAAGATCGAAACCTCCCTTTCTCGAAAAAACCACCTGTAAATGATGGCGCGGAGTAGTGTTAAATATTAGTGTGGTGTGACATCCTAATGATCGACATTGTACGTGTACTGCTTTCGGAAAAATTCTTGGATGATACTTCCTTAGGCTCTATTTCGATTTTTATGTATGATTTACACTGGTTGTGTACAAAAGGGTTCATAAAATTACTAATATAACAAAAGCTCGTTGTATATTTTGTATTATGATTATATAACGAGCATTTACGTGTTAGCTTAGTCGTATACAAACAAACGCAAACTCATACACTGGACAGAGTATGAGGGGCCTGGATTTTCGAACAGTCGGCGTTGTGGTCACGTTCGGCTTAGTGTCCCTTGCACTGTTGCACACGTTTCGGCAATGTGGGCACGATCGGCGTAGTGTCCGTCGGCGAAGTGGGCATGGTCGGCGTTGTGTCCCTTGCACACTTGTCGACGATGTGGGCACGGTCGGCGTAGTGTCCCTAGTCGGCGATATATGGACCTTCAAAAAATCGTGTCGGCGTTGTGGGCATTCGGTGAAGTGTCCTAGACCCCGCCCAATTACAGAGTGGCCCCCGTAATGCTTTTTAGAGGTGCCTCTGCAAAAGGTCTTAAGTTGGTCTATACTGCTCCGGTATTTACCTTACGAATTAGGAAAACTGCAGGAAAACCTAATTCGGAGTAGCCGACAGAATGCTCGAAACTGATCTCAGGAAATTCCCATCTCTGTCACAGATGAAAAATTCACCTCGACCCAGGTTCGAACACGCGACCTCCGGATTTTTAGCCCAACGCTCCACCATTGAACCGCAAGGTCGGTTTCCTGTGGCTCGATGATCTTCTCCGCAACAAAATTTTGTTGGGGAAGAACGTGGTGCGTATGGAATGTACTACGTTTTCCCACAAAAGCGCTCAGACTCTTATAATTAATTTTTAGAAAAGAACAGACGAATCTTTCTTCCCCGTGGGGTATGCTAATACTAAACGCTTGCTTTGTCGCTCTTTTCTTTTTTACCGTTTTTCCTTCTCCGAGTTCGCGATTCTTTGTCTTTTTGCTTGTTAGCGTTGTCCCCTTTCTTCGTCCTCATCTCCATGTACCTACTTCTTACCAATTCTTCACGATCTTCCATTTCTCTTTGTTTTTCACGTTCTCGTCCATCCTGTTCTAATCGCTCTTCTTGTTTTCCTTTCCGCTATTCCCGTTCTTCAACCTCTTTCGCGCGCTTGTTGCTCTTCCCTCACTTATTTAGTTGCCCTTGCTTAGTCCTTGTTCTCTTTATTCCCGTTGTTCAATTCTTCTGCTTCTTGGTCCGTATTTTTTGCTCTTTTTTCCTTTTTTTCCGTTCTCTCATTCGTGCTTCTTCCCCATTCATATTTTTATTGTTTCCGTTATTTACGCCGTCCTCGTTCTTTTCTTTCTTTACGTTCCGCTTTTTCCGATCTCCACTTGCTTCTTGCTTTTATTGTTTTAATTGTTCATTCTGTTTCTTCGCTTTCAATATTTTTGTTGCGTTCTTTCTTTTCGTCGTTCGCTTATCACCATTTTCGCAATTATTGTCATTCCTTTCCCAATTTCCGGAGTTTCTCCATCCTTCTTGTGCTTCTGCCAATTTTTTAGCGTCTCATACTCTTCTATCTTGCTTTCTCCGTTCTTCCTAATCTTTTCGATCTTCTCCCTCTTTTCCATTACCTCAGACTTTTCGCTATTTTCATTGTAATCTTTTCCTCGTTTTGTTTCTTAAACTTATCGCCTTAGGTCTTTTCGTTTCTCCAAGTTTCCTCGCAATTTTCGCGCTTCTCGCTCTTCTCATTCATGCGGTCCGTAACTCTCTCTTTCGCCCTTCCGGCTCTTTTCTGTTATTTTCTTCTCTCTTTTGTTCAGCCTTCCCGACGTTTTTCGGCTTTCTTTCCGCTCGTGCGCACGAAATCCTCACATTACATGTTTTTTTCGCCCCCACCCGATTCGAGTTCCAGTCCGGCGGGTGTGTTTGGGGGGGGGGGGAGGTGTTTAATAGATTAAACTGTTGTTTTTGTCTCATCAACCCCCACCTGCGTTTCTTGGATTACTTGAAGTTGGCGCCAAGGAGGCGCTCGCTTTATGTGAGGAGGAGGGCAAACAGTTTGTGAGAAGGCGCTATAATTACGCACTGCGTGCACCGAGAAGTGTGTGGGAAGGAGGTGGGGGCATTTTTCTCTTACCCTCGCACTTGTACACTAGTCTGAGAAAGCGTAATCGGGTCTTCTTAGAATAGGACAGACGATTTTTTTTCCTGTGAAGATGAAAAATTCATACCACAGATCCAGGGCCCAGGGTATATGACCTCGCTCATTATGAAAAAAAGGGGGGGGGGGGTTCGAGGACCAGAAGTTTCATTTCCTTACATCAACGAATTGTATGAACTTCGTCGATTAGTTACAACAGAGCCATCAACCTCAAAATGGCGGGGGAGTTGGGGCACTACCTCCCCTTCATTGACTTCATTTCGTATTTCTTTCTTTTCTGTTCCATGTCGCACTGCTTGCCCGTGTACCATTTAAGATATTGTTGTACGTTTCCCTTTTCTGTGCCCCTATCCCTATTCAGTTTGTTTTGTTTTGGAATATCCCCCCCCCCCCCTCTACCCATACAAAAAGATGCGATGGTCCTTTGCCCGCAAGTAACAGCTGCTATGGTAGTTTTCGGGAAAAGGTAATCGATTCCTCCTGCGGTGTGTTACCCAGACTCCCACGACGTTACGTCACTGGAAAGTTTTACCCGCGCATTTTACCAATTGGAATGGTACAAGGACGAAGGTTGCGAGCGGACGTGCGTCATGCTTTTCAC